CCCCCCTTCCCTTCACTGACACTTCCGGCGTGTACTGCACGAGGACGGGGTTGCGGCGTTGGATGTGCTACTTTGATCTACATAGTTCTTTTTTTATTAAAACCTTGGTGATAATGGATTCTATTTTTTTTTTCTCTTCTTTTCATTGAGACCTCTCAATGTAGTAACGTAGGATGTTATCTCGCCCTTTGATTGGTCTTAACCCCTGACGCTGGGCAGGGCACCTGACCCACTCCTGAAAGGATGGGGGTTCAATCTTCATGATCAGCATTGAAAGATCCACTGTTGTGAAAGACTCGTTTAAAATGATCAATCCACCATGGTGTGACCAGAGACCTTGGGAATGTCCAAGAATGACTACTCCGTATGAGTGTAAACCAGAGAGGTAAATCCATAGGTGAGTTACTTCTCTCCAAGCACATAGTATCTATTAGTCTGTATAGAGTATGCAGACACCAATGTATATTAAGGGGATCAGGGGATAAATAAGTAAGACACTCTCGAATGTTCTTATTGTTCTAGCCTACGCTGTATTTAGTGTAGACCGAAGGCGTGCGTGGACTCAAGTACCGTACCTTACTGATACAGCTGTGGAGGCGTGAAAAACTGACCACGGCCTGTAATGTACACGTGTATTACACACAATCTATCTGCCTGCAGATGTGCTCATCTCTCCCTCCTTTCGTCTCTTCATTGCATTCTGACATTGTATCATTCTCTCCATCTCTTCATCGTGCATTATTATTAGACTACTGTTGAATTTGCCATCATCTCCATTTTGAACATTTGTGGGTTTGGGGATGATCCGCTTCCCGGATTCTCGACTCGCTCCACACTTTCACTCGAACCGTTAAACCTTTGTCCATTTCAGCATCGGCCTATGCGACGCCCTCCGCTACCTCCTTCACTCCCTCGATCGTCTACCTACCCTTCAATCTTTGTGCTGACAGCTCCACGATGCGGTGGCGGCTGCCGGGCGTCCGTTCGACACTCCCCGCCAGTGTCGCACTCCTCCTTCTCCCAGCTCTGGTTGCTCCGCTGCAGCAGTCAGATACCCATGACCCCATCTCTCGTCTCTCTGTGCCACTAGCACAAGAGTCATCAAAACAACATGCGGCCCATTTAGTCGCACCACCCATCGTGAAACCCAACGATGCGAGCGCCCTTGCTACTCTGGCTCTGGCAGGCTCCGGCCGCGCCGTTCGAGCCCCTCCTGTCCAAGCCAGCAGCACTGCTGCGGGTTTGGCTTCGCAGCTTCACGCGCGGTCCTTGCAGGACTGGGAGGTTGAGGATTTTGTGCTGCTGGCGACCGTCGACGGAACCATTCACGCCCGTGATCGCAAGACCGGGACTGCTCGCTGGGCCCTGGAGGTCCCGAGTAGTCCTGTGGTCGAAAGCATCTACCACCGAGCGAATCGTTCCAGTTTTGACGATACAGAGCCTGAAGACGACTTTTTATGGATCGTCGAACCGAGCCAAGATGGCAGCCTTTATATCTACAGCCCCGCCCCAGATGCCGGCTTGCAAAAGCTCGGCTTAACTGTGAAGCAGCTTGTTGACGAAACCCCCTATTCCGGCACCGAGCCTGCTGTAACCTATACCGCCCGGAAAGAAACTACATTGTATACCATTGACGCCCGGACTGGCAGCATTCTGCGGGTGTTTAGTTCTCGTGGTCCGATTACCGCTGCACCGGAATGTCGGAAGGTGAATGGAGAAGATCCAGACTCCGATGAGTGCGAGTCGACATCTGGCACTTTGGTTCTTGGTCGGGTTGAATATGCCGTCGCCATACAAAACACCGAGACCGGAGATCCAATTTGCACCTTGAAATACTCCGAGTGGGCACCGAACAACCGTGATATGGACCTACAGAGCCAGTACTACCGGACGATGGATGAAAGCCACATCTACAGCATGCATGATGGCGTTGTGCTGGGATTCGATCACTCACGGATGGATCGGCCTCGCTATACCCAGCGCTTTTCATCACCCGTGGCGCGAGTTTTTGACGTGGTTCGTCCTGCCAACAAAGATGCACCAGATGCTTCAACCCCGCTAGTCCTGCTCTCACAACCTCTTCAGCCACCGGATCCAGATTATGGATCTCTTGACGATGACAGGGATATGCGTGTGTTCATCGATTGCACTGAGGCAGGGGGCTGGTATGCCTTCTCGGAGGAAACATATCCCCTGGCCACGGGCCGCGCTCCCATGGCGCAGTGCTATGACAAAGACTTCTTCCGCCGGGGGCAAGCACTTATGAGTCTGAGTGCGCGTCAGCAGCGGAATGCGTTAGCCGGTGTTCACTCTCTCACTGGCCCTCGTATCATCCGTCCACACATTCCTAGAATCGCCGGGTCATCTACCTCTGAACTCTCAAATGACAAACCCCGGGATATCCTTCGCAGTCCTTCCGAGCTGGCTTTGCCTCCCGCATTACGAAATAGCGCCATCATCCGCAAGAGCTGGGACAACGCTTTGGATATTGTCGTGACATTGATTTTACTGTTCATTTGCACATTCATCTACTTCAACTCGCACCACCTTCGCGATTTGGCCAAGCAAAAATTGGACATCAAGAATATCATAAACTCAAGTGATAAGCCTTCTTTATCGACCCCTTCCACCCCTGTTGTCGACAGTGCCCCGGATATCAATCGTTCCTCCACACCAACTCAACAGGTCCCTAGCGTCACAGTCAGTTTAGACTTGGATGATGCGTCACCGGAGGGTGCATCCACCCCACGTGCCTCGCGAGACTACACTCCAGACTCCACCCCGCGGGTACAGATTCGTGAGCCGTCACGTGGCCCTGAGGACGAGGACGCCGACGAGGCTGGAAAGCCAAAGAAAAAGCCCCGCGCTCGTGGTTCTCGAGGAGGAAAGTCACACCGCCGTCGCAAGAAGCCTGGCAGTGAGGGTGATAGCCCTGAGGGGGCCGATCAGGCCGTGGAGCAGGCCAATGGCCTTGCCCCACAGCCTCGACATGAGCACGATGTTCCGATGGTCCGGACGGTTTCGAACGAGATCATGGAGATGGATGGCGTTGTTCGCATCGGCCGGCTTCGGGTTTTCACTGATGTTGTGCTTGGGCATGGCAGCCATGGAACCGTGGTCTACCGCGGTTCGTTCGATGGAAGAGACGTCGCGGTCAAGCGTATGTTGATGGAATTCTATGACATTGCATCGCACGAGGTGGGCCTATTGCAGGAAAGTGATGACCATCATAACGTGATCCGATACTTTTGCCGTGAGCAAGCCACTGGGTTCTTGTATATTGGCCTCGAGCTTTGTCCAGCGTCTCTTCAGGATGTGATTGAGCGCCCCGCTAGCTACCCGGAACTAGTCCAAACTGGCTTAGATCTGCCCGATGTACTGCGGCAGATCACCCAGGGTGTCCGTTACCTGCACTCTTTGAAAATCGTCCATCGTGATTTGAAACCGCAGAACATTCTTGTGGCTATGCCGCGTGGCCGGACTGTTTCACGGTCATTGCGGCTCCTTATCTCGGATTTCGGCCTGTGCAAGAAACTTGAAGACAACCAAAGCTCGTTCCGGGCAACCACTGCCCACGCCGCTGGAACTTCGGGCTGGCGTGCTCCAGAACTCCTAGTGGACGATGACGGTCCTATGTCCCTCGCATCCCAGCACACCGAGTCCTCGGAGCCTGCTGTGGTGGACCCACAGACAAACCGCCGCGCCACTAGGGCCATTGACATCTTCTCATTGGGTTGTGTGTTCTACTACGTCTTAACCCGTGGCAGTCACCCATTCGATAAGAATGGCAAATTTATGCGCGAAGCAAACATCGTCAAGGGCCAATTCGATTTGGAGGAATTAAACCGCCTAGGCGACTACGCTTTCGAGGCGGATGATTTAATCCGCTCAATGCTATCTTTAGACCCTCGCCAACGGTAAGCATTCTTCTTTCCGAAAACAGATTCAACTTACTAACATGAATTTCTAGTCCTGACGCAAGCGCTGTGTTGATGCACCCGTTCTTCTGGCCCCCATCAGACCGTCTCACGTTCCTCTGCGATGTCTCTGACCACTTCGAATTCGAGCCCCGTGACCCTCCATCAGACTCGCTGCTTTGCCTGGAATCAGTGGCTGAGCGAGTGATGGGTCCTGAAATGGATTTCCTGCGCTCATTGCCGCGGGACTTTAAAGACAATCTCGGCAAGCAGCGCAAGTACACTGGGGCACGGATGCTAGATCTCTTGAGGGCTCTTCGCAACAAGCGCAATCATTACAATGATATGCCTGATCATCTTAAGGAAAATATTGGCGGCTTGCCTGAAGGATATCTCAATTTCTGGACATACAGGTTCCCAAGCTTGTTGATGAGCTGTCATGCGGTTGTTGTTGAGCTGGGGTTGACTCGCAATGATCGCTTCCGGAGGTACTTTGTGCCTCCAGAATAATCCTTCGCCCAGGGATTTCCTTTAGAAATCATATATAAACATACTTCAAGAATTTATCTTATCTGTATACTATTTACGTGGTCTATGGATATACGTAGTGCATCTGCGTTGTATGGCATTTCCCAGGAACCCGTAACTTTAGAATATCACTCCACATGTATAGGATCCAAGGTAATAACGCAGTAGCACAGATAATTTATTTTCTTGTTCTTCTCACTTAAATTAGCAGATGTGTCTTATAGACAGATAAAGTGGATCGCCGACGTGATTACTTCGCGCCAGTTTCTTCCGCGTTCTGATTCCCTCCGCATCTTTTTTTTCTTTGCCCTCCCACCCATTCACCCTGCACCATTCCATTTGGTGTTTGGCACCTTGTCTCTTTGAGAGGTCATGTGTCTCTGATCAATTCATCTTTGTTAGTTTGCTCCCTAGCATTAATTACCGTTCCACGCCAGCTTTGCCAGTTTTTACTAGCAGCTACCGTCACTTCAACTTCCCTCCCCCACGCGCCATTGCTCCAATCAAAACCATCGGCTGTATGCGCCTCCACTACTTATTTTCACGTTTGACGTAATGGTGTTCCTGCGACTTTCAATCAAGGTCTTCCCGCGGGAGCAGCTGAGCTCGAGCTCAAGCTCCGGCTGGGGCAGGACCTTCCTCGGCGCGCGAAAGGCTACCAACGATGACTCTAGCCAGGGATCTGCAGTCTCAACGACGTTGAAGAAACCCGGTGTCTTCTTGCTTGTCCTTGAACACCCCGAAGAGGTTTCCCTTGGCGGACTTGCGGGCATGATCCAAGAACATTGGGCAAAGCTCCACCCAGAGCTAGAGTGAGTGTTCACATACTTGATAGATGAGAAACTTATCCGGTTTGCCGAACTCCAATTGCTAACTCCGTTGGTTGATAGACCGCTTTCAATTAAGAAAATCCTCGACGATACGAAGGAGGACCTCGATCTTTATCCCGACCTGACTGTTGCCGATGTCTGGGTTGACTATGGAAAGGCTCGCACCGATGGCCTTGACCAGCGTGGCTCCGTTCGCGTTCTTCAGAAGCCTACCGCCGCTGCCCCCGAGCGATTCCCCTCTGTCGATCAGGATTGGGATGCCGCTATTGTTGCCTACGAGCGCAAGCGTGCCATGAAGGATAAAAAGCAAGCCATGGAAACTCAATTTCCTGCGATTCAGGAAGAAGACGAGGAGAGCAGCGCCCAATCGCCGCGTAGTCACTCTCGATCTCTCTCTCAATCTCATGTTCAATGGGAACATTCGCCTGAATCGCCTCAGCATACCAATAATGACCCTCATGTCTCAGCTCAGAAGTCACCAGTTGAGCACCGCCATCGCGATTTACCTGTTTCTTCTGTGGAAATCTATAATCACAATCACGTCACCGCTTCCCCACCAGCGAAGTTCACAGGCCCTACCATTGCTGGGACGCCGCCTCTCAGGCGTGAAAGTGAGGAGCTCGGCGAGTCTCCATCACCAGCCGAGCGACGAGCATCCAGCGCCAGATCCCAACCTACACCTGCATCTGAAGCTGCCAGCTCACCGGAACCGCAGCCTCAGCCGCAAAAGCTCGTAAAGCTACCCATTGCGAGTAGTACAGCTCATCGGACAATTACGCAAATGCCCGATGACGCTGAATCTCCACCTATGTCGTCTGCGCCAAACCCTCTCATTCCCCACCAACCGACGCAATCTACTGAGGAAGCTACTGCGAGCTCCAGCGACATGGAGCAGGAGTCTGCTCCGCGTCGTATCGTGAAAATACCATTCAAGCCGGGTATGACAAATGGAGTTAAGGGACAAGGACATCTGGCGGCAGTGGCTCAGATTGTATCCCAACCCCCGCAGAAAAAGCAAGCAGAAACGGTAATCGGGATCTCCAGTGAGTCGTCGAGCGAGGAGGAAAGCGACAGTGAGGATGAAGAGGTTGAAGCGGAGAAGAAGAACGCCGAGCAGGATCAAAGGGAAACAGGAGACCAGACCGACTCTGAATCTGAATCTGAGTCTGAGTCTGAGTCTGAATCAGACTCTGATGCCAGCGAAGAGAATGCGCCCAAGGATGAGCCCATCACTCCTCGAATTGATCTAGAGGGCGATGTACAGATGGCAGAGCCTAAAGTAACGAGGAGCTCCCGGTCCTCAGAACAGTCGGATCTTTCGATGTCGAAAACCAACGGTGCAACCCTTGAGACTCAATCACGCAAGCGAAAGCAGGCCTCTGAAGAGCCCACGTCGGTTAAAGAAGCTCGCCAAGGACAGGCTCACCCCTCCACTCGGCCCCCATCCACCCCTCCTCGGTCTGTGCCTGTGGTCGTTGTGCGCTCTGGACAGGCTCGACAGTCTATGTCAAAGTCACCAGGTGCCCAAACGAGTCCAATGCGCAGACGAATCCGTGCACCTTCTTTCTCGAGCCCAGCCCGACAAGCTAGTGTTCGAGAGGAGAATGAAGCACCCCCCAAGCCTCCTCAATTTGGAATTGGCCTGGGGATCACACAGAGCCCTCCTAGCAAGCAACCCGTCAGGCTGGATCCTTCGCAAGAATCTGACGTAACGTCCACCCAGAATTCTTTTGGCGGACCGCTTTTCCCAAGTAGCAACGTGACTGTTGCCGTTGGGCATACTTTTACTTCTGTTAACAAACAGACCCCAGCAATTGAGAGAACGAAAACGCTGCAATCGGCTATCCGTGCCAAGGATTCCCCGGCAACGGAGAGGCGATCTGTGTCTTTCGCCGAGGGAGAGAATCTTGCTTCTAGCTTGGATCCCGCTCCACGCTCCACCCCGCGCAATACTGCGATTAGCAAATCCACTACCAAGGGTACTCCTTCGAGCGCCACCCCACGAAAGGCCACATCCAAGGCCAAGGTCACTCAGCAGACGCCCACCGCTGTCAAATCTACTCTGGGAACACGTTCGACCTCCACATCTAGCAAAGCCACGCCTAAGACCAAGGTCAATAATCAAACATCCATATCCACTTCCGAAGATGCTCAGGCAACACCGTCCAGTTCTCAGGTGGTATACCCGCCCGGCTTCGATATCGACCAGTTGACCCAGGAAGTTGAAGTCGAAAAGAAAGCGAAGGCAAAGGCCAAGGAGGACGAGAAAGCACGAAGGGACAAGGAAACCGTGGAGAGGGCCGAAATCGAGCACAAGCTTCGGGAAAACTATGATCCCCAGCTTACGCTCATTTTAACTGAGATGCAGAAGATCTTGCAGAGATTGTCCAGCTCCAGGCTGGAATACGCCAAGCGAAAGCCGCTCCGCGTCAGACTTGAAGCCTTGCGCGAAGATCTGAAAGTCTGTGAACAAAGGGTGGAAGCACAAAAGTCCACCCCTCGGGAACCTGTCGCAAAAAAATTAAAACCAACCCTTAAGGAGTTGCTGGACAGCAAAAAAAAGGAAATGGATGTTAAACTACGACCTGAGCCAAAGTCCGCCCCAGCTCCCCGCGGTGATGTGTACGAAGTGCCCAGCTCCGGTGAGTCTGAGTCCGAGTCCGAGTCTGAGTCTGAGTCCGACTCCAGCAGTGATGACAGCGACAGTGAGTCGGGCGACATTATGCCCGATGGCCAGTCGGTCAAACTGCGCAAGCCCTGGTCTCAACGACCCAATTAAGATGCACGTTTTGCTTTTTAAGATATCCTATTGTTTTCCATGCATATGACGCATTGTTTTGTTACCCCTGCCAACATTGAAATAGCCCTGTACATTGTTTTCACCAGTGTATGTATGATATTGAACCAACGCTGAACACAAAATGTAATCTTCATCTCAAATATTGTGGTTGAACCCAGTTGAGGACATAAACACCTACTAGTAACTCCTATATTGGAATGCTGGATGTTGAATTAGTACTTTTGTACTCCGTACAAAGTAAAGTGTATAAATATCGATTCTACGCTAGTGGTTGCATGTGTGCCTCAGCCGTTGCGTGATCATAGCCATAGCCGGCCTTGAGTTCCGGCTCGGATATTCGTTCTGAAAAACCATAGGATCGATAAATCCGATGACTATTCAAGGCAATTCTATGGCTTTCTAGCCACTCGATTATGGGGTGATTCTATTCTGATGGCATCATCTTGATATTATTTTGCCATTGCTCCAATTTTGGCATAGCTCAATCTTCAACAATTGAAGCAAACAATCATACATCGGCAACATCAACATTTAGTCGATCATTTACCTCAATACTCATTCCAACTGTTATTTTACGTTGGTGATCCACAACTACTCCCGACCATGGCGGCCGTAATGCCCAGGTAAGTGTTGCCACCGCACACAGCCAGCCTCACTCTAATGTAACGCAGCACGGCATACACGCCGCACCCTACCAAAATGATGAAGGCAGCACAGTGGATGGGCACACGAGAAGTAGAAGTGGGAATCGTACCCAAGCCGAAGATCACAGACCCCGGCGACGCCATTGTCCAAATCACCCACTGCACGATCTCCGGTTCAGACATCCACCTGTACGAAGGCGAGCTCAAAGACGCAATGGAAAAAGGCGACATTCTCGGCCAAGAGGCAATCGGCATTGTAGAAGAAGTCGGGCCGGATGTCAAAACCCTCAATTCCGGAGACCGGGTCATCATCCTACCTGTCATCTCGTGTGGCACCTGCAGCTATTGCCAGCGACAGGAGTATTCGCTTTGTGACAACACAAACCCATCCAAGGAAATGGAAGCCGCGTACGGCCACAGACTCAGCGGGAAGCTGGGGTACAGCCGGCTGTGTGGCGGGTATCCAGGGGACCAGGCGGAGTACTGCCGTGTGCCGCATGCGGACTTATCATGTGTCAGGGCGCCGGAGCATATCGATGCGCGGAAATTACTTGGCCTGACGAACGTCGTGACCACCGCTTGGCATGCGCTGGAGTTGGCTGACATGCAGCAAGGCGATGTGGTGGGTGTATGGGGTTGTGGACCGATTGGCCTTGCTACACAGCGACTGGCGAAGCTCCGTGGAGCTAGGAAGGTGTATGCCATGGATAAGGATCCACAGCGACTTCGGATCGCTGAGGACTTCGGCATGACTCCTGTCGATGTGGATGCTCATCCTGATGTGGCTGAGTACATTCTATCAATTCAGGACCATGGTCTTGATCGGTCTATTGAGGCTAGTGGGTTCCGTAGTTCGCCGAAAACTGAGTATCCAGCTATGAGGGCGATTGGGCTTGAGAAGGATAGTAGTGATACACTATCGGCGATGATCAAGGCAACCCGTAAGGGTGGTAATTTGGCATTGGTTGGGGATTTCTTCTTCATGACACATGATTTCCCGATTGGGCCTTTGATGCAGAAAGCGCTAACAGTGCGGGGGGGTCAAACGTGGCCGCAAAAGGTGAATTGCTTTTTTTTCTTCTTCCGGTTTGAATTGATAGCTTACCAGGTGCAGTATTATCCGTTTTTGATGGATCTGGTGGTGCAAGGCAAGCTTGATACGGCGTGGATGTTCACGTATGTGGATGAATTCGAGAACATCGCGGACATGTACCAGAAGTTCTCGCAGCATGAGGTCCCAGGCAAACTGAAAGTGTGTCTAGTGACGGCGTTTGGACGCAGCCAACAGATGCAAAGCTACAGCGACCTACCAGTCCAACACCTAAGTTATGATGTTGACGAGTACTAGTCAGCATAGTCAGCAAAAGCCTTGGAAACCTTAAAACTCCCATATAAATTAGCCTTGGCCCCCCGCGGGGATTAGCATCTCCACACTTCTTCATCAATTCTTCATGTTCCCCCCGCCACCCATTGCACTCGATTGGAATAACCTGGGCTTTAAAGTCCGGGATGGTAAGTAATAGTTCCTTAGTAAGTGATAGTAGGTTCTCATTCATCCCAGGCAACGGCCATGTCGAAATCCACTTCTCCAATAGCGGTGAGAATAAATGGTCCGCACCGCAATTCGTCGCCTCACCCTTCCTACCAATACACGGGATGGCGCCGGGCTTGAACTACGGTCAGCAAGTCTACGAAGGCCTTAAAGCCTTCCGCCACCCAGCCAATGACAAGATAACCATCTTTCGCCCCGACCGCAACGCCAAGCGCATGCAGTACTCCGCTGAAGTAGTCTCCATCCCGCCCGTTCCGAAGGACTTGTTCATCGAATGCGTGCGGTTAGCAGTCGGTGCAAACGCCGAGTATGTCCCGCCCCATGACTCCGGCGCCGCGATGTATGTCCGGCCCATGCTTTTTGGCTCCTCTGCACAGTTAGGGCTGAGTCCACCGGATGGGTACACGTTAGCTGTATTTGCTATGCCAACTGGCGTATACCACGGGGCTACTGCGGTTGAAGCACTGATCTTGGAAGATTTTGATCGCTGTGCACCGCATGGAACCGGTGCTGCTAAGGTTGGTGGAAATTATGCGCCAGTGTTGCGGCACAGTGACCGGGCGCGGCGGGAGGGTTTTGGAATTACCCTTCATTTGGATAGTGCGACTCGCAGTGAGGTCGATGAGTTCTCGACTTCTGCTTTCATTGGAGTGAAGCGCGACGGAGATCAGATCACTGTGATCCAGCCGGATAGCCAGAATGCGATCGACTCCGTTACGGCGGCGTCGGTGCTGGAAATTGCGCGCACGTTGGGCTACCGGGTGGAGAAGAGGCGGGTTGCTTACGAGGAGCTGCGCGAGTTCGATGAGGTTATTGCTGCTGGTACGGCAGCGGCGTTGGTGCCTGTAGGTAGCATTACGATGCAGTCCCGTGGTGATAAATTTGAGTACCGTTGCGGGGCTCAAAAGGAGGGTGGTGAGGTTTGCGTTAAGTTGCTGCAGACGCTTCGTGGTATACAATCGGGAACTATCGAGGATACTTTTGGTTGGAACTATGAGGTGCAGGCACCACCGAAGGGATGGACACAGCAAGAGCAGGAGGAGATTGAGCTAAGCGGTGCCAATGTCCCATAAATAGGTTCTAGGGCTGAGACGGGTCCACCTAACTAAAATGAGCCTCAAATTTCGCTTTGTCCACTAAAAATACCAATATTTAGTTATCATGTTTTTACCACTTAAGTGAGCTACATTCTCCTGGGCTACCGTTTGGGTGTAACTAAATTGGACCATTTCTTCCCTGAGGATAATCTTACTCTGAGCAAAAACCGTTCTTTCTTGTTCTGATCTACCTGAGATATGTTCTCTAGCGTTGCAGGAACGGATGTATGTGCCGAGTACTCCGTAATATGGTTCCTATTCCCCTCAATATATATGGGCAGAGATAACTCGGGAGCTCCAACGTTCTCAGAGTTAAACCGACGGGGAGTAGGATTTGATAGAGCCTTTAGAGCACGTTACACATATCCTGTACTTATTCTTAAGAAAGTGATCTAATAAAAGTGGTCTAATTCCTGAGGCCCAAGGCCATAAATACAGATGTGCAAACCTTGCAAAAAAGACCAAAAAGACCACGGGGCTAGGCTATGGAGATAGGGGAAATCGCCCTAATCACCGATACCTCCAGCTCGGGGTCGGACAAGGAGTCGGGGATATATGCGGTAGAGTCCGTGTGGATCTACGTGGGCCCAATATTTGACGTAAAACTCGTATAAAACGGACTAGGCACCCATATCTAAATAATGGTACAGAGTAAAAATAGGGATCCTAAACGGAGTGATGTGAAGGAATGGGGTACATACTCGCGGAAATTTGATGTCCATATAGTATTGTATTTCTCAATATATAAATTTTTGAAATATGCATGATTATCAGATTAAAACAAAAGTTGTTAATCCTAACAATCCTAGTTAATAATAACCTTGGAAGTTCTTAGGCCCACTAAAATACCTAGGTAAAGGATTTCGGTCGGTGAAGCGGAGTCCGTTCCTCCGTTATACATCGGAAAGCCTCCACCCCGATGAAAGATGGACAACTCCGGTGGCTTCGTTGTCCGTGCCCCGATAAAATGATTTTGATTAAAAGGGCTGGGTTCGCCTGTCTGTTCCAAGAGATCAGACTTCTACGAAATTACACACACTAGTCCACTCGACATGGAGAAGGACTATGATGAGCCCGAGTTCGCTCCAATCACGGTGCGAACTGCAACTGTATTAGAGGAGCGAGAACAACAGACCTTGACTCGCATTGCCTCTAGCAAACTTGGCCAACAACTTTCAAAATCGGCGAGCAAGAAAGACGGTCTCGCCCCCCACCTTGATCCCACCAACCCTCTATTTGATCATCGCCGATGGGCGCAAATGGTCTTGGACCAAGCCAACGATTCAGGCATTGATATCCCCCACCAAGGCGTGGTCTTCTCCAATCTATCCATCAGCGGCTCCGGCTCCGCTCTACAATACCAGGAAACCCTCACTTCCAGTTTGAAAGTGCCCTTCCGAGCTGCGACAAGAGCTTTGACCGGACGGATCTCACCACCAAGACAAATCCTTCGCAGCTTCGATGGCTTACTTCAGGGGGGAGAACTCCTTCTTGTCCTCGGTCGACCCGGTAGTGGATGTACGACATTCCTGAAGACTATCTGCGGACACCTTGGAGGGTTGACAGTGGAGCCTGAAAGTATACTTCACTACAAAGGAGTTGCATTTGACCATATGATCAAACATCACCGAGGAGAGGTTGCATACAACAAGGAGGTCGACCTACATTTCCCCCACTTGACCGTGGGCCAGACCCTTACATTCGCCGCCCATGCTCGTGCACCCCAACAACGTCTGGAGGGTGTGACCCGCAATGAATACGTTGAGACAATCACTCAGGTGGTCCTGTCCGTCTTTGGATTGTCTCACACCTACAACACCAAGGTAGGCAACGACTTTGTACGTGGTGTTAGTGGAGGCGAGAGAAAGCGAGTCAGTATTGCCGAGATGTTTCTGGCTCGCTGTCGCATCGGAGCATGGGACAACAGCACCCGTGGTCTGGATGCCGCATCCGCTCTGAAATTTGTGAGCTCGCTGCGTCTCGCAGCCGATATGGGACAATCCTGCCATGCCATTGCAGCCTACCAAGCATCGCAGTCAATGTATGATCTTTTTGACAAGGTGGTCCTTCTATACGAGGGATACCAGATCTACTACGGATCCAGAGAGCGTGCAGCATCCTATTTCGAAGACATGGGCTGGGAGAGACCCGAGCGCCAAGTCAGCGGTGACTTCTTGACTGCTATCACTAACCCAGCAGAACGCACGGCTCGGCCTGGCATGGAGAACAAGGTTCCCCGCACAGCGAAGGAGTTTTCCGAGCATTGGAAAAAGAGCCCGGAGTATCAGCTTTTGCACAAGGATATTTCCAAGTTCGAAAGTGAGCATCCACCAAATGGAGACGACGCAAAAAGGCTCATGGAAAGCCACGAAGAGCGGCAAGCCCGCCACACTCGATCTCGCAGCCCTTTCCTGCTCTCCATCCCTATGCAAGTGCGCCTTTGCATGCACAGAGCCTACCAGCGAATGCTCCAAGATCTCCCAACAGCAATGGCACCTGTCATTGTTCAGATCGTTCTATCTCTGATCATCGGATCCATTTTTTACAATACTCCAGACTCGCCCAGTTACTTCTTCCAAAAGGGTGCAGTGATGTACTTTGCTGTGCTTATGAACGCTCTACTTACGATCAACGAAATTCTTCAACTCTATGCTCAGCGCCCTGTTGTCGAAAAGCAAGCTGGTTACGCCTTTGTCCACCCATTCACTGAAGCACTAGCCAGTATCGTCGTTGATCTACCGATCAAGATCGTACGAATCTCAATCTTCACAGTAGTCCTCTACTTCATGGCAAACCTGCGCCGCGAAGCGGGAGCTTTCTTCACCCATTACCTATTCTTGCTCACTGCAGTTCTAACCATGTCTGGTCTGTTCCGCAGTGTCGGTGCATTGACTAAATCTGTGGGTCAGGCTATGGCGATTGCTGGTGTGCTTGTGCTCTGCATTGTCGTTTATACTGGGTTTACTCTGCCGCAGCCGTACATGCATCCGTGGCTTTCCTGGATCCGTTGGATCAACCCGATCTACTATACCTTCGAAGCCCTCGTGGCCAATGAATTCCATGGTCGAACATTCGACTGTTCCGCATTCATCCCAAGTTATGGAACTGGCACGTCCTTCATTTGCTCCACTGTCGGTGCGGTCGCCGGTCAACGAACTGTATCTGGGGATGCTTTCATTGAGAAGAACTACGAGTACAAGCACTCTCACCTGTGGCGGAACTATGGAATTCTCATCGCCTTTTTGATCGCTCTCAACGCGCTCTACTTGGCCGCCACAGAGTATCTCACTGATGACAAGTCAAAGGCCGAGGCCTTGGTCTTCCGCCCCGGACATGCACCCAAATATTTGCAGGAAGGTCACAGTATCGAGCTTGGAGTCGAGGAGGTCAATAAGCTCGAGCTGCAGAAAACTAGTGACACTATCCGTCTGCCCGAGCAAAAGGACATTCTCTCATGGAACTCTCTCAACTACGACATCCCCGTGAAGGAGGGCACCCGACGACTCTTGGACAATGTCAATGGCTGGGTCAAACCTGGTAGCCTGACTGCCTTGATGGGTGTTTCTGGAGCTGGAAAGACAACACTTCTTGATGTTCTTGCACAGAGAGTCTCCATTGGTGTTGTCTCTGGTGATATCTTCGTGAACGGCAAGGGCCTTGCGGCCAACTTCCCCCGTCGGACCGGATACGTACAACAGCAAGATCTTCATCTTGACAGCACAACTGTGAGAGAAGCTTTGCGTTTCAGTGCTATGCTTCGTCAGCCCCAAAAGGTTACCAAGCAAGAGAAGTATGAGTACGTGGAACAAGTCATCCAAATCTTGGGCATGGAAGATTTCGCCGAAGCGGTCGTGGGAAGCCTGGGAGAGGGTCTAAACGTCGAGCAAAGGAAGCTGCTTAGCATTGGTGTCGAACTTGCTGCAAAGCCTACCCTGCTTATCTTCCTCGACGAACCTACTAGCGGTCTCGACTCCCAAAGCTCTTGGACTATTTGTCAGTTCCTCAGAAGACTTGCAGATCACGGCCAGGCTGTCCTCGCGACAATCCACCAACCTAGCGCGCAGTTGTTCCAAACCTTCGATCGATTGCTTTTCCTTGCAAAGGGAGGAAAAACAGTGTATTTTGGTGATATCGGAAGCCAATCCTCCACTCTTCTGAAATACTTCGAGCACAATGGTGCTCGTCCATGTGAGCAACTCGAGAACCCCGCCGAATACATACTGGAGATGGTTGCCGGTGATTCTTGCCCAATAGACTGGGTTGAAGCCTGGAACAAGAGCCCAGAGTACGAAGAGGTACTTGCTGAGGTCGAACGACTTCATCACGCCCGCAAGCCGTCTGTTCAACAACCATGCCTGGACGAGTCTGATGATGTCGATGACGACTCCGAGTTCGCCATGCCACTCAGCAGCCAGCTATACTATGTTCTTGCAAGAGTCTTCCAACAGTACTACCGTCAGCCAGAATACGTCTACTCCAAGTTCATTTTGGGCATTGTGTCTGGTTTATTCATTGGCTTCTCATTCTGGAAAGCAGACAACAGCCAACAAGGCTTCCAAAACGTGCTTTTCAGTATCTTCCTGCTGTGCACAATTTTCAACACCCTTGTCAACCAGATCATGCCCAAATTTGTCGTCCAGCGCTCCCTCTACGAGGTCCGCGAACGCCCATCCCGCATCTATTCCTGGAAGGTCTTCATCCTATCCCAGATGCTCGTCGAAGTCCCCTTCCAAATCTGCCTCGGAATCTGTTCCTGGGCCTGCTTCTACTGGGCCGTCTTCGGCGCCGACCAAGACTCCGAGCGCCGCTCCCTGATCATGCTCTTCATCGTACAATTTTACATCTACGCCGCAAGCATGGCACAGCTAGTCGTCTGCGCAATCCCAGAGCCTGCACTCGCAGCCCTGCTTGCCACGCTGATGTTCGGTCTTTCCTTCATCTTCAACGGTGTAATGCAGCCACCCGATGATCTCCCCCGCTTCTGGATCTTCATGTACCGCGTCTCGCCGTTCACCTACTACATCGGCGGTATCGGGGCTACGGCGCTCCATGGCCGCCCGGTTGAGTGCAATAAGGCGGAGATGAGTGTCTTCGATCCGCCTGCTGGTCAGACCTGCTTCCAGTATATGGAAAAGTACCTTGCGTCTGCGCCCGGGAAGCTTGCCAATTACAATGCTACATCCGGTTGTGAGTACTGCTCTCTCAGCTCGGCCGATCAGTACCTTTCTGCGAGGAAGATTGAGTGGGGTGATCGCTGGAGAAACTACGGAATCTTCTGGTGCTATTTCATTTTCAACGTCTTTGCTGCTATCACGCTCTATTACCTCTTCAGGGTGCGAAGCTCCAAGGCTAAGACAAAGAAGGCTTGATTGACTCTGGTGGTGGATGGTGTTACGAAGTTTTGCATTTTGCTTGGTGTTTCATTGGTCTTCTTCGTCTCTGCATATGAGATCTTTGTTCTTGTACAATTACTGCATATTTTTATACCTGGCTCGTTTATACATAGATGCCGATAGAAGGCATGGCCTTGTTTATATAATCAAACGTCTCATCTCCTTCTTTTGCTTTTGTTCATTCACAACATGTAAGATTGGCAGATACTGATCTTTGATGCTTTTCTTTGTCTTGAAGTTAGAGAGGAGGCCGTTTAACAACAAAATGTTGGCTCAACATTGTTTCTCTTCAGATGAGACACCCCACCCCGGTGTAGAATGTTCACCCGTCTCAAAAACATTATGTCTCATTCATTAATGCTGAATATCTTTGATTGTTTTTCCTAGTGTGTGAAATCCAACGAAATTATTTGGTTTGTGTCTCAGATGGTCTATATAGACCAGCTATTTCCTCCTCCGTATGCTGCTGTATTCATCAGTCTTTTTCATCCTACACTTCTAATCAGTCTCAACCCAGCCAAAATGGACGAATTCTGCATCCCCCGAACCCAAATCCCGGAGCGTCTCTACCGTGTGCAGCATGACAAATCCTTCACAAATGATATTGAAGCTGGGCTAGTTGCGTCTGACGCGCAAACTTTTACCGAGAACACAGAGGAATTCGCGCTCGCCGTCCAGTATCATATCAATGACTACAAAACTAACAGCGACACCATGTTTATCTCAACTTTTGCCAGCAAGGCTCAGGCCGAAGACTGGATGTGTCGCAAATGGCGCTTGTATGGAGAAGGTGCCCAAATCTTGGAGATCGAAACTAGTCGTCTTGGTCATGGGTACGTGTACCGCGCTGGTGAAGTGGCTCACACCCTACAGGTGGGCGTGGCACAGACAACGTACCAAGACCTTTACAATGAGTACTTGATTCTGCACTCTGTTCCTGCTCGCGCTATCATTGCTCGACGGGCTCGGATGATGACCCATGGCTTGGAAAACAAGGATTCTGTGGACCCCGCAGGAAATGACAGCTCAGATGCGACACCATCAGAAAGAGCATCGCCTGTGCCGACTTTCCAGCCGTATTTGAGTCCGTTAGCACGGAATATGGCTAGATTGCTTCAGACACCACGTCGGTCTCTCATTCGGGGTGAGTCTCAATTTTCCGGCACTCCGCGTGGCTCAACTTCTACGAGAGGCTCTTCGCAAGGGTCACTCTCCCCCGGCTCGCCATTTATTGATTAAGTGGCTCTACAGCTATTTGCCTAACTATGAGGTGATTGGTAGAAGGTCATTGGTTTCCCTTTCAAGAGTTGTATCTCGGTTTTCCTTTGCTATTCTACAGTTGGTTTGCATTGCTGTGATTCTTTAGATCCTAGATAGACTGAATTCATTTAGATTAAGATAGATCCCATCATCTTATCATTTCATTGTATTGTACTTCGAAAGATAAATCTGATTGGTACCACATAATTAGAGTATCGTAATCCAACAGTCTTGCGCCAAAGGCATCAGAAGGTATGAGGCTTACCCACAATACTAATATCCATGATTGTTAATATGGAAAGTCATAAATGAGCGATCAATTCGCGGCACAATTCCCGGACACCTTAAATCCAAGGCTACATTGGTGATAGGAGCAAATATTTTCGAAATCTTCTATTTCGCCAGGGGAATGTATTGACTATAGCTTAGTACACATGAATTTTCAGAGCAACAAGGCGTCGTTAAATCAAATTGCACTTCAAACTTGCATGTAGAAGAATGTTTAGCACTGGATAAGGGGATTCCGAATGGCTGCGCTTTAGTTAGGGTCTAGTCAAGCCTTCTTGATAAGTATACCCTGAATCCTAGGCAGCAAACTAAACGGTTCTTCAGGCTCTTCGATCTCGTGTGGGTTTTCCCACTCTCCACCGTTGATAATGTCGGCCAACACATTCCGGGTCAAATGACATCCGACAAACGTGCTCCAGGCAGGATTGCAGCAAGCTAAGGTTTCCTCATATTAGCCCGTCGCCCGGAAAAGAAGAAGAAAGGCCGACAAGAGACAGACATACCTTGCGCTGCAGTCGTTAAACGGTTTCTACTCGATCTATGTTCCCAGAATATAAATTTGCCTCCAGGCTTGAGTAGCTTCCAAACCTCCTTCATCACGTTCTTCGGATCCTTTACGGCACACAGGACCTGGATGCATAACACGGTATCCAAGCTTCCCTCGGTGATTCCCTCTTCTCTCAGAACATCGCTATCTTCAACCCCACAAGCTATAACCTTATACTTATCCCGCAGGTTATGCTTGTCCAACTTGGCATGTATGACGTCTTTGAATTGGGGATTAGGTTCAATGCCATAGATATGTTTGACAAGAGAGGTATCATAACGATGAATCTGATTGCCTGGCCCAGGGCCCAGTTCGAGGATAATGCCACCAGCGGCTTGTACGAGCGAGGGAACAATAGTTGTGTCTTCGTACGCGATAAAATTGCTAGCTGCGTATGACGGTCAGTCTACTCTGTACACGAGTTGAGTAATGGAATAAATGGTGAGTGGGCTAGGTTACAGGTTATACTGAACAACTTTGCCGAAGCAGCATCTCGAATTTGTCGTGGGCGGCCAAGTGCTGCGAGACCGTCTCGACGAACCGCTTGTGTCAAAGCTTTCCAGTGGACTGTAGTGGGGGGATGGTTAGTGGAGTTGTGAAAATTGTTTGGGCGACAAAGGCTTACGGCAAATAGAGAACCAGATCATGCCCCATAGACGGAGAATGGAAACAAGGCGGCCAGGTTTGGGAGACATGGTTATCTACGTGAGGCGGTGATAAATGATGCCGAAGCCCTTTGGGGAAAAAAAGGACCAAAAAAGACCAAAAAGCGAAGCGAGTGATATGCTCGTAGAATAGAGAGAATTGTGTTGGGGAGAAAACAGAAGTAGGATGTTAGTGAGCGATATAGTCACAGAGTTGCTTTATCAATCCATACCAGTTTAGCTCTAGTCTACAACTTAGGGCTTATCTAGCGAATGGGGGCCGGGAGTATTCATAGTGGAGCGTGTCGAATAGAAGGCGATAGCCCTGGAGGCTTCCACCTTGATGATCTAATGAGGGCTTATGGGGCAATATAGACTATTACAGAGAGGGTTACCTTAGCGAAAGAGCCTGGACTGCTACTTCCATACATTTCGATTTACCGATAGTTGAACATGTTCATTCTCAACATGCTACCCATCTGAAAAGCAGTCTTATCATAAGATAGCATAACGCAATTAAGAGCGTCAGTAGACCTCATGCGAGAACTGAGTCTTCCCAATTTATTTTTTACTACTTTTCAAGAGATCTCTAAAGCAAAGCGAGAGACATTCAGGGATTTAAGAACAACAAACGTAGTGGGAATGGCAGGCTATATATATATTCTCTGTGGGCAAGCTCAAAATATAAAGCAATACAGAGCACACAGCGGCAAACTACATACAAGACAGAATATTGGTTTCACAATATTTATACGCGAAAAAGAATATTCAATCAATTTCCAGATAACCAGTAAGTCCACAGGTTTAGCCCCCAAAAGACTGTTTGGGCGGAGTTGCTTTTTTTGTTTAAATATCTGTGGAGGTTGTCGTGTATTTTTCCAAGCATGTATCTGTTAGAAAATGAGATGAAGGTGTATACATCACAGAATACTCGGTCTATGAAAACGTATACAACATATGTCACTATCAGGGTTCTGTACAGAGAGGTGTCGAAGGCGGCCTATATTCAGCCTTGCTAACTGCATTTGGACTTTCAGGCATTCAGGCATTGAGCATTCAGGCATCCAGGCATCAAATGGGTGCGACCTGAGCGCTATACCCCTTTGTAATCTATAGAGATTACCTAGGTATAATTGATTTTACTATACGTAAGTATGTTTATTTCAAGGCAAGGCTATATTTAGTAGGTATATATGTGTACATAGGTGTATGTACCTAGGCAATCTGGGGTAGATCATCTGCCTCGTCTAGAAAGGCCCGAGCTGTCAACATCACCACGTGGGAACTTAAAAAAAAAGCGGAGATTATTGATACAGATGCATATACATATGTACTTTATTAGTAGTTTCAGAATGTAATACAATATATGCCTAGGTAGTATGGAGGAATGTAGTAGATATGTTTGGCCGCATGCGGGTTTCTCCCCAAGAGAAGCCCAAAGAATGGCTTGTGATTTAACCCTGGGAATCATTCAATCCTTTTACCTTTTAACTAAGTCACTAGGTAACGGGGTAAGAGGGTAAGTGTTTGGCCAATCCAATTTGAGATGAGCGAAGCCAAGCCGTTAAAAGGATCCATGGCACTTCAAATCTTATTGGCCCCCTCGTATTAGCGCAGACTCTCACTTTCATTTATCTCTCCAGCTTGACTTACAAAACTCCCCCCCTTTGCCTCTTCTCTCTGCTTAAGCTGGACATCATCCAGCATGGCAACCGCCAACGCGACCACTACGGCTACGGCCAACAGCACTAACGTGGTCAGCCCGCAGGGTGGCATCCTCGAAGGTGGCAACCCAACCCATTATGACTCCAAGAACCCACTAGTATTGTTTATTATCCAGGTAACTATCTCGCTATCTGAGAAAACAGAAATGTAACAAAAACTAACAAACAGGCCGTTATAATTATTGTGCTATGCCGCTTGATCCACTGGCCCCTCTCGAAGCTTCGTCAGCCCCGAGTGATCGCAGAGGTGATCGGGGGAATTGTTCTGGGCCCATCGGTGATGGGTCGCATCCCCGGATTTACCGACGCCATTTTCCCGACCGCTAGCATTCCTAGCCTCAATGTAGTCGCTAATCTGGGCCTGGTACTCTTTCTTTTCTTGGTCGGTCTTGAGACCGACCTGCGCTTCCTGATCAGTAATTGGCGGGTCGCTTTGAGCGTATCTGCCGCAGGCATGGTCTTGCCCTTCGGGTTGGGTTGTGCCATCTCATATGGCCTTTATCATGAGTTCCATGACGACCCTGGTACTAAACCCATCGCCTTTGGTACCTACCTGCTGTTCATCGGTATCGCCATGGCCATCACGGCCTTCCCCGTGCTGTGTCGTATCCTCACTGAACTGAAGCTGCTCTCAACCCGGGTCGGTGTTATCGTGCTATCCGCCGGGGTTGGTAATGATGTGGTGGGCTGGATCCTCCTTGCATTGTGTGTCGCTCTTGTCAACGCGGGCAGTGGCATCACGGCTCTGTACGTGCTGCTAGTCTGCGTCGCCTATATGCTCTTTTTGACTTTCGCTTTCCGCCCGCTGTTCCTTCGCTTCCTCGAGAAAACGGGTAGCTTGCAAAAAGGACCCAGCCAGTCGGTGGTCGCCCTGACATTGCTCATTGCTCTGGCCTCGGCCTTCTTCACGCAGGTTATTGGTGTTCACGCCATTTTTGGAGGCTTTGTGATCGGCTTGATCTGCCCGCACGAAGGTGGCTTTGCCATCAAAATCACCGAGAAAGTTGAGGACTTGGTCGCTGTCATTTTCCTGCCACTTTATTTCACCCTGTCCGGTCTGAGTACCAACCTGGGCCTTCTTGACTCTGGAATCGTCTGGGGTTACGTGGTTGGTGTAATTGCCATCGCCTTCATTGCCAAGGTCACCGGAGGTGCTGTTGCGTCACGGCTCTGTGGCCTTTTGTGGCGTGAAAGCTTTTCGATCGGTGTGCTGATGAGTTGTAAGGGTTTGGTGGAATTAATTGTGCTGGTAAGTATTAATACTAGTCGACGTTCCCCGATTGAGAATGTTGGCTAATTCAACATCACAGAACATTGGCCTCCAAGCCAAGATTTTGAGCACTCGCACGTTTACAATCTTCGTCGTGATGGCCTTGGTCACCACATTCCTTACCACTCCATTAACCACCTGGCTGTATCCGAGATGGTACCAGGTCAAGGTTGAGCGATGGAGACGCGGGGAAATTGACTGGGAAGGCAACCCTGTCCAGCGCGATGACCGCAATGACAGCGTCGCCCTTGCCAAGGGTCAGTTGAAGACCGTCCCAGTACGCAAGCTCCTCGTCTATCTTCGTCTCGATGGTCTTTCAGGTGTCTGTACTGTAGCAGCCCTCCTCAGCCCAAAGCGACGTGCATCTGTGTCATCACGCATTCACCCAGCAAAGATGCCAAAGCAAACCGAGCAAACTGTTGAAGACCCAATTACCCCAGAAGAGGAGGAAAATACCACACTTAAGGTGCACGGTGTTAGGCTAATGGAACTGACCGACCGTGATTCCAGTGTCATGAAGGTTGCTGCTGCGGGCGAGCACGCGCTGTGGGATCCGGTGGTCAATACCTTCCGCGCCTTCGGAGACTGGCATGATCTCTCGCTCATGGCTGGTGTATCTGTTGTCCCTGAGCACTCTTACGCAGACACCGTCATCGGCATGGCGCAGCAGGACACTGCAGATATGCTCCTTCTCCCCTGGAGCGAGACTGGAACACTAGCCGACCACCACAACGGACTGGAGATCGACGACGCGAATCGTTTCTCCAACGGCGCCTACACAAGCTTTGTTTCTGATATCCTAGAGCGTGTCACCGGCCATGTAGGCATCTTAATTGAATACAGCCCAGCCTCGGCCTCATCAAAGCGACCTGTGATCTCACGCACCGCCAGCGGTCTGAGCCTTCAAGGCTCCATCTTCGCTCGCCAGCCAACCGGCAGCCGCTCCCACCACATTGTTCTCCCATTCTTTGGAGGTGATGACGACCGCTTCGCTCTTCGCCTGGTCATGCAGCTCGCTCATAATGACCAAGTCACTGCGACTGTGATTCAAATTGGCGGACTGGGTAGTGACAGCGCCAAAACAGGCGCGTCGACTGCAGTTTCTGCCTCGACCTCAAGTGCGCTCCCCGCGTCCAGCTCTCAATCCGATATGGTCTTCTTCGAGACACTCCGTGATTCAGTGCCAGAGGAACTCCAAGAGCGCATCGTCTTCCACCAACCAGGTGCCAACGAGACTATTACCGACGCAGTTCAACTGGCTGTCGTTTCTGTGCGTGAAGAACTTAACCACACATCCAACAAGGCAAACAACATTGTCATCGTTGGTCGTCGTAGTATCTCTTCTGAGATTGAGCTGGGTCTTTCGGAGGACAGTATTGGCCATGATACCCGCCGGGCTCTGGGAGCTGTCGGTACTGCAATGGTACAGCCTGAGAGTAAGATTTACGGTAGTGTGTTGGTGCTGCAGGCTGGGACCGACACTGGGTTGGCTGATTACTATGGCTGAACATATTTTGACATGTGGCTCGAAGCAATTGTGAATATTTGATTACATATTTGTGAAGAGATAATTTGCTCGTATCAACATTTTGGAACATGCTATATTCAAAGATTATACATAAAAAAGTCGATCTCACAAAATGAGGCTTTTCTCCGCCTTTTTATGCGGGCTATCTATGAAACTGAGAAGGGGCGCAAGATATCTGTGAAAAAAAAGACATCTGAAATGGCTTTTGGAAAGATCAAGTAAAAGGAGATTGCGAGGCCGCGGCCAACTATTCTAATCGCCCATAAATATGACAAGATCACCAACAAATGTGACTGAGTAAAAGAGAGCCAGAAGCCAGAGCCAAAACGCCAGCTAGAAGGATGTCATGGATTCCGGAGAACACCAGATGAAGTAGATGAAGAATGACCGGAGCTCCTCCCTTCCCAAAACCACGGCGGACTGTACTGGCGACGATCCCGCATCGGCGACTCCAGATTCCGAGGCCGATCTCTATCCGACGGAAACGAGCTAACTGCATAGATCTCCCGCGTACTGGAGTCCATTTCCTGGCTTTCCGAGGCACCGCGTGCAACCGCGACCAATTTACCAAGGATAGCATATTCAAGCTTCAACTTGATACTGTACGCGACAGGCTTGAACAAGACCTGCACAGCATAGTAGCCGACATATTCGATGACGACGACCGAGATATCCAACAAAAGAATGAGGATATTGATAACCAGCAACTGGTTCAAAATTCCCTGTGGACGACCTTCAGGCCTGAGACGAAGCAATTTGACCGTTTCCCAGACGTAAATGCTGGATATGATCAATTCCTGCACACAGAAACAGACCAGCTGGACACGCTCCATGATATCGTACCCGCGTGCCCAGCGAGTTGCCGGATGAGCAACAGTTCCGTACAATAAAACTGTAGTCGGGATATGCAAGAGCACAGCGTCGATACAGATCATCGACAAAACACCGCGCAGTAGCTTCCTATTCTGCAGTACGAGATGTAGCCGCGACCACAGCACGACCGACTGGCCGGTGATCATGCCGTACCAGCCCAGGACGATGAAGGTCACGCATACCCAGGGAGTGACGCCAATTGGGAAGAAGAGAAGGACAAACCCGAGGCAGTACGGGACGATGCAGACGGAGGAGATGAGTAGGCTCCAAAAGTAGATGCCGTGCCAACGCTTGAAGGAGAATAAGCAGAGGATAACAAGTTCGATGGCATTGTACCAGGCTAAAGCGGCGAAGGCGGCGAATACGCCTGTGCGGGTTAAATCGGATGTACCGTAGCTGTGGATGAGGGAGCTTGCAAAGCTGTTGGCGTTTTCGGTGGCCATTGGCGATAGAGGGACATTGCGGGTTGTCCTCCGGGGTACGAAGTAGATGAATATGAGATATAGATATAGGGGGATTGAGGACAGGGAGAGATTGGGGATTGAAGGGAACTATTAATTTTTTTTGCAGTTCCGAGGACAAAGCTTAAAGTTCATTCGATATGGACAGATCAGTGGCGGGAAGAGTTTAAGATGATATCGGGGGCGAATAGGATGTATAAAACACCTGATGCACCTGATTCCATGACAGCTCCTCGGGTTTGTGGGGAAATTGGCGAAAGCGTACTGGTTGACTGAGAGATGGGGAAGTTCCCGAGCCATGGATTCCAGTTCGGGAGATTTTGTACGAAGTACAACCTTCCAAAGTTGGAAACATTGTAGAAGTCATATCAAAAAGGGATGAACACCCTTGAAACCCCTGATATTCATCGCATTATTGATCTGTGGCTTGATTTCTGTTCCCGGTTGTCGATCCCCCTTGCTTTGAGGTTTGGGTATTTGAGAAAGATACAGTCGTAGGGAGAGGTACTCCATAGTTGGTTGAGAAGGAGTCCACGGAGGAAGACAAGCGTGAAATGGAAGTACCCCCTATATTGCAGGTCTTTGCAAGGAAAAAGGATTAGACTTGGAACACAAGGTTGTTCACATCTGGTGCCTGGTTGGTCGAAAGCCGAACGGCAGATCTGCTGTACTATGTAAGCCGAGCTTGCTTACTGACCAAAAACTGGACCGGGGAGTGATATCGCTGGCATTACTGGCATGACCTCCGTAGTAACACTCGTATCACTTCAGGGCTGGCATCATTGGCATGGCAGTTCAAAGAATGCAAAGCAAGTGCAGAGCCGTAGATACGGGGACGCGATCGGGGGTTCAGATCGGATGACGTCAGAGTCCGATCTGGACCCGATCTCGATCTCTCCAGGGCTGGATCGAATGAGGATTTCGTTTTAACACTCCCTTTTCCTGTTATTCACGGTAATGCAGAATCTGCCTTTCTGCTATTCTCGATCAATCCCACGACTGCTTCGTTCTTGTCAATTGCAAGCCCAGCTTGCTCGCAACTTATCAACTATGCCACCAAAGAGGAAGGCCACCGAGCCAGAAGCTGAACAGCCCAATGGCTCGCACGCCAGCAAAAAGGGTCGTCCCGACTTGCACCAACCGCACCCAAATGCGAAGCAAACCGAGGATTTCGGCATAGTCCTACGCCAATTCTATCCCCCCGAGATGAACAACGAGCGCTGCCAAGCATACACCGATGGCGAGCTGGAACGCCCCATTGAAACACTACAGAAAGCTTGCCGGGAAACCGCCGACAAGCGCCGATCAATCGACGTGGGTAGCGCCGTGGTACATTGGTTCAAGACCGATCTCCGGCTCCATGACAGCAGGGCACTGCACACGGCCTATCAATTTGCGAAAGAGAACCAGGTCCCATTGATTGGCCTTTACATCGTCTCTCCCGAAGATTGGACTGCACATTTGACTAGCCCCGCCCGAGTGGACTTCACCCTGCGCACGCTCAAGCGATTGCAGCAGGATCTGGGGGAGTTGGATATCCCTCTGTACATGGAAACACAGGAGAAACGGAAGGCGATCCCGGAACGGATTGTGGAATTGTGTCAACAGTGGGGCGCAAAAAGCCTGCATGCGAACATCGAGTATGAGGTTGACGAACTGAGGCGTGAAGCTAAGCTTGTTAGACTTTGCGCGGACAGCGATATCAATTTCAACCCCACACATGATACATGTGTGGTCACTCCGGGAGCGCTGGCTAGCCAGCAAGGAAAACAGTACGCCGTTTACACTCCATGGTATCGCTCTTGGTTGGCGTTTCTGAAAGAGAACCCGGATTACCTCGAGATCTCTGAGGAACCAGGTTCAAACCCAGGGAATGCGCGTCGGCAATTGAAAGACCTGTTTGATTGCAAGGTGCCAGCCGCGCCTAAAACTCACATCTTGTCGGACGAAGATCAGAAACGCTTCGAGGGACTTTACCCAGCTGGTGAGCATGAAGCTCTCCAGAGACTGGATACATTCCTCGAGGAGAAAGGTAAAAAGTATGAGGAGTTGCGGAGCATGTTGTCTGGTGAGCACACTTCGGTGTTGAGTCCCTACCTTGCATGCGGAGCGCTCAGCGCAAGAACTGCTGTCGTGACAGCAAAAAGGACCAACAAAGGTCACCTCGATCGATATGATCCCGGGTACATGACCTGGATCAGCGAGCTGGCCTGGCGTGACTTTTACAGGCATGTTTTGGTGAACTGGCCGTTCATTTGGTACGTGTTTATCTTACAGGCCAACAGTTTTCCCATTCTAATGTGAACTCCTCCTATAGTATGAACAAATGCTTCAAGCCTGAGCATACCAACATTGAATGGGAATACGATAAAGACCAATTCCAAGCCTGGTGCGATGGCAAGACAGGTTTCCCGATCGTCGACGCAGCAATGCGCCAACTCCGTCACTGCGCGTGGATGCACAACCGCACACGCATGGTCGTCTCATCTTTCCTTACCAAGGACTTGATGCTTGATTGGCGCCGTGGCGAGCGCTACTTCATGGAGAATCTGATTGATGGCGATTTCGCATCCAATCACGGCGGGTGGGGATTTGGGTCTAGTACTGGTGTGGATCCGCAGCCATATTTCCGCATCTTCAATCCTCTTCGCCAGAGTGAGCGATTTGACCCGGAGGGTGACTATATTCGTCACTGGGTGCCGGAACTGCGCGAGGTGTCTGGCAAAGCCATCCACGAACCTTATGCGAAGGGGGCGGCGGCCATTGCGCAGAAGAATGGCTACCCCAAGCCCATTGTGGACCACGCTGAGAGTCGAGATCGAGCTTTGGAGCGGTTCAAGAGTGTACTTAAGAAATAATGAGTGTTGAACAAGTAAATAATAATTAAGCGCATTGTGATCAATATTGATCAGATGAGATGTACGTACTTCGTACTTTTGTGCAAAGTAAAAGCTAAAAAAGCTGGAGAAATTCGCCAAGTCGAATTGTCAAATTGCGGGTGAGACATTAGTGCCATTTCCCCGCAACATTCTTCATTTCTCTTCTGCTTTTTTTTCTACACTTGACCTTGCCAATGACGTCCAGAAATGGAGTCCCAGGGTGATCAGCCGTCTCCGGGTCCCGACTCGGTCGAGGTTGAGCTAGCAAATGGAAAGCGACGATGGCGCCGAAACAGAGTCGCCTGCGACTCATGCCATACTCGCCGTGTACGATGCGACCGTGCTTTCCCCTGCTCGAGATGTCTGCGCGGTGATATCAGCTGCCAATTTACCCGCGAGCGCCGGAAACGAGGACGTATCGCGAGATCGAAACTGAAAAATGGAGAGGCGAATGCCGAGGACGAAACAGCCCAAGACCCCACCGAGGGGAAACAGGCTGATGGGGAATACAACCGCGAGTCGCAGTCGCAGCAGGTGCTGTCGCCAGTTGACAATAATTCTCCTGCATCCACCTTCCACCAGCGATCGCCGGCAACAAATGAGATCAGCGCCGTCTCGGCGCACAGTGTTGAAGACCCTCGGTCTGTGCCGGATCGTCCACAGCCGCAGCGGGCAGGCCCTGCCGCGAATATCACGGAGGAATGGCTTTCAGCGGCACATCTGTCGCCAGACTCGTATGATCTACTTGCAGGTACGGGCGGCAGTGACGCGCCTCTGCCTCGGTTGATGGATATTTGGAATCCGGTTGATTTCGCTGGCCACCGACCAGTCCAGCGCGCCCCTCCCATACCATCTGTGTCGGGGGCGAACGTTCCCAGGCAAAGACATCCATCGACCTCCCGGTCGCCATTGAAGTACCCTGTGTTGGAACCGCTCATGCCATTCCTCGAATCGAACCTCCCACGTCGACTGGTGTGCGATCTGCTTGAACTGTACTTTACCAGTGCTTTCTCAACCCATATGCATCCTGTGTGCCATCATATCCACTGCTACGTCCTACGAAAGACCTCTTTTTTAAGTGTCGATCGCCCTAGGCCAACTAGTCCTGCCTTGCTGGCAAGTATGCTCTGGGTAGCTGCTGTGGATGATCGCGCCTTCTCATTATCTATCTCACCATTACAACGGAGAAAGATATGCCAGTTTCTCTGTGCGTTAATTATTCGCTTACTGCGACCTTTGATACATGTCTCGTTCAAAGACCAAAATCCATCACCCGCCGAAAACGCGACCACCCACGAATTTCCAGCTGGGGCTCACCACCCATTTGAAGGAGTCGGTGACGATAAAGGGCTGGTAGGCCCCGCTGGGTCTTTAGACGATGTTATTACCTATATCCATGTGGCTTCAATTATCTCTTCTAGTGAACAGAAGGCTGCAAGTATGAGATGGTTCGTCGTACCCCTGTTCCTATCCCCTGTCCTCTCCACTAACTCCACCCTAGGTGGCATGCGGCCTTTACACTAGCTCGCGAACTTAAATTGAACCAAGAGATGGAAATAACACCCAATATCGACAGCATGAGCGATGGTTCAAGTCCGTCCTTCGGCTACGGCCTAGGCGGATGGCCTGGTTCCCCAGGTGGACTGGGTTTGGAGTATTCGAGTACCTCGCGCTCAAGCCTGAATTGTGTATGTGACAAGAACCATGACTTGCATAGTGGTCCTATTACAGAAGAGCACCGCGAAGAGCGGCGCAGAACCTGGTGGCTGCTATACATCATGGACCGCCATCTCGCATTGTGCTATAATCGCCCGCTAGCCCTACTCGATGCCGAGAGCGAAGACTTGTTGCTTCCACTGGATGAAAGCTGCTGGCAAGCAGGGATCATTCACAGCAATAGTCCTCGTCCAGATGGGCCTCAGTGCCCCCGGTCGGGCGACCAAAACAAACGTCGCGTTTTCCCCAACTTCATTTGCCACGACCACTCTATTCTTGGCTTTTTCCTCCCGCTCATGACAATCACTGGCGAACTGATCGATTTAAACCAGGCGCGAAACCATCCTACTCTTGGTGTCCGGCTTCAAGGAAAAGAAGCGTGGGAGGTTCACGTGTCGGAAGTGCTGCGCCAACTTGAGGTCTACAAAGCTAGTCTCACTACCTTTGCGGCGGCGACAGCGGCAGACCCAGCGGCCTCATCGACGACTGCCTACACCCACAATCCAGAACCTGTCGACCCGCAATTGTCTCAGGCTTATTCTTGGCATACCCAAACCGTCATTGCCTATTCCTCCTACCTAACCCACGTCCTCCATATCCTGCTTGTCGGAAAGTGGGACCCTGTCTCACTTATCGAAGACAAAGATTTCTGGACATCGTCCCCGGCTTTTGCATCGACCATCTCACACGCACTGGAAGCCGCCGATTCCGTGCAACAAATCCTCCGCTTCGACCCAGACGTTAGTTTCATGCCTTACTTCTTCGGCATCCAGCTGCTGCAAGGTAGTTTTCTCCTGCTGCTTATCGTAGAGCGCCTGCAAAAGGAAGCTGGCGAGGGGATACTCAACGCTTGCGAGACCATGATCCGAGCCACAGAATCGTGTGTCGTCACCCTCAACACGGAGTACCAGCGCAGCTTCCGGCAAGTGATGCGCTCTGCGGTTGCCCAGGCTCGGGGTCGCCCGGTTAACCCAAGTGAAATTCGGCATCGCCGAAAAGCGGTTCTTGCACTTTACCGCTGGACGCGAAAGGGGACTGGACTAGCCCTGTAAATACCCCACAAGCAGAAGCAGGTCCAGCTAGTATTTCTCTGTTCCTGTCGATCGCTGCACCCTACGGAGCTAAACCACGCGTCCTGCGGGTTTTCGTACCTGAGGGGAGCGGTGGGAACCCTTTTTCCCCACGGCCGATCTTCCCGAGGTCGTAATCTTGGGGTTGACAGGATCCTACTTTTATACGTTTGCTTCGTGTACAGTTTTGGGGTGGCTTTCTTGGATATATGGCGTTCAGTGTGTGAAAGCTTCTTTTCTATGTAACTATTTGAGAGCGGACAATTCTGCAAGTATATAATTTACCATTTACCCTTGAGGGCACCTCGGTCCATTTTTCCTTTGTGGCGTCCATAATATCTTCATCACAACTCTATATCGATTTATACCAAGGCTTGAAACGAGGCCGATGTCATTCCCCGTTCTCCTTTGGGTTTTTCAACCCTCAAGCCTTCACAATTTACCCGCTCAACGGCGGGGGTCTCGATTAAATTCTTGATGCCGAGGTACCAGAATTCACCGATTGGACAACCAACTCCCCCGAATGCACGGCCTTGACCGTAAAATCCGGGGAAATCGGTTAATTAAAGAGTTTGAAGGGATCATGCGGTCTCTGGGGATATTTTGCCGTTGGAGCTTTGCCCCAGCTTCTCCGCAACTCCACAGCTCCTCAACCTGGTTCGATGTTGGATTCAAGTTTTTTCTTTTTATTTAAATAAGTCCAGCATGCCCCCGGTTTTGCGGGGAATTGCTCTTTGCTTTTCTCCCTATGCTGGTAGCAAGGTCTCACGGAGATTCAAAATATTTTAAGCTTCATACTTCAAGCTTCGACTCCAACTCCAACCAAAAATTCAATTCATTTTTGCCCTGCCTCCTATACTTGCGCCATAATCATTCAGCCTGTGGAAAACACAGCACATCCACCATGACCGAAGCTCAGTTCCCCTACGAGATTACCTCCTGGCCTATGGAGGGTCTTGTTGATTCACATCTGGGACAACACGATGAACTCAGCCCACACCCTTTCATCGCCAGCGACTTTCCTCTGCCGATGCAGGAGGGACTGGACCCCTCCTGGACTACCGACCAATTCAACTGGGTCAATGAATATCCGGTTAAATCAACCGCATTTCAACCATATCCGCAAATGTGGTATGACGCCGGTCTAGTGAGAGAGGACTGTGGAGGGAAGAAGACGGATACTACAAGGTAAATTACTACCCAATCCTTTACCCAGAAATCCCAAGAACGGCCAGACAAGAATTAAAAAACCGCACTTTCAGAACTAAGTAACTAACATGTGCAACTAGTTTCTCACTCCGCCAATCAATCCCCTTGCAAACCACCGAGAATCCCCCGATTCATCCCCGCCCAGATCTCCAGCTCGCAACACAAAGAGCGCTCTTCATGACTCCCATCCCAAATACCCTCGCCTTCCCCTTCCCCGGATCTCCAACTTCAGATCCCCACGCGTCCCCAGACTCCAGCCATGCTTCATCAAGTGTATGGGAAGGCGAAGCCGAGCACGACGATGCCCAATACATGCAATTCGACTTCGGGCCGTCGGATTTCGGGGCCTCGGCATTAGACGCCCAATATCAGGCTCATGGTCAGACCCACACTCTCAGCTCCCCGCACCGACGACAATCACGAATAGACGAAGAATGTCTCACACCACTCGAGATGCCAGATGGGAGTACCCGCATGACATCAAATTGGTTGCCCGTAGACCCTGATGCGGGCTTTGCGATTGGTTCTTCCATGATGATGAATGAGGATGTAACGTTCCAGGACATGAAGCATGCGTTCTTTCCGTCGGTCCCCGTGGCTTGGCCGTATGATCGATGAGAGCCGGTGGCGATGCATTATTGTTTGGCCGTTTTAGACAATTTGCTGCAACTATTACCCCCTCCGCAGGGGCCCCTCCTCCCTTTAGTGCCGGCTGTGCTACACTGGGAGCCGTCATTGCGCGGTGGCGCCGCCGTGGACGGTCTCGGCGCTATCCGCGGGGTTATTATGTCCGTTGCGACCACCCACATTCCTCGCCTCTGAGAATTCTGAGTCAAATTAGGCCAGCCAGTTGGTGGATATGAATGCGCGCAGGACTGGATCGAATATGATTTCGAAATGTCTTTATTATTAGAGACGAAGGGCATCACGGGTGAGGATGGAATCGCGCCAAGAGCGAGACCACACGCATATGCCCAATTTCCACACCGTCAACCGGATCAGAAATGAAGTCATCTGAACAGCACATCCTGAATTCGGGTTCGCGCATATGCCACTCGAAAAACAAATCTTCGAGCAGAAATAGAAGCACTGCAATACAAAGTTGTTTGTTGACAAAACACTGTTATCCTTTATGGAAGTGAAAGAAAACAGCATTCTGATCGATATGTTGGTGTCATAGCCGGCCGCAAAAGGGCTCTTTTCGATCTTTCATGACCGTTAGGTCTAAGAATAAACGTCCAAACATACATACATATGGTGTTTTGATTTTCATACGATATCCTCACAGATGAATACCAAAAAATATATCAAATAACCAAAGGCCCACCTGATGTAGGAGTTAATGAGCCCTGTTTATATCTCATTCCAATCCAACCAAACAGTAATGTCCTCCAGCTCATCCCGATGCTCCATGTAATAAGCCTGTCCCAACATATGAAGCTTGCGCCGATCTGTCTTTTTAGACTTGGTGCGCGGGACTCTATCAATGAGGATGTAAAGTGCAGGAACATAGTACTTGGGCAAGTTCTGACGGACGGCCTCGCTCAGCGACAGGGTTAGCCCATGCACAGCATGCTTGTTGCTAATCGGACGGAACTCCATCTCTTCATCCGGACCGTTTTCCATGTTCATTGGGTTATTCGCCAAGTATAAGTAAACGGCCAGAATGGGATCGGCTTCGCCATCGATAGCGCCGAGAATATCCACGACAGCCGCATCGCCGGTGGATAGGTTGCGTCGGAGAACATACTCCACTTGACCAGCCTCGACGCGCGCTCCGTCGAGCTTCAGCATGCTATCTTTGCGACCCATCAGCTCGACCGTCCCATCATGGTTGTACCGTCCCAGATCTCCGGATCGATAGAGGCGATGATTCGGCCTGTCGGTGTGCAGCTGGGCCATCCAGACTGGGGGTGTGGCGAGGAAATTCTCTGACTTTCCAGAGACGTGGTCTAAATATCCCTTGGATAGATGGGGGCCCTCGATAAGTAGTTCGCCCACACCTCCGACAGGCATCAGTTGGTCGGGGTTATCAGGATTGACGATCCAGATTGCACCAGTACCAGGACGACCGACTACTGACCCGCGACCCATCTGGAGATTGCGGTTATATGCGCACATAGAAGCTATCTCACCCATGCCGTATTGGTTCACCACTTGCACCCGGTCCAGCCATTTTGCTAATACGGCGTCTGAGACTGGCTCACCGCCGATACACATCATTTCCAGTGTGGGTACGCGGTCTGGTTCCATGTCGATGGCAACTGAGGGTGTTATGAACATCATGTTCCCCTCCAGATCATTCATGTCATTCATCAGCGAGTCCATAGTCAGAGATCTAGTGGGAACACAGCAGCATCCACCGGCCATAAGAGGCGCCAGGAAGTCGTTGTTGCTGATGTCGAAGGTGTATGCATCGAATTGGAACATCCGGGAATGGGGTCCCATGCCCATGACTCGGATGTAATCGGTCAACGCGGAGGCATAGCTACGGTGCTCTTGGATAATTCCCTTTGGCTTCCCCGTGCTGCCGGAGGTGAAGAGCACCACGCAAGGGTCGGTGGGTTTGACGGTCGAACAAGGGATTGAAGTCACCAATGGTAAACTGGAAACGGAGGCATCGCTGACCTCGAAGATAGTTTCGACCCGATCGGCAAACTTTTCCTTGTACCCAGCTGAGGTGAGCATGATCTTTATCTGGGTGCGTTCGAGGACGGATGCAAGGTATGGTGGTGGGTCAGAGCCATCAACGCATATGTATGCACCGCCAGCCATGAGGACAGCCAGTCTGGCCACAACAGCCCAGGTGGATTTGTAGAAGGCGCACGCGATATAGATATTTGGTCCAACACCTTGTCCCACTAGCCAATGTGCCAACCGAGAAGTCAAATCCTCGAGTTGGCGATATGTCAGATCCCCATCCCAAGAGCGAACAGCGGGAGCATCGGGGGTTGTCTTCACGTGTTGTAAACAAAGGTCATGCAGCAAGGCATCATTGGCAGGGCCGATGTCTTTAGTGAATTGGGTAATCTGGTCACGATCTTGCGCCGAGCATAGCTCGAGGCTACCGATCGTCTGAGTAGATGCGCCGTCAATTGATGAGAGGGCCTGGTTGAAGCTATTCAAGAGGCTTGTAGCTAATGGCAGTCCAATCCCAGTGTTTCCAACATCCAACCGGGCGTGTAACCTATCGTCGGAAGTATGGCGTATTGAAAGACGGAGACCGGTGAATATCAAGTCTACCTCCGATGGTTCTTTCGCCGGTATGCCACAGCAAACCTGACAATGGCCAACGCAGGCATCCTGACCAGAGAGTATGCGTTCCGCCGGTTGCTTCTGGTAGACGATTGCCACATTGAAGCCGGAATGCTCAGTCTGGCTAATTTGGACATTATCTGTAACTCCAACATGGGATAATGGGCCCAATGCTTCAATGCTCTCCCGGAAAAGGTCTCCCACAGTATCATGAGGATCTACGTGGATCTGGACGGTCGGCTTCGAGTAGCCATGAGCTGCCTCGCCTATGTAGCATTGGCCCTTTAGATAGTCTTGACCAATGTATAGGGTTGTCGAGCAGGAAAAGGCTCTGATAGTGGTGACCCAGGCTAATTGAAGTAGTCGCTGGATGCGAATATCCGGATGTTCTTCTTGGGTGAGCGGGGGAGGGTTGAGGACATCGGCAAGGTGCAAGAGTCGCCAAGGTCGTGCCTTGAGGGTGAAGCCAACTCCGTTTGTAGCAGTACCATTGACCGCTACTTTCAATGGAGCAGTACTGGGCTGGGAAGCAACAAGTGTGGGTTCTAACAGGACTGGAGCCATGATAAAGATAAATTGTAACAAGTGTGGAGAAATCAACTAGGGCAGTTGAGGATTAGGGATTTTCCCGGCCTAAATGTAAGGCAACTTGCGCAGGGAAGGGGCATGCAGAAGTTGTCTCATTGTGAACATACCCCTTGGCATCGATCCCTTTGTTGAACCAAGTGGGCAGTCAATAAAACCTCGTCATTGACGCCACGGGCATCAATTGAGCAAATCATAGGCATGGTTCGGCAAGTTTAGAAGCTTGCAAGATGTACTATGTACAGCATCATCACTTCGTGCTCACGGAGTGTTTGCTCTTGTGTGAGAGGTCATTGTATTGGGAAATGGGCTGCCTGAGCGTCTGACCTAGAAAAGCGGGCAATTTGTGCCGGGTGGTTTGGGGGTCCTCTGCGAATAAGACAGGTGCAGACAGGGTAGAATTAAAAAAAAGAAAGGTTTCTAAATCCAGTCTGGCCAATCTGGCATTGAGGATCATCACCGATCTGCGTTGTATTTCGGCATTTTGAATAGTTCTCAGGTCAGCTCTGGAGTAGCTGTGGTACGAAGAGTCAGCTGCAGATGGAGTCAACGTATGGAGTATTCCGTAGGATATTAGGTGAGAAGGAATTAATTTAGGGGATCTAGCCTTGTCTTATAAATCATTTTCATTTGATTTGTCAATAGAAATTACATGAAACAAGTATCAAGTCCCACCAAATCAGACATTCTGCATAATCCCAGGACGAACACTCTCGAGGATCGACGACAGCTCAGCCCATAGTTTCTCACGGGCTTGGCGCCCCTCGTCACTTCGCACAAAAGGTGAAAGCGAAGTGTTCTCCGCATATCCATCATGCATATATGCACCATGACTTTCGAGTCCAGCTGTAGCGCCCGCCACTAGCGTTCGAGATCCAACCTCCGTGGACCGCGCCAATACCATTTTCATCAATGTGAACTTCCAGCCACCCTCTCGCCCCAGCTGTGAGTGGCAGAGACCGGGGTTGAGCATATTGATGATCACCTCTGATCCACGAACTCGGCCCGCCAGTTCCTGCACAAGCAGCACCTCGAGCAACTTCGATAATGGGTACCGCTCGCCCATTTTGGCTTTTGTTTGGTCGCTGACCACCTTCATTGGCTCATCTTCCTTCCATTCTGTAAAGTCAACCCATGCGTGTACCTCACTCACAACGAAGGTAAGTCGGGGTGTGTGCGATGGGGTTTTTTGTCGTGTGGCTTTCAGAGTTGGTAGGAGGAGAAGACCGAGGAGTAGAGTGTTGATGACATTGACAGTCACAGTTCGCTCATAACCCTCGACAGTACTGAACTCCGCTGTGGCAAGTGCTGCATTGAGGATGGCTGCGTCGAGCTTGGGGAGCTTGGAAATGCGCTCGCCAAAGGCAAGGACCGAGGCGTGGGAAGCCAGATCAACCTCCCACACTTCACAGACGCCTAGGCGACCTGTAGACTTCTCAATTTGCTCCTTTGCTTCTGTGCCTGCAGCCACATTTCGAACACCCAGGATTACTCGTGCTGCGCCTAGTCGCGTGATGTGCCTTGCAGCTTCTAGCCCTAAGCCGACATTGGCGCCAGTGATGAGCACCGTCTGATGTGCGAAAGACTGTGTTGGATATGTGGGAGTGACAAAGAATTGTGAGTAAAGGAAACCCATGATGAGTGAATAATATTTTAATTGATGATTGTAGAAAAAAACAAAAAACAAGCTGAAAAGAATGGCTCTAAGTATGTAAAGAATGCCAACGTCATGACGGGGTGCCTAGGCGGGAGTTTAGCGGGGATAAGGTCATGTCGGCATTAGGGGATTCTTATCACCGAAGAATAGAAGAGATGGATATAAGACTATTGATTATGAAAAGATGTGTATTGAGATCGAAATTTTGGCAATCTAGGCGTATGTGTCGATGCTAATACCGGTATCAAAATACTAGAGTGGCAATTGGTTTATATCCATTCCTCTTACCCAGCATGACTCGAAAGTCTGCTCTGAAGAGATCCTTCGGAAAATAAAGGCAGCATATATATGATCGCAATCCAACAATTCCAAAGTCGAAACGTTTGTTTATCCCCTCGAATAGAACGTACCATCAGAGTTCTCAAGGCCACCAGCGAAGCCAATGCCATGCTGATAGTGAACCAAAGAGACGAAACACCCCAAAATATCGGACACCATATTCCCCAACAGAGCATGGGTAAAGCAATAGTCCAGCGCGCTGCAGTATCACCCCAGACCAGGGGCACCGTTCGCCGACCGCGTTTAGCATCGCCGGGTTGATCGGACATGTCCTGCAATTGGACGGTAGAGAAAATAATCCCGATGATGACAAGAAGCCACCGTCCCAACCACCCAAGCGGGTGAAGAGAGAGCAAAGAGCCGCCCAAGGCCACTTCCATCGCTCCCGATGCGAAACAGGTATACCCCAGTCCGTTGATAATGTTCCGAATGACCGGGTTCTTGTCTGCGCCACCCCAGTTATTGTACCACAGCCCTAACCATATCAAAGCCACAGAATGTCGGACCCCACCAGCGAATGCAATACTATATATCGGGGCAAGTATATATAGAGTGACCATGACTCGTGTGCCCCACTGGTGAGAAATCCGACCGCGAGGAAAGGGGCGCCATGGCTTGTTCAAACTGTCCTCGGCAATGGCTCTTTCACCCCGCTGGTTGTTGATGGCAAATGGGATCAAGTTGATCAGAAGCCATGATACTGCCGCCAGAGTTCTTCGAATTGACTTTGGAGAATCGCTGAAGGTTTTAGGAGGAGATAGCGCTCCTGGAACATGCGGGTCGTATTTTGAAGCGGCCCAGGCGTTTGTGATTCCGAAAATCGTACTTGGTGCTACAATAGTTTTGAAATCGCTGAAGACGAACAGCCAGAGGGTATACAAGTGGTACCACAGAGCTTTCAATGTGCTTTGGGCAATTGAGAGACATTGGCTCATGGCTGATGAGTATTGATGATCCAAATCGAGGTTCATGATATATGGTATCGTGAGTCGGGGTTTTATATCACACACGCTTGAATTTAAGCGTTAGGACCTGGCTTTGGGAATGGACGAAGAAGGAACGGTCAAATGAGAGAAGAGTATAAGGAACCAAAGGCCGTAGACTTTTGAATGTCTTGAACATGGCGCCAAACTTATGCTAAATAGCTGAGCAGTTTTAGAGATGAACTATTAACACATTAGGTTACCTAGATATATTTAAAAAGGCTGACTTTAGGTCATATCCTCCGATGGCTACGGATGACGAGTATTGTCCAACATTGTCTTGCGGTTCTTCTTTTGCTGTGACGTTTATGATACAAAGAGCCATAATTAGAGCCACTATAGGAGTTGTCCCACTTTGAGAGTCGGAATAACCATTGCTACATCCAAACTATTCGATTTGATCATTATCATGCTAGCTACAGGGGTAGTTGCAATTATTGTGGGGATACTGGCCCATCAACTTGTCTTTATTCACGGAGAATGGCATCTCAAGGGCCCTAGGGTCGTCGTTGTTCATCTTCTTTTTAGTAGTCTATTATATGCAACGCATTTGTTTGGCTGTGGAGACATTCAAGCCAGCTTGGTTCAGACAATATACTTGGCGACATGCTATCTCTCATCACTATTCACAAGCATTGCGGTATACCGACTTATGTTTCATCGATTGAAACAATTCCCCGGTCCCGAATTAGCCGCAGTAACCAAATTATGGCATGTTTGGAAATGCCGTGATTCTCGCGGCCATCTCGTCTTGCAAGCCTGGTACGAAAAATATGGGGAGTTCGTACGAACTGGTAAGATATATCACAAGTCAAGTAGGAATCCCCGATAACATTGAATATAAATCTTCAGGTCCTAGCGAGATTACCATTTTTCACCCGGAGGCCTACGAGGCCATGGATGGTCCTAACAATCGCAACACACGGTCTGATTGGTACGATCTTCTGTACCCTCGGATATCCTCTATCTTTACTCGCAACCGACAGTTGCATCATGAACGGCGGAAGATGTGGGAGCAAGCGCTGAGCAGAAAAGGTCTGGTGAATTAAATGCCCACAATAGATCGGAGACTGACACGCTCGTTCAGCATTGGTCCAGTATCATCGGCGGGTGGTCGAAAAGGTACGAACACTGCAAAGGCTAGTTGCCTTAGGACAATCTCGTCCTGTTCTCATAAACGAGTTGATGTACTTCTTCGCTTTTGATTCGATGGGTGATTTTGCCTTCAGCGAAGATTTCGGCATGATGAGGAACAAGAGGTGGCATTCGTCGATAGCCATGTTGCGCTCGGCGCTCACGTTGCTAGGCCCATTCAGCCCTGCAATATGGATCCCGAGACTGGGATTTGCGTTTATTCCTTCGCTGTGGAAGGTGCGGCACTGGTTCCATATGCTCGAATTTTGTGATCAATGCATGGCTCGACGGATAAAGGTAGTAGAAACTGTATGGGACATCGAACATCTAACTAACATAGGTCTAGAAAACTCTCTCAGATCGCGATATTGCTTCTTGGTTTATTGAAGACCACGTCAAACATGGATCAGATCCCACGCGTGCACGGTGGTTGAGCGGTGATACTGCAACACTGGTTGTAGCTGGAAGGTCGGTATGAATGGATATCATAAGGCGATGGACTGACAATCGTAGCGACACCACTGCCCCGAGCCTAACCCTTCTTTTCTATTTTCTCGCTCGCTATCCCATGCATGCCGATAAGATATATGAAGAGATCCACAGGGTTGACAGAGAGAATCCAACTGCCTTGGCCACGTTGCCACATTTGACAGGGACTATAAACGAAGCAATGCGATTGCTTCCGGCAGTACTAACCTTCAGCTCTCGAGTGACTCCACCAGAAGGACTAATGATAGATGGGACATTCATCCCAGGAAATACCAAAATATGTGCACCACGCTACACAATCGGTCGACGTGAGAAACCCCTTGTCTCGTCTTAGGTCAGACATACTAAAATGAACTTCAAGTTGAGACAGCATATGTCTACCCCCATGAGTTCATTCCCGAGCGGTGGTACAGCCAACCGGAGATGATTAAGGATAAGAGGGCATTTGCTCCTTTTGGTGTCGGTAAGCTACAACCCTACTATTGACCCGGGTGGTCAGATCTCCCATGTGGCCAGTTGGGTTGCACGGAGATAAAAAGAGGCTCGTATTCTGAGTGTTTGTTTCGACAGGGCGTACGAGCTGTGTTGGTCGCCATTTAGCTCTTGCACAAATCTGCCTCGTCACTGCTGCCTTGGTGTTCCATTATCGGATCAAATTTGCACCTGGTGAAAATAATGGTGAGGCTGTGGAACGGGATATGAAGGACCAGTTGACTGCGCAGCCTGGTGCTTGCTGGCTTGTATTTGAAGGTCGGGTATAGGCAAGGTGAAGCGAGGTAGGGCCGAGTGTGGAAATAATTCGAGGAACGATAATTCTTCATTGATTTCGATTGATTCCTTTTTCAAATTCCGTTTGAGAAGTGTTGAACTAGATAAAATTTGCAGACAATACGAGTTCACTCTTCCTCCTTGGGCCGAAATCCCCAGGCAACGTGGATGTCAAATGTAACATAACAACCAGATTGAACGTCCGCATAAGCTTTCTGCTCTAGATCTTCAATCTGCCGAATGGTCAACGCCCCCTGCGACCCTCTAGCAGAATGAAGGCGCGCCCACGCGAACATCGCCCTCATTCCATTAACAGTCAAGCGTGGGCGCGTATCATACACCCGACCCGCCGAAACAGCCTCAGTATGGACATCTACAAAACCAGCGGCGCGCATGTCGGTTGCCAATCGGTTCCACCCATATTCGAAGCTAGGCTTCATAGCCGTGAGGAACATCAATCCTATGGTACTTGCAGCATCTGTCGTAGAATCAGGTCTACCGGGGAGATGGCGAACATCGGTAAAGTTGCACTCTTCCCACTGCATAGCACCGCCAGGCTTCAGAAGCTTAGCAAGATTGCGAACAACTCTCCCCCATTCGGAAGCAGTCAAGCCAGCGGCAATGAGTCGAACGTGAACGATATCATATTGTCCATAGAGGCTGACTGGAACATCCTTGCGGGCGTCAAGAAGGTGTGTAGTCACGTTTTTGGGGAGGGTTCTAGCGGGTGGATAGAGCGAAGTTGATATGTCATAGCCGTGTAAGATTGCATCGGGCCAGTCCTGGGCGAGGTCGCGCAGGAAGGCTGCAGTGCCGGTGGCGATGTCAGCAACTCGCGCGTGGGGATGCATTATGTCTCGAACGGACGGGTGCAGCAGGTAGCCGATGTTTCTGTGTCAGCTGGAGTTAGTATGGTTTGATTGTGGGCTGCTTTGCACTACAGGACTTGGCGAAGTTGCTTACTCGGTGAGGAGATCGAATTGCTCGTCGAGCCTATCGAGCTGATGTTAGTATTTGACGTTTTTATTGGCTGTTGATGAGTCCTTACCTTTGCGCTTCGGTGGAATCTCGCTGCATATTCTCCGCGTACGTATCCCCGAAAAGAGGCATTTTGAAAAGAGTACTTTGAGTCAAACCCCCGAAAGTCAGTATCTCAGATTGTACAGATAGAGGGAGGATGCAGGAGGCTGCAGTGGGTTGATGTGAAGAGTGTGAAGCTCGATGTTGTGAATGACCGGGTGAGTCTAATCTCTCAGAATAACCTTGGATGTTTGGATTTCACTGCAATCGCTTGGGTCTCACTTCAGTACTTTCCCAGCTGAAACTCTGCTGATCCACGAATTGGAGGAAGTTGAGTTCAAAGTTTTCACGTTGTACGAAATGAAGTCTGTAGTGTTCATCATGGACACTTCCCCTATTAGACATTATTTGCATATGCTGTCCTCTAGACTGAAAAACCATAACAGATTAGTTGAAATGACAGCGTCTCTTGATCTTGCAGAATGCCATTGTTTCTTTTGACCTTAAACTCCTGCTATCAAGCTATTTTCTCTACATTCTCTCTACTGTCCATCAACTTTGTTTTATCTGCCAGGCCCGTGGACTTCGTCATTGCTGACTCTAGCAAATATGATCCACTTGAATCATCGGTCTCCAGTTCTGATTGTGTGGAGTTTAATATTTTTCTTCATTGCTGCATTAGCTGTTGCACTTCGAGTTGCCTCTACCCATATACGACGTCGGGGCTTTAAATGTCATGATTATCTTGTTTTCTTCTCACTGGTAGGTTTGACTGATCGTCAAGCTCTTCAGCCTGTTGATTATAAGATCAGGTGCTATTGACTGGATATGTGGTGGACATGCTGATAGGTATGTTGATCCAACCAACCCTCTGCGCGGTAAACAGGGCCAACATTTCGTACCAGGGGCTACCACCGCTGGCTATGGCGGACATACGGCGACTATGGCTTCACGCAACCCAGGAGAGTTGGTTAGCGCATTGAAGGTATTTGGTCTGTCTTCTTGGATATTTATGCGAGGTATTAACCTTGTTAGATCTTCTGGGCATCAGAATGGATGTGGGCAACCTCGACAGTCTGCTTCAGACTCGCAATACTTCTATTATATATTGAGATCTTCCCAGGAAACCAGAAGTTCTTCTGGTGTGCAACTGGTGTGGGGTGTCTTGTCTTTCTTTATTGGGTGTCTGCGGTCTTGACTATCGCTTTGCTCTGTCGCCCAGTGGCCTACAACTGGGACCGCACGATTCCAGGGAGCTGTGGGGACGTCTTGAAGATACAATATGCATCTGCAGGGTTCAACATGGGGATTGATTTGGGAGTCGTGTTACTGCCACTCCCTATTGTATGGCGATTGCAAATGTCGAGTCGTAAAAAGACCGGTGTCACTGCATCGTTCGCGATAGGCATCCTGTAAGCCCCACACGAGGTCCGCCCCGTCCCATATTCAGTTGCTGACTGCTAGTAGAACGGCCGGTATTAATCTAGGCCGCATTATTCAGACCAAGTTGTGTCCAGCTGATGACTTAGTCTACTGCCTCAGAGACTCCTCGATTTTTATCATGGCGGAGATGACGGCTGGAATACTGGTGGCCTGTGTACCAACACTTGGGTCCGTATTGTTTCGTGGGCGAAATGTACGTTCTGCACAACCACGCGATTTACCCACAATTGGGTCAGTTCGAATTCGCCGTCGTCCAGCAAAATTCGACTCTTTACTTTCCACGCTCGATCGCAGTCACAATGATGGTGAAGAGCGAGGCCATACAAAGGAAGTGGAGCCCGTGGGTGCCCCCACAGCACATGCCGGGGCTGGGGATGAAAATGAAGCTCCAGAGACAGGGATTTTAGTGACGCACGACCTCGATGTGCATAGTTTGAATGTTCTCCCTCGAGTGTCAGAGACTTCTACTGTTTGAAAAGCAGACAGAAAGCCTTGTCTTCACAGTGGGATGGGCAAGAATATCCTTGAAATGCACGTTCCCTTTTGTCGGGAGATCTACACGGCTCCACAGTCAGAATCTAGACTCTTTCTTGACCAAATCCTGACAACGCACCAGGATATGTGTATGCTTATGCTCCGTAATGCATGTCAGATTTGTACTACCTTGAGTCTGAGCCGTTTGTACTGTTTTGTGGCATTGGAATATTATTTCTACAAAAATATATAATTGAAAAAGATAAACTAATTGGATCAGATCTGTCAAACTTAACAGATCACATGTACATATACAGTCTTGAATATTTTCTTATTTTCCTTTGTCAGGCATCAACACAATATAAGGCTGCCAGACCACGTGCGGGGAACCTTGACATTCCTCGACACCTCAACTTTTCCCCCTTCACAACTCACCATGGCTTCCAAGTCCTTTGCGGTTGTCATCTGCCATGGCTCCTACCATACACCTGCCCCATACCAAGCTCTTGTTGACGCTTTGACTGCGAAGGGCATCGAATCATATTGTCCCCAACGGCCCACTTGTGATCTCAGTCAACTCAATGTCGGCAACCCAAATAACCCTGATTTTGATCGCAAGGCTCCCCCAGGAGGCTATCCACTTCCCTCAGATGACGCAGCAGAAATTGGGCTGCTCCTCGACAAGTTGATTGCACAGGGAAAGTCGGTACTACTTGCAGGACACTCTTCTGGTGGTTGGGTCGCCGCTGAGGCTGCGCAATCTTCTCGCCAAGCCCCTGTCCGTGCAAAGGAGGGAAAGACTGGTGGTGTCATTGGGATCTTCTTCATCGGGGCATTCATTGTTCCAGAGGGCCAATCGGTCCACTCATTCTTTCAGCCGCCGGATGGCAAAGTTGTTGTGCCTCCGTTTATGCAATTCCATGTGAGTTGATCAGTGAACCACTTCATGTTTGTAAATACTAACCGTTGATGATAGAAACATGGTGTGCATGGCCTTGGAACTATGGTCGACCCTGAACAATACCTCTTCAATGACCTTGACGCGGCGACTGCGAAAAACTGGGCATCCACGTTGACAGCAGCTCCCGTTATGAATAGTCCCCTCACCCACAATCCCTATGATGTACTCCCGTGCGCCTATCTTGTGTTAGAAAAGGACCGTACATTACCCAAGGACTATCAAGAAGGAATGGTGGCAAGCCAGAGTAAGCCATTCACGGTCTATCATGCACCCTGCGGCCACTCGCCGCACCTTAGTTGGACAAATGAGCTCGTTGCGAAGATTGAGGAATTTGGAAAGCAAGTTCTAGCTGAAAGCAAAACAGATTAAGTGATATCCAGAAATAAATATCCATTTGAAAATATATCAAGAGCAAATATGAGTTACACTTGAACAATCTCAAGGTTTGACAAATGGAAAGTTGAAGAGGTTTGTGCAACGCGCCTTCCCTCGAGGTCAAACACTTTCCCATTCCACTTCTCATTTCTTCGTCTCTCCGAACTTTCAATCTTTTCACTCTTTCACGTATCTCCCCTCAACCAGCCATGGATGTCCCTCACTATGTATTCGGTGCCCAAGGTTTTGGTGTGGCCTGGACAGCTAACAACGTTGACCACTTGATGAAGAGTCTCATGGAGGCTGGACTTTATCAATTTGACACGGCTGCCCTGTATCCCGCCACAAATCCTGGTGAATCTGAGGAACTACTCGGCAAAAAAAAGCCAGCAGATGCGATCATCGATACAAAGGTGCTCTTCATTGGCGATGACTCTTTGTCGTTCAAAAACATAGGAGCCTCTATCAAGGCCAGTTTGGAGCGACTGCAGGTCAAGAAGGTGAGTAAAAGGCACCCACTGGCTATCTGTACACGACTAATACGGCTATCACTAGATCCACACACTCTACGCTCATGCCCCGGACCGCAAGACCCCGATCCCGCTACAAGCCGCACACTTTGATCATTACTATCGTGAAGGCTACTTTGAAAGGTTGGGTCTCTCCAACTACAGTCCGTCTGCAATCCGCGCCTGGATGGAAATCGCAGTGGAGGAAAACCTGATCATGCCTTCTGTCTACCAAGGCCAGTACAACGTCTTCTGCCGAGGCTACGAGGATGAACTTTTCCCCGTACTTCGCGAGTTCGGTATTGACTTCGAAGCAACCTCGCCGTTGGCGGGTGGATTCCTCACCGGCAAGCTTTCCTATTCGCCATCGCCCGAGCAGCTGGAGGGTACTCGTTTCGAGGTTGGAGAGGGTAACATGCTTGGTGCAGTTTACCGTATGTGGTATGACCAGCCCCTCTATCACCAAGCGATGCGAGCCTTGGACAATATCGGTAAAAGACTGGGGACTACAGGGGCTCAATGCGCGCTGCGCTGGCTGCTTTTCCACTCGAATCTCATGGACCCTGACCGAATTGTCATCGGGCCAAGCACCCTGGAGCAGCTTCAAGACTATGTCGATGCTCGCAAGGCCGGACCACTTCCAGCCGATGCAGCAGGCGAGATCAGTGCACTTTGGCCGACTCTGAAGGAAGCTGCGGCGACAATCATTGAGAAGGGATGGTGGTCTCTGTGATTGATATGTTCAACGCTCGGGAGATCGTGACCGAATTGCTTATGAGAGAAATTCCAATGGATGATAGCTGTCAGGCTGGACCACAAGTATGCACTCATCCATTTAAGCCTTAAGCTCACAGATACACACAAACTACATGCAATGGTATCTCCTTATTCTTTATCACACGTATTTCCCCTGCGACACCATTCCCTCAAATGGCCTTATGACTTGCACAATCGCCCATTCTCAGCCACTGTCCAAGCCTCACTGCCCACAGCCTTAAAAGCGTAGAACGTATTGTGAGGATCATACTTTCTCTTGATGGCTAGTAAATTGTCATAGTTATCCCCATAAAATACCTGTTGCCAATCTTTCTGATTCGGATCAGCTTCATTCAAGTATGCACCACTTCCAGGTGTCAACTCTTCTAGAGGGGGCATGAGAACATCGGTAATGAGCTGCTGGTGAGCGACATCGCTACCCCAGTCATTATAGTCGAACAGCCTGGGTGAATATTAATAAAGCTTGCATGGCTCTAGAAGGGAATAAAACACATACGCTCCAATTACAACATCCATCAACGCCTCCCGCCAGGCTCGGTTGACACTGTTTTCGGGATATGCAACACGAGACGAGTTGACCATAACTCCTGAAATAAGAAATCCGGCATTCTTTTCGACAATATTACGGAATACTGTGGTCAGATTGGCCAAGTTCTGTTCGACCACGGATCTTGGAACCAGGCGACCACCAGCAAGTTGATCAGTAATGTTGCTCGGTGGATTCATCGCCTGGTACGCGTCGGAGTATGTAGGGAAATCGTTCACATAATATGCTGGTCACCCTCTGTCAATGTTCACTCCAACTTCACGACACTTAATTACTTACTGTGCTGTATGTCATTTTGTTCAAGGAATGCAATCAAAGTGCTCAAAAGAGAATTGAAAAGCGTCGCTGTGCCGCCTGGAATGGTAGTAGGCGTAGTTGAGAAGGTAGTGTTGGTTAACCACCAAACACTTGCACCCCCAGCATCCCCGATCGAGGGAAGAATGGATATAAACATGGTGACCGCTGCAAAGAATGTATCTCGCGATACACCCGTGTCAGAAAATGAAAGATTACCTGATACCGTCGGCAGCTCAGGGTAAGCTTTGCTTGTCATCGACACAACAACACCATAAGTGCCTCCACCTCCACCGGACAGTGCCCAGTAGAGATCTGGATATTCTGTTGGCGATGCGGTTACCAGGCTCCCATTCGCGAGAACCACCTCCCATTCCAGGACCTGATCAGCGGCGAGCCCAACGTGGGACACAAGTTGGCCATGTCCGCCCCCTTGCGAATATCCCCCTGCCAGCCCGACCGTTGGACAGTTACCGCCCACGATAATAAGTCCAGCTTTATATGCCGCCTGGTTGGCTTCGAAAGATTGTACTCCAGCTCCCATCTTCATGGCTTTGCCGGAATAGTCTGACGAGGCGTAGTCCACAATGGCAATATCTTTCATGTAATGCATCCAGATCGCCAGCCCTCCAGCTCCAGTGGACTTCCCAAGTAGGTCATGTCCAGTATTTCGGATAACAAGGCGGATGTTGTTACGAGCTGCAAAATTAATTGTTTCCTGGACGTCTGCGGCGTCTGTCGCGTTCACTGTGTACTGGACGTAGTTCCCGATCGAGCAAGGCGAGGATTTTGATGAGAAGGGATTACAGCTTAGGTTCGTGAACACGGACGCCATAATTGACGAGGGACTCTCATAGTGTGTTTCTGGGAAACCCCAATTTGACTGAAGCTGTACGCATTGCGATTGATCGTAGGGCGTGAATGAGTCGACGTGACAGAAGCTGGCGATCGGGACTGTCGCAATCAAATTCCCATTCACGGTTCTGTTAAATTGGGCCCATCTATGATCTTCAGGCCAGCAGGGGTCTTGTGGCATGTAACGACAAGTAGGGAAGCTTGTGTCATTTGCGATTGAAAGCCCACATATCACAGTTGCGACGGAAAGGACAGTTAGGCAGAGCCGCCTCCATGCGAGACAGGGGTTGGTCATTGTGATACTCGAGCTTAGCCTCGCTTTTTGTCACTGCGAGTAGACAGACAATATACCTGCATAAAAGGCATAGCCCGACGAACGCGGTATTTTCTACGAAGTAAAGCTCAGCTGCGTAGCCGAAAACGGCGAGCAATACATATGAGACCCTGATACATGCCGAGATATCACATCACTTCGGCTCCCGCATATGTCGCTGTGACCACAACGCTGAGTCAGAGCCTAGGGAGGTGGGTGCTTTGATTGAAGTTTTGAGGAATAATATACTCGGTTACTCATCTTAGGTACATGTGTGAGAGAGGCGGCTCGTGTCAGTCTTAGACTGCCTAAGATCGGTGTAACTAGGCTTAAGGAGTGACACGTAAGACTTTCAGAGATGAGTGAGGCGAATACTTATCATTACTAAAATAATATGAAGTGAAACATTGAAGATCGTCTGATTATCTTTGTAGAGTCGAGTTTACTGGGGGTTATTGCGACCTAAACAAGGGTGAGCACTTTGGTCTATCTACTATAAGGTCGTGACCAAACATAGGGACCGGCTATACCCTGCCCAGGTGGCCGCTATGGGCGACTAAGTATGCCACCGGTTCATAACCCTCCTATTGAACACTACCTCGCCGCCTCTTCCATCGCCGCCTTCTTGAAGCATATACAGCTTCCTAATTAACTTCAATTCATATACTAATTTCAACTTCTCTTTTATTTTCTATAACAATAGTCGGCCGGGTTTATGGCCTTATGATAGCTGGTCTTTTAAAGGGTCTTTTTAGATATATATAATTAGATATATATAAAGGCGGCTAAAAAGTATAATTTAAATAAGGCTATCAGGAACACTTCAACTTTACAATAATAGTACAACTAACGAATGATCTTAAACCCTATGAAAATAAAATCATCTCTCTCTTCTAACCCGGTATATCTTCTAATTCTAGTTCTGTATACTTCAATTTAATATACTTTGAACATGGTACTTTTAAGATTGGAAAGTGAGAGTGAATCTAAGTTACTGCTTGGCAATATAAACCAATGAGAGAGTTATGAACCAGTGGCATACTTAGTCGCCCGTAATCCACACGGCTAATGGATTGTTATACAACCATATAAGTTTCTTTGGCTCTTATATTAACCTCACGTTCAATCAGAATCCCTCTTGATTTACCAACAAGTCACTTTCCGTTCCTTGTCGGTCCCAATGGCGAGTATTCCGTACGATACCTCAATCAGTAATCAAGTATCTATGTAGGTATCAAGGCAGTGAGGTCTTGATTGCTTGGTCTAGGTAGTCAGATCTCCCTTTGTTGTTATAGAGCTATAAAGAGAGCTCCATGGCAGTATATAGATCCAACAAATGTTGTTTCCTTTCTCTCTCCTGTTTGATGATAGCCAGCTTCCATGTCAAATTCAAGCAGCAACCATATGGTGTCGCAACTTCCAAAGACCATCTTAACGGCCGTGCCTCGGTGGGAGGAAAATTCTGGCCAGTTGACGCCCCAATATTTTCGGCAACTCTCCTTCCGTTCGTCCCCGCATGCCGGGGGATCATCCCCCGTTTTCCCCCACAAAAGATCCTATAACCCATCGGGCGAAGCCCCCTATTCAACCGGTGTAAGTTGCAAGCTGTTACTATTACACCATGTCTACACCCGCTAAATCAGAGTCTGGAACACAGAAGCCGAGGGTAATTTATTCAATCGAGCGTCAATTGGGTACTCAAACTAACTCAAGTCCAGCTTCATACGCCCCAATGGGTGTCTCTCGTAGCCGGAGGAGTTGCCGGTGGAGTTGAGGCAGCCATAACGGTGGGTTTCTTGAATTTACAAATAAATATTTCAGTGACTAACTGTCACAGTATCCATTTGAGTATTCAAAAACACGTGTTCAACTGTTGAATGACAGTGCTATTCGGACTTCCAATCCACTTAGTCTTATTGTCCAAGTTGCGAGACAGGAAGGTGTCGGTGCTCTGTACACAGGGTGTTCAACTCTTGTCATCGTTGGTCTATTCATTCCGAGCGAAAGTTGACACCACATTGATCAAATTCTATAGGGAACAACAGCAAAAGCCGCTGTCCGGTTCGTATCCTACGATACGATCCGCAACTCTCTCGCAGATGATCGCGGTGTACTGTCAGCTGGCCGGGGAATGCTCGCTGGAATGACCGCGGGTGCTGTAGAGAGTGTACTGGCAGTGACACCGACCGAGAGAATTAAAACTGCGTTGTCGGTATCCCCTGCCATCTATGTTCAAAGGGATTGAGCTGACTGATCTCGCCACAGAATCGACGATGCAAAAGGCGCTCGGCAATTCAAGTCAAGCATACATGCAATTCAAGTCCTAGTCCAAAGACATGGTATCGCCGAGCTTTATCGTGGTCTTGTCTCCACCATGATGAAACAATCAGCCACTTCTGCAGTACGTATGGGAACGTACAATGTTCTCAAAGAAGCCACCAAGGCTAGAGGCATTAAGGCAAACGTGTTCACGACATTCGGCATCGGTGCCCTGGCAGGTGTAGTCACTGTCTACGCTACCCAGCCATTTGATACCATCAAGACGCGTGCACAGGGTGTCCAAGGAGCTGGCATTGTTGAAGCCTCCCGAAGCGTGATTCGCGACTACGGAATTCGAGGATTTTGGAAGGGTAGCTCGATGCGACTAGGTCGGCTGCTTCTCAGCGGTGGTATCGTATTTTCTGTTTATGAAGAGGTGGCCGCTATTCTGTCTCCGGGGACACATCGCTAGATCACAAAAAGAACCGAGAAAATTGGGCACACTCGGCTATGTATGAATTAGACTATACAGGCTTGCTTTCGAATGGATAGGGAATAATACAGGGACATAATCACAGAACAGGGCTGGTGTAAACCTCAATAGAAGCCTTTTCCACGGTATTCCTCCAGCCAGGAAAACGCGCCCGTGGCACAATCGAAATCCGATCACCTGCTTGAAGATTTTGCATCCAGCGGAGCTTCTGGTCCCTCCGGTACGTAATCTGGTGGTTCATGGCTTCGCGCCCAGCGTGGACATTGGTCGCCAGACGAAGATCTTCATCCGTGGAAATATCATCGCGTCCAGGTGATCTTTCAATACCAAGATCGAACCACGTCCAAGAGTTTCGGAAGGTTCCATGATCTTCGCGATAGCTGCTCCATCCTTGATCATGGCTCAAGATGTTGATTCTGACCTCCTGAACGGGAAATCGCTCGCCTTGAATGGGCTCAGATGTCAAATATGGGGTTCGATCGCGACAGTCGGCTTCATTATACTCCATGCTGTCTTCTCTGTAGACGGTAGATAACACCCAATACTCTGCGAATTCTAAAATATCCAGGACGAGTTCAGACGGCAGCTTTTGTCGGAGAATGTTGAAGCTCTCAACGGCATCTGCTGAGTGTCTTGGGTAATGCATTTGATTTCCTTTAATGGTGGCCGAAGCTTCATGTTGGATATGGTTGACATCCTCGGATGTTGTGGAGTACGAGGATCCCATGGCGACCAAAAGAGGTGATGTTGTTAAGCTGTTAGCCTCCCAGTGGTGTGCGCCCGACTAGCTCGGCCACTCGTGGCTTGGCATCGCGATCGAGTTGTGGCTATGCAGGATCACGGGGCATAGTCCTTTTTCCAAATGTCAAATAGTTAACAACTCAAACTTACATATTTAGGAAATTGAAACATGTTTACATGGTATTTGAAGTAGTAGATACTCAAAAAATGACGCGGTCTCGGTTTTGTACGCTATACAACAAAGTGATATATATCGGGGATCATCGGATGCAAATCATGTATTTGGGCCCCTTAGGTAGTAACATAGGGAATCTTTGTATGAAGAACCTCTAGCGTCTACGGTCACTTGAAACGAACTTATTGACAAGGAAGGAATAATCTTGTTTATCAATTTATCAACGAGGCTACCAAGTCCCAGTGCTTCCTGTCGTGTTCATACTACGCTCACTTCGCCCAATTTTATTTCCATGTACGAGCTTGGCTCCACCTACTCATCCTCTTCATCTTCATTCTCCACGTTCTCCTCTTCGTTCTCCTCTTCATCCTCCTCTTCATCCTCCTCTTCATCGTCCTCGTTCTCCTCCTCGTTCTCCTCCTCGTTCTCCTCTTCTTCCTGCTCCTCCTCTGTCCCCATTTTCATAAGCTTGAATCCAGCAAACACATTCTCGGCACCAGAGTCCTCCCCATCATCACTAGAGGAATCGATATGACCAGTCTCGGTAAGGAAACCAGCAACTTTTGCGATATCATGGTCGATACGATCCCTGGCAGACTTCAAAGAACGGAGAGCTACACGCTTTTCGTGGTAGTTCTTCCGTGAACCCACGCTGGGATCATCTAGAGGTGAAGAATACCAAACACAATCGTATTGGGGCCCTGTCCGGGAAGGAGTGTCGGTAGAGGGCTCGCCATTCTTTCTACCAGCCTTAGGTACAGGAGCATCGGTGGAATGTTCCTATAAAATAGTTAATAAGCAATCCACTTAGTATATGCCCGGGTGTGGGACTAGAGGTTACACGGAATGACGAACAATATCTTTTCGTTTCCTGGGGAGGGTATTTGGTACTTGTATCAATGGAGAAGAATGAGGTGGCAAAGTTTTGATAGCTTCCAGTAGCCAATCTGGGAGTCTGCCCTTAACTGAACATAATTAGCACTACCATACAAAAGAGCACACCGGAGAAGCCACACTTAAACTACAACCCCTTGTGCTGGAGAAGTGACAATTCATGCAAGCACCACGGTACATTAGCTTGGGCGATCCTCTCAGATTGTAAGCGAATACAACACATGACTTGAAGGTGCCCTCGTAAAAATGACAGTGGTTACACTCTTCCCCTTCGGGTGCGATCGGTCCAATCTGCTGCCCAATTGCTGAATTTACCTGTAATCCGTTGAGTAAATCTTGTGGGCCATTTGTCCAGTCCAGGGTCCGAGAAAAGGTAGCATCTTCTTTTGCAAGAAGTCGCATCAGGCTGGTCGTTGGTCCCATGGAAATGATTTGGCCTGGGTCAACCCTACCCTCAGGCGTAAGGCCTAACTTGTCTTGCAAAAGTTCAGAATCTTGCCTCAAAGAATTGAAGATCAACGTACTGCCAGCTGAAGAATAACCACGGTCTGTTGAACTTTCCTGCCCTAATGCTGCATAGCAGACAGTGAGTAAGCATCAACCTCTCGGTTTGGTTAGTCTCTGCGAAGTATTTATTTACCGTTAGATTTCTTGGAGGGCATGTTGATGTAACGATGAACAATCAACAACTGGTAAAGTAGCCCTGTGCTGAAAGCTGAAAGCCTTCGAAAATTAAAAATATCAGTATTGTGGAGGCCAGTTGGATGTGAAAGGAAAGAAAGCCTAAGTCATAACTGCACTACAGGGCTCTATTTTATATGCACAGGTGGGATACCATACAGTGTGACTGCGGGAATGCTACATAGTTACATCACTTTTTGGTTGCCATAAAGCAAACAGTCCAGTGTATGAATGAACAATACCTGAGACTGAGAAATGTTTACTGGAGTGACATCATTCGTTGCCCTGCTGTATCCTCCCTGGGAATAGCCAATACCTCTTCCTGGGTGCTATTACCTAAATCTTCGCGATAACACCTATATTAAATATCACTCAAATATGATAGGACGTGCTGGATTCTTATGGTTCGTTCGAAATCACATCCAACAACACAGATTGATCATATTAGAGCGCATATGCATATATCAACGGTGGCATCAAGCCTTTCCGGCCAGCGCTTCTACGGACACCACATATGCTTTATGCAAGGTACGGGAGAACCTATAATTTCAAGGCGGACTCTATGCTGTTACAGTCCTGGAGGTCGGAGTCATTGAACCTAATCTCATAAGACTCCATAATTCAGGCGTGTTTTGCCAGTGCGCTAGTTGAGTCATAAAAAGAATCAATTGAGACCTAAATACTCTGCTCCATATAAGAATTTCAATCAAGTGCTTGCACAACTTGCGCCCAGTCCCCGAATCCATAAGGGCCCGGCACACTTTCACCATCGAATAGACTTGCCAAAATTACTCGATCAGATTGCTCGCCTTGCCACGGTTCTCTGCCATGTTGCGCAATGATGTTATCGTAAACCAGCACATCACCCTCCTGCCAATGATGTAGAACGCGAATATCATCTGTGATCTTTGCCAGATGTTCAAGATACTTTTCAGGAATAGGCGTCCCATCCCCAAAGAGCTGTTGCGTGACCTTTTTGCGCGCCTCGGCATCAAACTGTGTGCGTTTCCAATACGCCGCCAACCCAGTGAAAAGAGTCGGCAGGTTAGTACCGGGCTGCGTTCGGATAACAGGTAGCCGGTGGGTCAAGACCAGGCCATCATCAGTCCACTCCCATGTGGTATGCTCCCCTCTGCCGTAGCGGGCAATCTGAGCTTCAATTTTGCGGCGTTTTGTCTCTTCGTCATCGCCATCTTGAATTTCTTTGCCAAAGGCTTGCTTCAGTGTGGATCCACCTTCATACTGTTTCTCCACTCGATAGGTCACTTTACTCAGAATTCCCTTCTCCGCCACTTCAGCGATAAACTCTGGGATCTCTTGCTGTGCGCGGTTGAACAATTCCAATGAGGAAGAAATCGGTGATTCTCCGCCCTTCGACGGCGCATGATGGCCGTAGAAAAGGATATACTCGGGCGCATGTGGTACTTGAGGCGACTCGTTGTGGCTGTAAATCAGGACCTCCTTGGGCGCTTCGTTGGCGGGCGCAACATTTGGCGCAAGAAGTGGTCTATCGACTACAATTCCAATAATCTCGTGGGGTTTGTAGCCGAAAGCATGTGCGAATTTGCTGAAGTCTTCTGCGTTGTGGATGGGTAGATTGCGAAACAGCAGCGTGCCATGCCTTGCGAGTTTCTTGGTCAAAATGCCATCTTTCGCTTGGAGAGTCTTGATTGTCTCTACCACATCGTCGAGAGTTGCCTTGGCGTCGGCCTTGGCGGGTCGCAGTGCAAGCGGGATGACTGTGTTCTTGGGATGGGGTGCTCCGAGGATACGTTGGTTGGAAGTTGGGAGGTCGAAGGACTCAAATTTGACAACAGAGTCCTCCAATCGTAGCTTCTCAATTTGCAGCTCTTCTGTAGTTGTTGCCATATTTGCTCAAGGTAAATGTGAGATTGTAGGTGATTGAGCTACCACAATCAAGCGCATGCCGTACATTTGTAGTTGAGAGCACAACCCCTCACAACTGCCGAAATGCCGTGATATTATTGGATAGCCTCACATGATTCGTGAAACAAGACACCTTTTAAGCCCGTTATGGCTTCACCATCAATTGCCGAGCTATGGCGCGATTATGCCATGCACTTATAGTTTGCGTGCTTGTCTGGGCATCGTCCCGATAAACGGTGTATACGAGGAGTCTCCATCCGATTATATAAAACGGACTGACGAGTTCCTATGCATGACAGGGGTCACATTCACAGTACTTTACTCATCTGCACCACTACACCATAATCATGTCAACATCAGGGAATTCCGAAGCCAAACCCAATATGTCAACCACTGTGGAAAGCCAAGATGAACACCCACCACCTCGTCCTAAATTCTTTTACAGTACACTTTTTCAAATCCTGGTCGTAGGATTATGTGCATTCTGCGCGCCAGGGATATGGAGCGCGATGAATGGTTTAGGCGTGGGTGGATCCCAAAGCCCAGATTTAGTCAACACGGCCAACGCCTTACTATACGCATTGATGACACTGACTTGTTTCGCGGGTCCACTCATCACAAACGCGATCGGCTTTCGCTGGACCTTGACCTTGGGGTCACTTGGATACCCACTGTACGCAGCGGGGTTGTATTTGAACAACCGCACTGGCGCAACATGGCTTGTGTATCTCGGCTGTGTCACTTGCGGTATCAGTGCCGGTTTCTTTTGGAGTGTTGAAGGTGCCGTAGCCACAGGGTACCCCGAGCAACACAAGCGCGGTCGCTACATTGCAACCTGGTTTACGTTCCGCAATTTCGGTAATATCATTGGTGGTGCCGTTTCTTTGGCCATAAACCACAAGGTCAATCAGCGCGGCCAGGTTGGGTACCAGACGTATCTCGCTTTCATCGCCATCCAGTGTCTTGGACTGGTCATCGGACCTCTCTTGTCAAACCCAGAGAAAGTTCAACGAGACGATGGAACGCGTGTCGAGGCCCCCCGTGGCATCCACTGGCGTGAGGAGGTCCGCGAGATGTGGCGGCTGGCAAGGAGTAGGTCGATCTTGCTCCTTGTCCCGCTATTCTGGTATTTTGGGTGGATTCAGGCATACCCTGGCACATATCTCGCGACCTATTTTACCGTTCGCGCGCGTGCACTCGGAAGCTTCATGTCTGCAGTTGTGGGGACGCTGGCGACTTGGCTTGGCGGGTCATTAGTAGACCTACCTTGGTTGAAAAATCGGAAGCATAGAGCAATTGTCACATTCGTCGTTATTGCACTCATGAATAGTGCGACTTGGATCTGGGCGGTCATTATTCAGAACGAGTACCGACACACCAATCCCGTGTTGGACTGGGGCAATCAAAGCTCCTTCGGTCGTGGGTTTGGCCTGTATTTGTTTGAACGGATCAGCCTCGGCTTAGTCGAAAATTATATTTACTGGTGTATTGGGAACTTGTCGGACTCACCTGGCGATCAAATTCGATACAGTTCATTGCTTCGAGGGATCGAAACCGCTGCAGTCGCAGTCGGATTTGGCGTTCAAGCTGTACCGACAGTATTGATCGCGACAGCGAGTATTAATCTCGGTTTATGGTTCATCGCCTTGCCTTTCAGTTATTATGCTACCCTTCAGGTCGTTAGAAAGTTCGAATTGTTGGAGAAAGGAAAGCAGAGTCCAGATGGAAGCGACAGAGTGATTGAACAAGACGTGGCTGAACGATAAACGCTATCTTCTCAAAAATGGTCTGAATGGTTTTTGCTTTCTCTCAAACTAGAAATATACCTCAAACCCCCAAGAATATATCGTTTCTTAAGTCCAGCTTGTGGGCCAAATCATAGACGTTGGTCTTGCTGTTTATTCCAGGTATACACCAAGACCTGTCTAAGGCAGCATTCAGTTCAGCTGTTTGATTCTTGATCATAATTAATGACCGATATATCGATGAGAAAGTATTCCATCTTGCAAAATAGAAACCCTACGTCATTCAACCGAGACTCAAAACGCCGTGTATCGAGAATGCCAAGACGCCGAGTCGGCTATATGCGAACAAGCTAGATGGTATATATTTGAGTCGACTGAGAAGCTTCCCCAAAACATTAAACATAATTGCAACCATGTACCGATCACAAATTCAACGTGCTCTACGGTCGCAATGTCCTGCACTTTTGCGAGGTCCATCTCGGACGGGGATGTCCCCTCAAGCTCGCGCGGCATTCTCCACCTCAGGCCGGCACAACATTATGGGCATGACCGGCTTTACCGAAGAGCAGCTTACAGTTCGTGAAGCGATATCACATATTTGCTCCAAATTTCCGAACACATATTGGCAGGAGCATGATCAACAAGAAAAGGATCCAAAGGAATTCCATGCTGCACTGGCTAAGGATGGATGGCTAGGCATTGCTTTACCCGAATCCCTTGGGGGTGCTGGTTTAGGTACAATTACGCGAGAAGCACCATTTTATTGGTATACAAAGTGCTAACTTTCTTTCAGGTATCTCTGAGGCCACAATGATGATGCAGACCATTACACAATCTGGCGCAGGTATGGCCGGTGCTCAGGCTATTCACGCCAACGTCTATGCGACACAGCCATTGGCCAAGTTCGGCACGAAGGAGCAGCTGGAGACTACTATTCCAAATATTATCAATGGCACATGGCGCACATGCTTTGGTGTCACCGAGCCAAACGCCGGCCTTGAGACTCTCAAGCTCACGACCTTGGCTAGCAAAACCGAGGACGGATATTCGGTCACCGGCCAAAAGATCTGGATTACGTGTGCGCAAGTGGCATCGAAGATGATCCTCCTTGCCCGAACTACGCCCCTTGAACAAGTCAAGAAGACCAGCGAGGGTCTTTCCCTGTTTTGTATTGATATCGACCGTGAAAACCCTGGTTTGGATTTGCGCAAGATCAAGAAGATGGGTGGACGCGCTGTGGATGCCAACGAGGTCTTCTTTGATAATTATAAGATTCCCGCCAACACATTAATTGGCGGGGAGAACCAAGGATTCAAGATTATCCTCCACGGCATGAACGCAGAGAGATGTCTTTTGGCCGGTGAGGCACTTGGTCTTGGTTATGCGGCTCTGGAAAAGGCCTCGCAGTATGCGAAGGACCGGGTTGTTTTTGGACGGCCAATTGGCCAAAACCAGGGTGTGGCGCATCCGTTGGCTGATGCGTTCATGAAACTGGAGGCGGCGAAACTGGCTACCTACCACGCAACACGTCTCTATGATACTAACGATGGATCGGTGCCTTTCCATGATATTGGTGTTGCTTGTAATAGTGCCAAGTATTTGGCTGCCGAGGCTGCTTTCACGGCGTGTGAGCGGGCAGTTCTGGCGCATGGTGGTATGGGATATGCGGTTGAGTATGACGTTGAACGATATATGCGGGAATGTTTCGTACCTCGCATTGCACCAGTGAGTCGGGAGATGATCTTGAATTATGTGAGCGAGAAGGTGCTTGATTTACCTAGAAGCTACTAGATACTCCCTGTATAATAAATGAGCATAAATTCAACTACGGAGTACATATTCAGCTGTTAAGTGAAAAGAGGCGGGGAGTGTGTAAGTCTGCGAATGAGGAATGAGGCCTAGAATGCCCCACCCTCAGGCGTCAGTTTGATCAGCTCCAGATCCCTCGACTTCAATGCCCTCACTTGGTACATGTGCGAAGTGGGCGCTAGACACTGCTCTCTCCTGGTGCATATGAGTCATAGGCTTCCACTCGCCATGCTATTCAGATCGATGATGGCATTCTATAGGGCCAGGCCAGCTTCGGCGCTTCGTCAACTACAATCTTCAATGTTCATCCAAGTCAATGTTCTAGTGCATATAGAAAGCGCATTGATGCATCCATTGAAGCATCCTGAGAGGCTTTTAGTATAACAAATATAAGTTGTCAATTGATGTGCGTATTTCCCCAGTAACGGGCTGACAACGACGCGGACCCAATTGGCGGGGAGGTTTCTCCCTTCTCCGGTGCGATTGTCGGACCGGCAGACCCACTCCCTTGAGCTTCCGCCTTTTATTTCTTGTCCCCCTCTCTTCTCCAGACTTTCAATTGTATTGCTCTATTTGGTGATTTTTGGATACTCTCATCCATTTCATCATGATTCCTCAAACTCGGGCCCGTGTGCCCGCTGCTTTCCGGAGCTTGTCCCGGTCTAACCCTGTGTAAGTTTATTCAATTGCGTTGCGTCAATTGCTTGTCCGGTTCTAACTTCTTTTTTCTCTGTAGTCGCACTCTCTCAACCACTCTCCCTCGCTTCCAAAATGATAAGCCCCTCAACAGGGTCTCCAGCACCATCACCCAACCCAAGTCACAGGGTGCTTCCCAGGCAATGCTGTACGCAGTCGGTTTGAAAGAGGAGGACATGAACAAGGCCCAGGTCGGAATTTCGTCAGTGTGGTTCAACGGCAACCCTTGCAACATGCACTTGCTTGACCTGAACAACAAGGTCCGCCAGGGTGTCCAAGATCAGAACTTGATTGGCTTCCAGTTCAACACCGTCGGTGTTAGTGATGCAATCAGTATGGGTACCCCCGGTATGCGTTACTCTTTGCAGAGTCGCGATCTTATCGCCGATTCCGTTGAGACCGTGATGGGTGGACAGTGGTACGATGCCAACATCAGTATTCCCGGTTGTGACAAGAACATGCCCGGTGTTCTGATGGCTATGGGCCGTATCAACCGCCCCAGTCTCATGGTGTACGGTGGATCCATCAAGCCCGGCTGTGCTGCTACCCAGAACAACGCCGATATCGATATTGTGTCGGCTTTCCAAGCCTACGGTCAATTCCTTACCAAGGAGATCACCGAGCCCCAGCGCTTTGACGTCATCCGTCACGCCTGCCCTGGCGAGGGAGCCTGCGGTGGTATGTACACTGCCAACACCATGGCTTCCGCCATTGAGACCATGGGTATGACCCTTCCCGGTTCATCTTCCAACCCGGCCAACTCCCAGGCCAAGTACGTTGAGTGTCTCGCGGCTGGTGGTGCCATCAAGAGGCTGCTTGCTGAGGACATTCGCCCTCGCGATATTCTTACTCGTCAGGCCTTTGAGAACGCCATGGTTGTTGTCATCATCACTGGTGGCTCTACCAACGCTGTGCTGCACTTGATTGCCATCGCTGACTCAGTCGGCATCAAGCTCACCATTGATGACTTCCAGGCCGTGTCCGACCGGATTCCCTTCCTGGCTGATCTCAAGCCCTCCGGCAAGTACGTCATGGCTGATCTGCACACCATCGGTGGTACCCCGGCACTCCTGAAGCTGCTTCTCAAGGAGGGTCTTATTGATGGCTCTGGTATTACCGTTACTGGTGAGACCATGGCTCAGAACCTGGAGAAGCTCCCTGGCTTCCCCGAGGACCAAAAGATCATCCGCCCCTTCTCCGACCCTATCAAGAAGACTGGTCACATTCAGATCCTCCGTGGTTCTTTGGCCCCCGGTGGCAGTGTTGGCAAGATCACCGGTAAGGAGGGCATGAACTTCACCGGAAAGGCCCGTGTGTTCGATAGCGAGGACGACTTCATCGCCGCTCTGGAGCGTGGAGAAATCAAGAAGGAGGAGAAGACTGTTGTTGTCATTCGCTACTGCGGTCCCAAGGGTGGCCCTGGAATGCCTGGTATGTGCAACAAACCTACATGATGACTGACCATAATGCTAACATTCTTATAGAAATGCTCAAGCCCTCCAGTGCCCTCATGGGTTACGGCCTCGGTAACTCCTGTGCCCTCATCACTGACGGTCGTTTCTCCGGTGGTTCTCACGGTTTCTTGATCGGTCACATTGTCCCTGAGGCTGCTGTTGGTGGTCCCATCGGTCTCGTCAATGACGGTGACATCATCACCATTGACGCCGAGAAGCGCCTCCTCGACGTCGAACTCTCCGATGCCGAATTTGCCGACCGCAAGCAGAAGTGGGAAGCCCGCAAGGCCGCTGGTGATCTCCCTGAGACTGGTCTTACCATGCGTGGTACTCTTGGCAAATACGCCAGAACCGTCCAGGATGCCAGCCTGGGCTGCATCACTGATGCTGTAGAGTAAATCTTTCCTTGGTTTTCTTTTTTTTTTGGTCTCGGGTCCTGTCTGAAACACAAAAGCGATTCCCCGTTATGGAGCCTGTCTTATATATGATATCATTTTGAATAATACTTTCTTTCTTGTTCAATTCGATTACTTTGCGCGATTTTCATGTGTTAGACTCTTGTTTCCTGCTTATCATATCTTGGCTTCTCTGCAGGTGGGTATATTGGAAATCTCCATCACAGTTGTTGCAGCCGCGCGCTAATGTGTGATTGAAAATGACTAATCGGAGCGTCCAAGGATCAAGCTTCAGCTGTTATTTCGTCCAACTCGCCGGTACTACTATTGTACACAGTTGGATATTGGTTGAACTAACGTGTGATATAATTTCCTAGTGCCAAGTTTGGTCCCTTGCTATGTAGGTGCCCATTTAGTTCATGCCCAACACCACACAGCCCTGTCATTTCACTTCTAATGATTCACCCATAATTTTCATTGATCCTTCCTGCGGTCCTCTTTTCTTTGGCAAATTTGGCCGACTCCGAAAGTTGTCCGTACGATCCAGGGTCCATGCCTAACGTGACTTTCTCGCCCCTGTTGGGCCATACCATGGTGAATCCACGAGTACCATCGCCATGACCTCGCTTTATGAAAAATCAGCAGTCAACCTCGCTTGACACCTCCTTCCCAAGATGACTTACCATGAGATTCTTCAACGACTGGATGCAATCCCCGATTTGCTCCCTCATAGCATCGAGGGAGACTCGGGAAGGATAATTTTTGGGTGACCAGTCCATTGTTAGGAGTATGAAAGCAATGCCGAATACCCCGTGAACTTGGAATAATCTGCAGACCTGAGAATGTGAAATTGACGGATTCGAGGCCAAAATTAATAACATCACAGATTCTCTTAGGCTTAAATAGAAACTGTGGAGTATAAGAAAGGGTTACATACACAAAAGAGTGTGTTTCGAGTTGATATGCTTCTATTTCGGCACAGTTCTCACAACACCATTCAAACTTTGAGCTTTGTGTACTCGTTGGACTGGCCTTAAACAACTGATTGGTACTTTGTGTGCTAAAGATGGGGTTTATCATATCACTAGTTCTAATATGATATATCCCAACAGAACAAAAAAGCAAGCCAATTATTCCTGTGAGCTGATATTCTCATCTTCCAACTTTCCAACAAGGCCAATGGCGTGGAGGTCGAGCTGCCATCACGCACACCACCAACATATTTACAGTGCATGTTGGCTCACAGGATCTTGGCGGCTCTCATTTTGATGAATTCACTTCAAATTCATTATGAGGTCAAGGTATAGTTAGGGGTAGCTGGTGTTTATGAGAGGCTTCACATGCCGGAAACTCATTTTTGTATAACATATAGAGATGTAACTTTACATCCCTTGAAAGCTTTCACCCGAGTGGTAGGGAAAAGTCCCTTCTCTGGTTCTATTGTACAGCTCAGGTTGATGACGTTGAAATGATGGCACCAGTTAGTATGGTAACTCTCACCGTCCCTGGTCCACTTCTTCAATCGAAAGCACCGATGTGTGCCTGCCGTCGCTCCTCAATAGCAAGACGGTTAATCATTCTTTCTATTCTTTCGAGGGCCTGAAGGTCCTTCGCAGTGGCCCAAGACTGATGTACTAAGTATCGGATGGCCGTCTGTGTGCCAACGACTGCATCCAAAGCAGGGGGGATGAGTTGCTCCAACGGGATGGAGACAAAGGCGTCATCTAATTGCTGTAGAGTAGGTTCACCGTCAACAATAAACCCGGCAACATTCAATACACCCTCAAAATCCTCGTCTACAGGATGAGTGAAGTTTTCGAGGCTGGTGACCGATCGACCATCAGGATTGTTTTGGGTGACAGTCTCGTAGAGAGTTGTCAGATCGGGTGATTTTGGGGCAGTGATGAACTCAATCTGCGGGTCCATTAGACTACTCTTCCGGAAGGCTCTGTAGATAATCGCGTTTGCAACGTCGTGACGCCAGCCCCGGGTGATCCAGGATATAGCGTGATAAAGACTCATCGTGTGGACCGGGCTTTGGGGCAATTCCATGCCTGCCACAATGTACGCAAGCCATTGCCTGCGATAATAGTGTTTGAGAGTCTGAGAAATTCCCAGGTTAATCGGCTGTTGCTCATTGGAAGTGCGATGTTGAGTGGGAAACAGTTGAACATGCACATTCGGGGGCGGCGGTGTAGCCTCGAGGGCAGCTTGGTGGTCTGGATGATTATCCAGCAGAAGCAAAACTCTGCGTTCCCCTACATGGTCGTAGAAGAAGAGCAGCCATTCTTGCATAATCGATTGCGTTAGCCAGGCCTGCCGATGATATCGCCAATGGCAGTCCATGGCTTTGAGATTCACCATACGAAGTGCCTCTGGTGTATGCGTATGTCCGATGATCCACAGAGGTAACCGATCTGACCCAGTACTATTTGTACAAAGCATGAGGCAGACACGGGAGTTTTCCCTGTTAGTTGTCAATTGGGTCTGAGCCGGGGAGGCACCAAATGGAGGCTTTCGCCAGAAAAGGCCGGTCTCGTCCATGTTGTAGATATCGTCTTCTGGGAATTCACCACATAGCGTTTTCATTGCTTTCACTTCCTTGCGACTGGTTTGGAGTGGGGGTGGAGATATGCCATCCTGGCGATCATGAATTTGAGTGGCATATCGTTTCTTAAATCTGTTCAACCACCCGTTGCTAAAGTGAGGAAGTGGTAGGGTCTGATACTCCGGAATTTGATTCCAGATTTCACGTGCTCTGGTGATAATAACATCGGCCGTGGGTATGGATTCTTGGCTCGCAAGCCATTCATAAAGGGGTGTCTCCAAGAGGGGCCATTGTGGTGCCAGTTGACGTCTTAGGGTGGATGCTGGACCAGTATCGAGATGCTCGCTCTTTTTGGAGAGAATTGTTGATATAGTTGATTGGGAGAGGCCCCGTCCATAGGTTTGTTCGAACCAAGCAGAACATTGGGATTGTGATGGACGGGGATTTTGACTTTGTGCCCAAACCCGAAGAGCTTGTTTCTGGGTCCCCGAAATTCCCAAAGCCGGACGTTTTGATGGCGTGGACATGATATGGCTTATGAGGTTGCAATTCACTTGGGAAATAATTCTCGGCGGGCGCGTGGGAAAGTCGGGTAATCAATAGTACCGTAATTACGATCGGTCTCGATACACATGTTACGTAGTCCACAGCCTTTTCCACGACGGTAATTGTGTTATGCTCAGTTTTATTACAATTATCGTCCATGCAGTGCATGTCGATATTTCTTCCACTGGAGAACTACCTACGGAGTACATGGAGGTAGGTGGCACAAATGAAAATCTTCTTTCATTCAATCAAGTTGAAGTTACGAGTGATTCCACTCCAAGCAGATGTAAATGAGCCAGAACTATAACATTCACCATACATTTTACCTCTCATGAGATAATGGCTCGGGGATGGACATGAAGGGAGCGGATTCAATATCTCCAAGTTGGAAAGAACATTTGAAGCAAATGATATCAAGTTGGCGACTATCTCTCAACTGAGGTGCACACATTCCACGTCTTGCTCAGTGTATATCTCTCTGCGCCTTGTTTCTCTACACTTTTCCCTTCACTGGCAGGTTTTGTGTTGGATTATTAGTCGCTTTGTCTACCGACGCGTCAGGGAGGCTAATGTACTAGTTCATGTATCTGTTTCGGTCATGTTTCGTTTGGATTATTTAACATCGCCTTATAGTAACTCTAATACCCGGTAGCGCTTACTCTCTTCTGTTCTGAACGGTGACCCCGTTTATCTGATACGAGGCCGAGCGATACGGGAGATATTGAGGGTGAAGGATCGGGTGTAAAGTCGCCCATTCAGGAATTGAAGCATTAACAAATCAGTAAGCTAAATTAATATGACAGACAGAAAAACACAGGTATCATCAATTACATATATAGAAAAAGCAGATCCATTCGCGCATAAAAGAAAAATAATCAAACACCAATGCCACAAACCCCAAAAGATATAAAGATATAAAGACCCTACCGAGGCCCGCCTCGACTGGACTCGACGCTCCCCACTCCATCTACATCTCGAAACTTTGGCCCCTTTAGGGCCGATACCCTGGAGTGCTGCCTGGTGCCTCCAAGACGATGGGGTGACCCTCTAGCTCTGTGGCCACCGCGCTTGTACGCGCACGTTGAGGAGGCTCATTCCAGCTCCAGTGGCCCTGCTGTGCTGACGGGGAACCAGGACCGGAGGTTACTATCACCCCAGGGGAAAGTGTGCGCATATTTGGATCTGGACTAGAGACGGCGGTGGCATCGCTAGGGGTTGCTCTGTGGGTAGGGACAGAACTTGCGGTTTCACTTTTCCCGTTAGCGTATTGGTCGCCATGGTTGAACATTGCCCAGCGGGCGGTTCGTTCTGTGCGCCCATCTTCCGAGGACATCCATTGCGAGTACACGCGGTTGCGGCCGAGGACGAAAAACAATGCCACCAGTATGGCCACGAAGACCACAGCTGCAACGGTGATACCTGCAATGGCCCCCGCGCTAAGCCCATGCTTACTGCCAGAGGAGTTATTATCGCCGCTTGTGTCATCGCTACTAGAGCCGCTGCCGTTGCCTTCGGCCGGCATAGACTGGCCCGGGACTAGCATATAAGGGTATGTTAGAGCTCTGGAGTATTGCGTTTCCCATGTCTCGGTTGCGTTCTGCAGGTTCATCAGTCAGCAACCAGCCTAAATGCATGCTCGAGAGAAACCGAGTGTCATACCGCATTGATCACTCCGACCATTCCGTTCTTTAGGCATGAATCTATTGCAGTGCAATAGAAGAATGTAGGCTATGTCAAATCATTGTTAGCTGCAGTCCAAAGTTGTGGGTGTGTGGTTTGACTAGATACATGCCTTGGTATCATTTACTCGCAAGGACCAAGTCGGAGGCTACATTGAATATATTAGCGGCGTGGTTTCGAGCAAGACTTTATTTTGCATCTCGAATTTATTATACTCACCGGTCCGATGAGTTGTCCATCCTGCTCATTGAAATTCACGAAGGCCCCCGAGTAAAAGATATTTCCGTTTGCCGGTACACAAGGAGCGAGATAATCTGCTTTTACGACGGAATGATTTGTTGGGTAAAAGTCGAAGACAATGACATCGCCCACATTGGCTGTTATATTGGGTGGAACAAATTGATGGGGATTTGACTTGGGTCCCACTTGGACTGTATGGGTTGTGATGCCCGTCGAGGAGGAGGTTGTGGTAGTAATAGTTGCAGCTGTGGAAGAATCAGCAGCTACTGTCATGGTCGCTAAAGCTAGCCATGCCAGTGGCCAGGCGAGTAGGCTCACAAACATTATGCACAGGGGAGGGCTGTCGATCTGTCAACACAATATGCACACCACAATATGGCGATTTGAAATTTTGCACAGTAGAAGAAGATGGGAACGAGGGCGAGAAAAGAGGACTAGGCCAAAAGACAAAGAAATTCAAATTCCAAAGCCAGGTCTTGGACAAGGATGAGCAGTATTGGGAATTCTTTGGGCTGAGCACACTCCACAATAGTACTTTGATGGCTTCTGTTGACAGGGAAGAGTCTCGCCTACAGTAATTTGCTGGGTTGGTACTTTGTATACACATCAACTTCCCAATTGGGTATACTACTAAAGGTGCAGGATTTCTCTACCAGATGGAAATCTTCCCCTCTCTCTTCCCAAAGACACCTTTCATAACTCACTCTGGCCACTATTATGTAGAATAGAAATATTCACTCATCTTCTCAGCTCAAACTCAATAGAATATCCAACATGCTACTAGGTGGTACGGGGTTTGCTGCGGTCAGCAAACCCAACGCTTGCATGGATGAGCCCTCCCACAAACCCCTTAGGCCTCCATCCCACCACTACCCCTCGAGTCTCTTTGTTCCATTCAAAGACATCATTGAGCCTGGTGAAATTTATTTTAAATTTTGACTTTAACCCATTAAAGAACCTGAAACGGTGCTCAAACGAACATGATTTGCAGTGCGATCGGATGAAAGCTTGACATGATCTACTTGACTCGAGAATCCAGGATCACAAAGTGTCACATGAAGTACAGGAGACCCCCGCCCCCTCTATGCGAGGTAATGTATTTTACCCTACAATTATTGTTTCATTAGCATCGTATTAGCAGTCCGTGCTCGGAAGACTTCGTGCATTGTAAGGCTGAGAGACTGCCACGATCTGATCAACGCCAAGAGTTGGGTGTTGGTGTCTTGGAATACAATCTATAGGAGTCGAGGGCTTATCAGGTCAGTGGTGTCGCCAAGTATTCCTTCTCAATCCTTTCCCATTATGGAACCTTTGTCTCAGGATTCTAATGCCGGTTTCAGATTCCTTTGTTATTTAATCTACGATGTTCAGGGTACCTATGTATGTCAGGTCAATAGCCGCGTCTCCACCCCCGCATTTGACGTTACTTTTCGAAAACTACCTACATAGGGATGATTTCTGATTAGCGCGCGTTATAGTCACTTTGCTACGTTTTATGCCAATGGATGTTTGAACCGACTTTGTATAGTGCTAGCGTTTAATTGTAAAATGCTACATAGTTATGAAATCAGCCCGAGGCTAGAAGTAGCAGAACAAACCATCAAGACTAGACAATTTATGGAGAAGCAGCTTTGATAGCTAAGATTTCAGCAAGATGGCTAAGAGCTTGGGCGTCCATTTCTCTATGATTTATTCATCACGAAAAAGCGCCTCTTTTGCTAGCGGCGCTTGGCTATTTAGTCTTCTTTGTTAATCTTGCTCGTTTTCTTTCATCATCGATCTATCGAATTCTGACGAAATCTTACGCGCTAGCTACTATCATCCTTACGCCTAATACCAACGTAGCACTTCGGCGGGTCGTTGAAGAACGCGCTATTGTGAAAAACTACCATCAAATTCCAGTCAGATACTCAAGACGAATGAAAGTGGCCTCGGGCAAGATTATTATGATCAAAAAGATGGACGCCTTCTTTTACAACGTCGTGCTGGACGGATGTATATGAAACAGGGCTCCACCGTTCCTCCTTCGGATAGCGAAGCCAAAACATCACCAAGACCCCTACCAAGTAGAAACCTATGGCATAAAAACCACTTCCGATGTTGATCAAATTATTAAGGAATAAAGATACATAATCTGCTCGAGGGAAGCCGTGATAATGTTGTTTCTGTACAAAACGCTCGCAATCAAACTTCCATTGGAAGACGGTCCTATCAGACAGGCCAGACGGAATTATTCTCCACCAGCTACCGAAATCATGTGCTTTCTACAATATTACTCGTGTTCTTAACGACCTTGGAATGGTGTAGAGTATGCTATGTTGTACATGTATACTCCGTACCCATGACTGGAACTAGTGGTTCTAAATTAGGCACAGGTCTGTTTTATTGTCGACTCGCTAGCCGACGCTCCCGGTGATGCCTACTGTACTCGATGGCACGTGCGCTTAAATACAGGTGATATTTGCTAGGTAATCCGCTACGATTAGCGGCACCAGTCCTGTATAAAGACGGTTGGTAATAGTGAAGTCGCATACAAAGTGTCGTTTGAACAGTCTCCTCCTAGCGCATGAACTTCAGAATGTGTGTTTCCTCGCCGCTTGGGCTTTGTTAACATGTATGACCCATAAAGGGGGTACCCTTTAGCGCTAAACGCTGCCGGTGTCCCGTACCGAGGTTGGAAGTTGGAACAACGGTAGAAAATTTGGTGCATATACAAGCAACCTAAAGTTTGCAAATGATATCAATATACTTACATTGACTAACAAACGCTCGAAACTAAGTGCTGAATAATTGATCTCTGAACATCAAATATCTAATAGATCCTGTCAGAAGAAGCCATGGTACCTAAAATTAGCCACTGGAAGGGGCTCAATAGTCGGACACCGGAGTTAGGAAGGAAGCTTGGCATCGGAGATCGGCTTACTTAGGTATGTAATGCGCCCCAGGTCCCGTGACGTCTGTGTACAATCGAATTTCGGTCACAGGGTGATGTGAGTCTCCACAGTCTCCTTTTTTACAATCGGCTTCGGTACAAAGTACAAGGTACTCCGTAGATCAACAGGATCTGCAAATCTGCGACCTTGCCTTTGGTTGAGGTCCGATACTAGTTCAACAAGCGTGTTTTAAATATAGTATTTTTGCCGCCCTCCGCTTCTAAGCTAGATAATAATGATCATTTGCAGCTTATTGTTTATGTACAACATATGCTTCTCGTGTAAAAAATGAGGCATAAATTAAAAATCGATCCATTGATCCGATCTGAGCTAGTGGAGCATCTTCGGGTCCTGATCCTTTGATCTAGGTACCACATTCATTAAGTAATGGCCATGCCTGGCCATGCATCTAACACGATACCAAACATCTAATAGCATTGGACCCAGAGCACCTGTTATAATTTGTACATTGCCATTATTTGGCAACGGGAATTGCAGCATGAGGTATGATGTTAGTGCTCCGTACTCCGTACTCCGTACGAATATTGCCATTAGAGTTTTCGCCGTAAATCAACATTCGTACGTAATTCAAGCGAAGGTTTCATTATTAATCAAACCGGTAGTTTCATTTAAAATTGGTTGATCTTCGTTCTATTTCTCCGTCGCCGAATGAGAGCGTATACTGGCGCCGATCTATCGAGGTCTGGAGTCCATTTGGTTTCTTGGCGATGAGAAAAAACCACCTCGGGTCTTCGACATGCAACTGTAGAGAAATCACCTGGGCATCTCCTAACCATGGTTCCAAGTGGGGATTGTCAGCCTGTTTCTTGTAATTCTGTGGGTGTTGTCGCGTGGTCTCCGATCCCAGAACCCATTGTAGGAAGATTCTGGAAAAGGTACCCACTTCGGTTTTCACCGGGCACCAGTATCAGCCCTGGAGAGCTCGTTTCACTTGAACCAGCTTTGAGAGCGGGGAATTTCCCTGTTTTGTGCTCCAATCATGATTGTCTGCTTAGGTTTGCCATCAAGATCTATGTAGGATGTAGGAAATATTCCCGACGCCATGTGCGAAATAGATAAGCTTAATGCCTAAAGGAGTGTCCATCCCACTCACTCGGGACTGTCCATATCAAAGTTAGAACAAAACCCATTACTACCCCAGTAGGAAAAGTTTTCACCCCTTAATTACCTCTGACGCTTTTTTTTTGAACACGTTTGTTGCCAATATGAGGCGTCATTTGTTCCTTTGCGCCCTTCTCGCTCTGCTTATAGTGGGTATTCAAGCAACAGAGTCGAATACAACTGCCTTCCCGTCTTGCGCGGTACGTACATCCCCCAACGCAGTTGTATTTATTGCTAATGAACATGTGCTAGATCACTTGTGACAACCAATTATTCTCTGATTGCTCACTGAGCAACAACACATCATGCTTCTGTGCCAGTGGCTCTCGTCCCACAGCCCTGTTAAATTGTGTTGAAAGTAACTGCACAGCAAAGGAATTCTTCAGTGCGTCTCTATCGTGATTGATCCATCAAGTCTACTCTAACTCTGCTAGCTACAAAACGTCTGTATGAACAAGAATGTGATATAACACCGCTCAAAGGCCCTAGAGTGGTCAGCGCCTCGACTTTAGTCCCTTTTATTCTTGCCTCATTTTTCTTCGTCATGAGAATGTTCGCCAAGAGCAGTGGTCTGGCTGGTGGATGGGGATGGGATGACTATACAATAATTGTCTCCTATGTCAGTGTCGCTTCTTGACGTCATCTCGCGCGGTATTAACAGCCTCACAGATCCTAGGAGCTGCTATATATGTTCTGGATATCTACAGTAAGCTGGCACTCGCGGTCTTTGATCTCAAAAGAAAGAAGAACTAACAAACCAGTGCTCCGCAATGGCTTTGGTCGAAATATCTGGGACGTCCCTTTTCCCTCAATTACCAGGTTCTACCAGGTTCGGTCCCCTCTCCAAGGCTCGGTTCCAATCTAACAAGAACAGTATTTCCAAGCCATGGCCGTTATGTACAAGATTCAAATTTCCCTTGCAAAGATCTCTGTGTGCCTCTTCCTACTCCGCATCTTCCAGGCACGCACATTCCGCTATTTAGCATACGGGCTCATCGTTACCAACGCCGCGATCGGTATCACTTGGGCCTTTGTGGATGCATTCCGCTGCTGGCCGACACGCCTGACATGGGTCGGCTGGATGCATGAGGAACCGGGGTATTGCATCGATTTTATCGCAGCGGTTCTTGTTAACTGTTTGGTGAACATCTTTGTCGACTGTATATTGATCGTCATGCCGGTGTATGAGGTGATCAAACTCCAGTTGCCTCTGCGAAAGAAGCTAGCTGTGGCATCAATGTTTATCGTGGGCTCTGTGTATGTACTCGCTAGACTGCCCTTCCTTTTTCATTTACGTGTGTCACTAACCGATCTCACAGTCTAACAATCATCGCGATAATCCGAGTCGTCGTCTTCTGGACTAACCGCTGGGGTGCCAATGAGACTCTCGGCCTATACCCCCTCATGCATTGGTCCGTCATTGAATCTCAAATTTCTGTTATGTGCGCATGTCTGCCTGCATTCAGAGCTGTCGTTGGCCGATGGTTCCCCCGATTCCTGGGAGGATCATCCCACCAGACGGATCCATCTAACATGGCTGAGTACTATAACAAAATGCCTACCGCGAACAGCAATATCAACAAGTCTGTTACCTACTCGGTGAATTATGAGACTCGGTCAGCGGGGAATAGTGATGTGGAATTGGTGGAGGTTCCGAAACGTGGGCAATGATCGATGAACTTGCATTTTTACTTCTTGTTCTATAACTTACATATTCAGCATAGATGGGGTCTAATTAATACATGTATATAGTATTTTCTTTTTTGCAGCACAGAATGATATTACAATACATTTGGCTCCACATTGTATCCTAACCCAAAGATCGCTTGCGACTTTCCATTTACCCGTGTATGAAGATAGCACATCTTCCAGATTAGAGAATGACTCTGTGTATATTTTCTATTATTTAGCCAAGCCGTATTCGCTAAACTCCCTAGGGTTTTAAATCAATAAATCTCCGTCATCCAAAATTTATAGTGAGCTGCAGCAAAGGCTTGTTGCTGTGAAGTCATTTGCTGTATATCTAGAAAAGATTAGATATCACGATCGAACAATCAGATGATGCTACTTAACTTCTACCACACAACCCCGAGGCTATATATAACTAGGGTTTAGCTTGGTGTTATCTTTGACCTGATAGGTAGTCCAATGGAAAATTCAATAGCAGGATATTGATTCAACACATTTTCATGGAAGCCTGCGTTCATGAGCTGGAGATACAGGGCCATTGGCAGTAAACGATTAATTCAAGATTGATATTGAGGGTGGTAGTTATGTCCCAGATATTAGTTCATTGTGGGATCCATAACAAAAGATGTTCGATTTCTATCTGCTGAAGCGTGGGAATTTCCTAGGAGTGTCACTACAACGGGGATTCAAATTGTGAAATTCAGAGTTCCTGTATGTTTCCATATTATTAGAATATGAGAATGTAATTAAAAAGCACATCAAACAAGGTAACAAGACGCGCACTAAGAAAGATATGATCAAAAGGAACGTGTACCCCCAAACAGCGCGTACACGGTTTAGAGTGTTTGCCATTCGACAAACAACACCCGCGTCCCTTCCCTTTCCATCTTACACCTCTCTCTTCTCTGTGAGATACCTCCCATCTTTCACATCATTGTGCTTCTTGTCAAGTGTTTCATCACATAGCCATTGTTATCCATTTCTCATCATCCGGTTCTATGTCTCCTAGTCAAGATGTTCGAATGTGGCACCTGTGACTTCGAGTTCCACTACCGAGAGGAGTGTGACGCTCACATGGACTATTACGATCATTGGGTGGAATGCGAGACCTGTGACCGGCAATTTCGGACCGAGGATAGCTGTGAACAGCATATGGATGCGGTCAATCATTGGGCACCGGTCTTTGAATGTGAAACGTGCACTCGTACTTTCTTTTCCCAGCATGCTGCTGATCAACATATGGATGCAGTTGGCCACTGGGAACCAGTATTTGAATGTGAAACGTGCACTCGTACCTTCTTTTCCCAGGATGCTGCTGATCAACATATGGATGCGGTTGGCCACTGGGAACCAGTCTTTGAATGTGAAACGTGCACTCGTACCTTCTTTTCCCAGCATGCTGCCGACCAACATATGGATGCGGTTGGCCACTGGGAACCAGTCTTTGAATGTGAAACGTGCACTCGTACCTTCTTTTCCCAGGATGCTGCCGATCAACATATGGATGCCAAGCATCATTGGGAGCCGACAGTTCCCTGCGAGACGTGTCCCAAGATGTTTCACACTGAGGAAGCTGCCGATCAGCATATGGAGTCCCAGGGGCACTACAAGAACTACTGCGTGGAGTGCGATCGGCACTTTATGAATGAGAACTGTCTTCGCCAGGTATGAAAACCAAGCCCATTCTAGAGATACCCTAGCAAACCCCAAACCCACTTCACATGGAAGGCTGTGAGGCTTTGACTAATCCGGTTCTGTTTCATCTATGGATAGCACCTGAACTCCAAGATTCATCGCGGTACTAATCTTGTGTGCCCATTTTGCGACGCTCACTTTGTCACTGCTAATAGCGTCACCCACCACGTCGAAAATGGCACCTGTCCGAAGGCTGACAAGTGGAACCGAGAGACAATCCACCACATGATGCGGCGCCTCGACCCTAAGGGGCTTGTCACAAACAAGCAGATTGGATGGCACAACGACCAGAATGTACGCTACTATGCTACGGATCGCGCCTTTGATGGTACTAGCTGGGTGTGCTACCTGTGCCAGAAGGGTTTCAATTCAATGACCGGTCTAAACTCGCATCTCAACTCGCCAGTCCACAAGGAGAAAATATATCATTGCCTCAACAAGCGCGGTGGTTGTGATAAAGAGTTTGTCTCCCTCGGCGGTTTTTTCAATCACTTGGAGAGTGAGTCTTGTGGGTGGGTATATCCGGTTCGGGGAAGTTCAAAACGTCCATCGACGACTGAACGACGCTATTCTTAACCGTAAGATGATCACTGCACTCTGAAGTCTCAACGATAAAGTTCGCTTGAGAGAAACCACATGGCGATTGTTTACTTGAGATCAACAATGAGCGACTGATGAAGGGCCCATATGTGAGGTTGAGCTAGGATGACGAGATATCTTTGAGAAGACGAAATTGCAACGATGTGGAAAAAGGTCTTGAACGCCAAAAAGGATCTAGGAACCTATCATTATCGCGCCATACTCTTAGTATCTACTCGTTATCTTGCAGTATTTGAAAATCTATTCTCTCGCCCTCTAGCGTTAACTTCTTCCTATCTCTCATCCACTAAAGTTATTTCAGTGCCCTTCAAGAAGACTCACAATTCTGGGATTCTGGCATGTATTCGATTCATGCAGCAAATTCCCAATCTTGATATATGCGTATATGATAAAAATGCAAATACCAGAGGGACCTGGTTTGAAAATTAGTAAGTCTCCAGAGTGCGCTTGTGGTATGCCGACGTAGTTGCTCGACCCCAAAGCTACTTACCCAATCATAGCCGGTAACCTTGGAATAGGTCGATTAGGATCTAGATTGTTCCTTGTTACCCGTTGTGCCACAGACAGAACTGAATATTCCCGTTATTTGAACAGGTCACGGAGATACCAGTATGTATGTACTCCGTACATATGTACTGCACTGCATTCACATAAATACCAGTAATTTACGCAATAAAGTATGTTTACAATGATCTCAGGGAACTGACCATACCATACTCAACTAGTAATATTGTCAAGTATCTACTGGGGCTATACAGTGACGGACCATAGTTTCAGCGCTCTTTTTCTGCCCGCCCTAGTTCCACCAACCAAATGCCTAAGACTTTGAGCGGTATGACTATTCAAGTAGACGGTAAAACTATCTAGGAAGGCGGTATCCAACGAGGGTGCTGAAACTTATGGACCGTCACTGTAGATACCAAAGGGTACCTCTTTCCTACGGGCCCCACTGAAATACCAATACCTCACCCTTTTCCCCCACTGACACTCGTTCCTCTCTCTCCTTACCCCGGATATTCCCCTCCTCCCCGGTGGTCCACCATGAAGCCGACAGACAAGCACTTCCGCTGTGATGTATGTCAACGTGCGTTCACGCGCATTGATCACCTTAAACGCCACCATTTGCGGCGTATGTGCGCCCCATCCTGCAGCTACCCACCCACATGCTGAACCTCGACAGATTCTGGGCAGAAACCCTATGCCTGCGTATTCTGCGAAACCTCATTCGCGCGCTGGTTAGAAATGCCAAGACAATCTATAAAACTACCTCTAGAATCTAATACTTTGGACTTAGTGACAATCTGCGCGTCCATTACACCGATTGCGCCAGGCGTGGAGATCGCGAAATTCCCGAGACGGGTCAGAGGGGTAGGCGGCGACATGCCTGTCAATCGGTAAGTCCGTGACTAGATTACATGAAACATTACCGTAGGAACTGACTTTTGTTTTTGGTCGAATAGTGCACCTCGATGAAACTGCGGTGCGATGGAGGAAGCCCTTGCGGATCGTGTCAGAAGAGAAACTTGTTGTGCAACAATGAGCGGACGGTAGGTGCAAGCCACGTACGGATCGGAGAAGGTACGACAAGCTTTAAGTCAACTTGGTTGCAATGGAAGACTCATACAAACCATACAGAAATATTGGTGAAACCCGAAATCTGTGAAGAGCCATCATCCGACCGAGGATCGATCAAGTTCCTACTTAATGGTGGCACCGATAGCTTCACGGAAAACTTTCGACTTCCCCCACGCAGTGATCGTAGGCGCAGTCTCAACTACCATAATATAAATGGATTCGAGCAATCGCAGGGCACCGAGGTTCCATACAACTTCGATGCCGCTCGGCCAGAATACGGCGCTGGGTCCACTGTTTCAGACCCTGTCGCGCCGCAATTCTTCCAGGATACATTCCTGGACTTTTTCCACGGCCCTTTTGGTGATGGAAATAAGGCCACGGATAACTCTTATCATGCCGGTGAATTGAGCTACCAGTCCGCCATCCCTCCAGGGCAGAATTCTACTACATTGCCCGGAGATCCACCTATCTTTGAACCGGAGCGACCATTCGCAACGACATTAATTCATTTAATATTGACACAAGCGTGGCAGGTCCCGCTTGATCCTAAAGCGCAGGAGGAGTTATCTACCAATCTCAACTTTCTATTGACCACTGCGCGCATACGAAAGTACATTGCGCTCTATTTCAAATACTGGCAGCCTAGCTGTGCAATGCTTCCTATGTCTTTCGACCCGGAGACAGTTCCCCTGCCGCTCTTAGCCGCGGTAGTCTTTATGGGCGCAATGTACAGTAACGACCAGAGGGAAGTATACGTCGCTAAGAGAGTGCTAGATTTTGCAGAACTATCCATCTTTGCAAATGATGTGTTCTCGGCAGAGAGCGAAATCAACGCCACGTTCTCAGGCAGTCGATGCTTTGACGAGGGAATAGGCGACTGGGATTGGTTTCAGAAATTTCAGGCCGGGGTTATCATCACCATTGTCCAATACTGGGCGGGAAGCCGTGTGTCACGAAATCGCGCAATGGAAAATCGATTTGGTCAGGTTGTGAAGGTTGCTCGACGAATCGAACTTGTCAAAGTCCGTCACCTTCCCGATGACCAGGTCCTAGAGCACTTGTGGATACAAACGGAGAGTCGTATCAGGTACTTTTCTTCCCCCCTTTCAACTTTGGGGTGTTCTTAGGCTTCCCTTACTAATATTGACAGGACTATTTCTATCATGTCGCTGCTCGATTGCGCGTTCTTATTCTTTCAAAACTTCCCCTGTCGCCTAACATTTACTGAAATGGAATGTGATCTACCTTGCCATGAATCACTTTTCTTCTCCGAGCACCCGTTTGCGGAGCCAAACTTTCGCTTTTCGCGCGGCCTCAAGGTTTCGGAGGCCTTCGAACATTTGTTTGACGAAACACCCGAGTCTAATACAATCGATCTCACTGCTTTAGACATGTTTATCTTGATTCATGGTATGTCCTTGTGCCAGAAAGCTTTATTTTGTGCCTTGCAATGGCTGACTCCTTGTCTAGTTCTATTCTCATTTATTAACAACCATATGACGCTTCTCGGCTCTTTCATACGCATGAGAAATTTCAAGGATCCCAGAAAGAGTGCTGGGATTGGCGCAAAAGACACCACGGTTCCTGAAGATTCAATCCTCATTGCCATCCGGACTGCTCTATCCCGCTGGCGTAATTACTGGGTCGCACTGCGCAATAGAATGACAAGTGACGAATGGGCATCAATGGGGTTCTATAAGAATGGGTATAACTTTTGGCTAGTATCGCAACTGCTTATCACTAGAAAGGATGCCGTTGATGTGGTGATGCAGATGGAAGTGCACTGCGAAGATAAGCTGGAGAAGCTGAAAGTGTTGCTGCTTGATGACCAAGAAGATGTTTAATTACCATGACAAAACTGAAGATGTTTATAAAGCTATTAGACTGTTAGATTCGCCGATGCATTCGGGACTTATACTTGCATTCACTGGTGGGACTATGATAACTCAACCTCGTCGCTGATAGTCTAGAAGACCTTCGACGACATTTTGATTGTACTGTCCACCCTACATACTTACTGGCTTCTTACTGTTAATGATACCCATAGCCATTACGTTAGTATATCTTGATTTGAACTTCAGAGTAATACTAAAATGAAGCCAGGGGATTTCCAGTCCCTGGTTCTCTTGAAAATCCGAATAGTCGCATTGGGATATGACATCTATTTGTGTCTTCTTGGATCTCTTTATCAATATGGCTTACGTATATTTGAAGGAAGCGACCTCGGGAGCTCGAAGCCAGGTGCGATATGCGGCTTGTGACACAAATCATGCCAGATGGAGAATCGGACACTAATGTGCTATGTTGACTTGACCTACGGAATAGTATTTGCGAAACACTTTTAGCATGCATTGTGCCCTTACATCCTGCTGTTGCATCTATATTCACTAAGAAATGCAAGGGCCAATCAAAAGCTAGCCATAGGAATTGTGGATATTTGTTGAAGATCCCACGAGGATGTGGAGCTGAAATACCTTTGAAGCGATACATCAATCTGCACCTTGTGTCTAGTTCAAGACCGATTATTTTATGTTTTTCTGAACATTCATAGGAGCGTTTACTCAACCTTGCGTGGATCCCATTCACTATCGATTTTATGAGGTTGTACTCCGTATATGAGAAATACTACTCCGTACTGAATAGTTTATTACCTCATTCCATTTATAGGCGTGGTGGATTTGCTGAAATCGCGCATAAATTGATGAGGGCTGGTGGTCAAGGTCTAATTATTATGCTATTCTTCTACAACATACATTGTACACACTTGTAGCATGGTGGCATCCCATATTGATATTTATGTTACAACACTGCATACCTAATAAGAACTGATTTCTCACGGCATATCCATTCCACTCAAGGTGATGTAGGACAGGCATATTTTCTCCCATACCAAGCTACAACCAATCATAATTGTCTGCAATGCAGCACAATGTGATATGATGCTGTAAGCATAAACCTTCTTAAAATCAAAGATCGACATGAGAGCCAAGCCAAAAACAAAATCAAGGGGTAATTTTTTAAGTCCGAGGGAGCTGCAGATGCCACTATTCTGCACAGAAACACTAGTGCCCCCACAAAGCCAAGGATGTCTCCAATTGAGACACTTGGCGTCCAAAGGATGATGACGTGCTCAGGCAGACGGTGCCGATAAAGTTATAAGGTTCTGGATATTCCAAGGTTCACTCCTATAGCTTCCCCGGATGAAGTGCCAGTTAAGAGACCTCGGGATCTTCTCCACATCATCCGAGATTTGGAATACTTCAAGTCCTAGCCTTAAACGGGTGATCCCGATATCTGATAATCCCGGGTGATCTTGCCGATCCCGACGATCTCTTCAGCCATCTCAGCTCAGGATGCACGAACTCCACTAGTGTCCCCACACGGGTGATCCTGTTTGAGCTATTTTATGCCGCTCTGCCACTCTGTAAGACATCGTAGGTAACATCGCGGACGCCTATAAATGGGCTTGTCTGGCGCCGCCGGGCGCTCTTGTGATACCCGAGTAGTCGCGTATATCCTTCACAATGGTCTTCATCAAGGCAACACTCGCGTCCGCTTTTGTCTCTCTCCTAGCATGTGCCACCGCTGTGGAAGTGCCTAAGACCGATTACGATGTCATCGTGGTCGGCGGCGGTCCCGCGGGTCTGAGTGCACTCAGTGGTGTCTCTCGTGTCCGCCGAACTGCTCTGTTGATTGATAGCCAGGAGTACCGCAATGCTCCGACCCGGGAAATGCACGATGTCATTGGCAACGACGGTGAGATTCGATCCTAGCTCTATCCCAACACAAAGTTTCTTTTCTAATATATCTCATCTTCATCAGGTACCCCACCCGCTACTTTCAGAGGTCTGGCTCGCGAACAGATCGAGAAGTACCCAACTGCCCACTTTACCAACGAGACTGTGGAATCAATTGTTCCTTTCCCACAGGGAGACTTCTCTGCCTTTACGGTGACCGACAGCAAGGGCAAGAACTACACTGCCCGTAAAATTGTGCTCGGTACCGGTGTCCGTGACGTTCTACCCAGCACTCCTGGCCTGAAGGAGGGATGGGGCCACGGTATCTTCTGGTGTCCGTGGTGCGATGGTTACGAACACAGAGACCAGCCCTTTGGAATGATCGGTGATATCACCGATATGCTGAGCAACGTATTGGAGACTCACACTCTGTACACTGACATCATTGCATTTGTGAACGGCTCGCAAACCGCAGATGGCGAGGCGCGGGCAACGGCAAAGGTCGCAGACTGGAAGGAGCAACTTGCCGCTTGGAACACTACCATCGACAATCGCACAATCTCTTCCATTGAGCGTCTCGAAGATGGCGGGGATAACAGGGGCGAAAACGGTGACCAGCAGTTTGACAAGTTCCGCCTTCACTTCACTACAGGCGAGCCTGTCGAGCGGAATGCTATTATTATCAACGTCCCAACTGTCCAGACCTCGACACTTCCAGCCAAGATGAATCTGGACATTGTTGGTGATAAGATCAATGTCACCAGCGGGATGCGAACCAGTGAGACCGGTGTCTTTGCTGTTGGTGATGCCAACAGTGATGGCAGTACCAATGTGCCACATGCGATGTTCTCTGGCAAGAAAGCCGCTGTGTTTTTACACGGTATGTTCCATTTCCCCTGTTGATACTAGATAGACGACTGACAATATTTGATCATAGTGGAACTCTCTCGTGAGGAGTCGAAATCCAAGGTCTCGAAGCGCACCGGACTCTCCCACCGTGAGCTCGAGAAGGAGGCCATTCGTGCAATTGGCAGCAACCTGGATGCCGAATGGAAGCGTGCTCAGGAGTAATTGCCTCCCTTAATTAAGGTAGCGCCAGTTTGTGAAGGCCAGCTTCGGCTCGGGCCTCCAATGTATACATAGTCAGCTAGTCGTTGGACTTATCCGGATGATAATACTCCATGGCCTACCAATATATCCTCAAATCTAAGTGAAACATCCAAGACCGCGCTGCGCCTACATAAAACAGTACTTCAAAGATAAAGGGGGATGGATGATGCCATCGCTCGGCACGGTTATGTGCTAGTTGCAATAGAGAGAAGACAAAATCCCAATTGCTTTAGACATTAATACCTACCTGCTTAAGTGCTATACCTATGATACTATTACAGTAATACATATACATATGTACCGGATAATGCCTGGCACTAGAGACCTTTCCCTTTCCGCTTTAGTAATGAATGCTTGTTATCAAATTAACTGCACAAGATAAGAATCCATACTCGAATCACCAAAACACCAGCGGCATCTTGTCTATTACAGTAAGACTCCACGTTTTAATAACCGGTAGATCTTCCCGTCTTGTTTCCAGCGCTCTTGGACTTCCGAGATTATTAGAACCCAGGCTTCAATTTTCCATACGGTACGACAAATCTTCCCCTCCTGCCTCTCCCAGTGTTTTTCCGTCGCCCATGAAGCGAAATCTATTCACCGATCCATATTCGATATCAAAATCCTCCGTCCTGAAACTTTCGAGAATTTCTGACGTGAATTCTTTGCATTAGCAAACATTCGATTTTCTTATTTCACAGTTAGAAGTTCATCTTGTCATACCTCTAAACTGAAGCCGGCTTCCAGCGAACAGAGCGGTAACGCGCCCGTCTGACTTGCCATTCTTGTACCAACTTCGGCATGACCCAGACCACACCATGTGCTTGAGAAATTCTTGTGAATATGTGTTATAGTCATCCAGAGCTGCCTGTTTCACACAAATTGACCTATGACAACGTCAGCAGACTTCACCATCACACAACCAGAATCTGAAATATACTTGATATCTTCCATTGCCATCTTCCGACACCACTTTAATATCCATTTCGCCACGCAGAATACGCTCTCTAAGAGAGAACCATGACCCACTGCTGGCCGTGAGTTATTTTCCCTTTACTGGCCAGGGGATGCTTACCGGGGCTATTGGGACCATTGAAGATGAAATAATTTGGAGTGTTGGCCGCTGCGATCCCAAAATATGCTTCTGGCGAGTCACTCCATGCAAGATTGAGTTGATGTCCATTCCGCCCTTGCACGGTCCATGAGGGGCGGAAACTACCATCAAATCCAGTTGCGCAGACGATGATATCAAATTTGGTGTGCTCATGGGTTGTTTGAATCCCAGATTCTGTAATTTGGACTATTGTATTGACATTGACTCTCGCATTTTTCTCACGTAGAGCTTCGAGATACCCATCGCCCGGCGTTGCGCGTCGGCATCCAAGCTCATAGTGTGGAACCAGCTTGTCGCAGAGCTCTTGATCCTTCCCGAGCCGCTCTTGCATCGAAGCATGTGCCTGCGCAAAAGCAGCTTTTTGAGCTGCTGAATCCTTGAAGAAGACGTTGAAGAAGTTATCTTCACTATATTCAAGTTACTACGATTGGAAAAGAATCTTTATGGAGCTGCTGGAAAGGGTTGACTCACCTGCGCTCGATCTCCTTGCGAAGCTCAACGAGCGAGGCAGGGTTATCACGAAATTCTTTCTTTTCTTCTTCGGTGAATGCAAAATTGGTTCCGTCTTTTGTAAGCTCGGCCGCATGATTAGAAAATATCCACGTAGGGGTACGGATGTAGTTAGTCAACTGAGCCGCGGTCTTCTGCAACTGCGGGAGCACTTGGATAGCGGAAGCGCCATTGCCAATCACCGCGATTTTCTTGCCTGTCACATCGATAGAAGGGTTCCTGGGCCACTTTTATTAGACCAATAACCTATACCGACATGAAGGCAGAGAGACCCACCAATTTGCAGTATGAACAAGCTCCCCTTTGAAATCATGAAGACCCTCGATACTAGGCCAATTCCAGTTACTAGCAAGATTAGTCTTATGAAACTTCAATGGTTGATTTGTTCATACTTCAAAAAGCCCGACCCGTCGATCAATATGTCACATTCGTCTTCTTTTTCTTCGCCGTCTTGTCGAATCTTGAGACGCCACTTACTCGAAGGCTCGTTCCAGGTTGCTTGGACTACTTTCGACTGAAGTTGGACATGTTCAGCTAGACCATACTTATCCGAGGTTCTCTTTATATAGGACCAGATCTCGGGACCCGAGGCGTAAAATGTAGACCAGTCCGGGTTGGGCTCGAAAGGGAAGGTGTAGATATGCGCGGGAACATCGCACTAAGCTCTCGAACGTCAGTCAACAAGGCTGTTGAATCTATCATCAAAAAACGCACTGCAACTCCAGGATATCTATTCTCCAGCCATGTTCCACCAATGTCTTCATTCTTGTCATAGATGGTCAAATCGATAAAGCCTTCAAGAGCCTTATTGTATTTAACCTCGTATGCTGTCATCAGACCGGAATACCCGGCCCCGACACACACAATACGTATGCGTCGAGGTTTGTATGCGGGCTCTTGCAATAGAGGAACCCAAGTCTTCGCATCGCGCAAAGGATTCAACGCCGACTTGGACGCCTCTAGAGAACGTTGATTAACTTCAGGCTCCATGTTCGTCTCTATGGCGAGCTTGAGGGTTTCACTGCGACTTGGGGCTAGCTTTGGTTGAAAGAGTAGGGGATAAAAAAGAGTATAATGCAAAGTTGGGATAGAAAAATGCGGGAAATGGCCCATGTAGCTATATTGGTATAGAACAGGCAATACTATTACGTCTGACTATGTTTATACTGCAAGGAAGAGGGTATCCGAGCGTGATCCGACCAATAAGCTGACCCCACAGATACATGGCAGGCATGGCAGGGGGGTGGCGCTGTCTGTTCCTCGGGCGGCACGGGCTAGGGTGGAGCCAACATCACCACTAGCGCTGCATTCCTGCACCCATGATTGGCCTGAATAGCGGTAGTGGTTTGCCGTCAAAGTGCGCCGGGCGGGGAAAATGCGGGGCCAGATGTGGCGGCATAGTACGAAGTACATATAGCAGAATACACCGTTATTTTTATGGGATATTTGTATATTGGTCTCTTAAATAGGTACATATGCATAACAGCCAGCAAGAAAGATATACTTTTATTAGTTTATCATATAGGCAGGCGGATATGCCCGTAGTTAGCCGGACGATCCATGCTCTAGCTAGCTATTTAGGGCGGGATATATGCGAGGTGCAGATGTGCATAGTATAGCAGAATAAACCGTTATTTTCATGATATCTCTATCTATTGGTCCCTTAAAATAGGTAGATATGCATTGCCTCGTATGAGGAAGTTTTATCAAGAGGGGGGGGCAATTATTGCGCAGTCATGCGAGCACTAGGGTTCTTAAATATGCAGGAAAAGCCATATAGAGCAATGGTAATATGCGTGATACGTACATGCTTGACGACAGTTAGTCTCACGAGACCCTTCACAATATCAACAGGGTAGTATTGGCGGTACGGCTTGAGGAGCTAGATGTGGAAGTCAGCGATATTCCCGGTGTGTGATCATCGTAATAGTGAGGCCAGTCGAGACAGTAAAGATCGATTGGTCGAGGGTGCGAGCGATGGCAAAGTCCAGAGTCGCGGAAGGGCCCACGCTCAGAAAATTGTTTGTCCCGAGCGGCGGATGGGTGATGATAGCTATACCAAGAGCTTGGCTTTGACGTGGCTAGGAGAAGCCTTGCATCCTCCTAGAATTGAATTCATAGAAGCATGTGAATTCTGCAGCCACGGGTACCTTCTGTATAAGGCAGACTACGGTTCATTGAGAATAAGGCGGTGGACCAAATATATAACTGTATGAGAACCCCAGATAGACTCCCTGATGAGAATTAAAGCTCCTCATCTCTCTCCTACATCGCTATACTGCTATATCTGCTACACAGGGTGCAATCCTTTCAACCTATCATATACCACGGATAAGCCGTTCCTTGCCTTGGGCTCTTCTCATTCAAAGCCATGTTGCAGAAACAAGAAGTGGTAATGCAGCCACGCCTAGAGCGTCTTGAGCAAATGCTCGGCGATCCTCTCTTCGAAAGCATACTCTGGGGCCACGAGTACGACCTAGGTGGGCTGGACAACAGTCTGCGTATTAAGATCGAGTCTGGGCAGTTCAAGAGGATTGTCTTCTATGGGATGGGATGCTCCTCGGTGGTGTCAGACATCGTCAAGGGCTTCTTCCTAACGGAGCACATCCCGATACATGTCCAGGTTGTCAACGACTACGACAGCGACTGGTTTATCGACAGAGACACCCTGAAAGACGACTCCACGCTGACGATTATCGTCTGCTATAGCGGCTGGTCGGTCGAGCCGTGCCTATTCTTCGAGACCATGCGAAAGATGACAGGAAACAGAAACCTGATCGTTCTGTCTGGAGGCGGGAAGATTGCAGCTCTGTGCCAGGAGCACGGCACCTCGCTGATCCAGTATAAGCTACGGCATGCCGACCGGGAATACCCCCTATATCACGTTCAGCAGTTCTTCTCGATATTCCTCGATCTCTTCCACAAGCTGAAGATCACAAAGTCCTCATACCAATCTGAGCTCGAGGACTCGGTCAAGTTCCTGAAAGCTGAGTTCCACGAGGAAACCCTCAAACGAGCAGAGGCCATTGCCGAGAAACTGAGGGGGAGTCGGATCGTCCTGCTGAGCACGGCGGACTGGTACGTCACCCTCCTCAAGCAGACAACCATGTTTTTCAACGAAATCGCCATGGTTCCGACTCACAGAAACCTCCTGCACGAATTCTCCCACACCGAAGTGGCTGCTTATTCCGACCCGGCCAATAAGCAGGCCATCGTCACCTTTTGCGACTCCAATGCCGACGAATACACGCGGAATAAGATCCAGACCCTGGAAGGGCTCTTCGGTAGCAAGGAAGTCCCTCAGAACTGTAACATCGAGTTTGTCCAGATCGACCTTGACCAGGAAAATTTCTTCAAAAAATTCTTCTTTACGCACTTTTTTACAATTTATGTTGCGTATTACCTAGGGAAATACTCCGACGTGGAGGGGAGAGACTTGATCTCGATCGCCGCAAAGAACCCTTGGTGGAGCCAACGCTCGATCGAGCTTTTCCCCAAGTGTATCGATATCCCTTCGGTTCTCGAGTCCGAGAAGGCTGGTGACAACCTAAACGAGCCAGTGTGAATGCAGGTGAATGGTTACTAAACAGTTTCTCTCTTTTCAACAAAGGTGAAATGCTATTTGCGCTGTTCTCTTTCTTCAACAAAGAAACTGCTACCATACTTTGGATGGAATTTCGAGTTAGTTATCTTACATTACGATCATTCTGAAATGAATTTATATTCAAGATTCTATTGTCCCAGCCCGGGATGTTCATTATGAGATGCTCTCCTGTGTGACCTTGCATAAAATTCGCCCATTGATCGCTACTGTAATAGTAAATAATAGATAATTACTTAGCCCAATTTGGAGTATGAAACATTGAAGGTACTCTGGCACAAGATATATTGTCTATTTGCCAACATATATTACATGATACGCCTTTGAAATATAGACTTTAGATGTAGGAATAAGTCCATGAGCCATGCCGCAAATACTAGCATAGTCATAACTGTTGCCACCCAAGCTATGGCGTTGGATTCCAGCTCCTCGCCAATGCGAATCGTGGCAATTGTGAAGCCAATATTGGGGAAGATAATGGCCCACCAAGGAAGTGTGAAACTCATCTCTGGCTGCGACATACTATTGCCGTATTTAGGAATCATAATGGGCAAGTGAGCGACCAGCGCAATCGCGAAAAGCCAGAATGTGAAGAGCCAAAGGAATATGCCTATCCACAATGCCATGACATTCAGGGTTTCTGAAGCAGTAGGGTGCTTCGCAAAGTATCCGTATTCGTCAGGGATCGCCTTGGCGCACCCAATGAGAGCCACAATAGTGTATCCTGATGAACCTACGGATATGAAGAGTCCAGGTCTCTGGTTTGCCGGGCCTAAGCCATTGATAAGCATGTTGCCCACGAAGAGTGGAAGAAATAAGATGCACAAGATCCACCCAAGACCCTGAAAAGCAACGCCGGCAACGATTATGGCCATTCGCTGTGAGAGAGGCTGATATGCTGCAATAGACGACGCAACAGTTCCGGTCAGCATGGCGTTAAAAATCATCAGAAACATTGGTGGGCTCATGGTGCCAGGCTCGAGGGGGCAAACGATAAACATGACGACGAAGACGACGATATTATACGCCAGGGTGATAGCAGCATAGGTCCAAAAGAGAACCCGGACGGCGACGATGGCCCAAGGACCGGCATGAGGAACACCGAAACGTTGCATGCATATGATGATGGTCGCCATCGAGAGCCATAGAGAGCCTGTGAAGTAGGCTTCCGGGGGGTTCGTTAGGGATTTGCGTAAGCTGGAAGGTCTCTGCACGAACCGACAGATAATGGCTGTGGTGAAGAGGACGAACAAAACTAGGTTGAGGATGAAGACTACGACACCGGCGGTCTGCAGCCCGCGAAATTGATGGGGGGTTTCGGAGAGAAGAATGGCCACGCCGCCAGTAGACTGAGTGCAGGTGAAGTTAGCCCATGTGAAGCGATCGAGCAGTCGGACCTCCTTGGCGGCGCTTTCGTCTTTTGGTTCCGCATTGTCAAGTCGAGCGGCGTTCCTCATTGAGGCTTCATGCTGCTCTTCGTCTGACATAGTGACTCCGTAGGGACTAAAGACAGGGCCTCAACTGACCGGAAATGGTTGATTTCCGAAGAATGAAAAGGAACAAAGAGGTGCAAGTTTGCAGATGGCCGGGGGTAGAAAAGGCTCGCGAGGGGTAGCGAGGTAGGGGAGCGTACTCCGTACCTAAGCGAGAAGTAAATGGCGGGCGACACTACAGGGCCGCCCCGAATGGAATAGATATCAAAAATGCTAAAGCATTTGGACTTACTTTATCCCCGTATTCTTTAGGATTTTAGAAGTTCCCTATAATATAACATAGTAACCTCTTTGATATCTCGAGATAGGGTTTCGACCATTCCCTCAGGCAGGTGTATAAGGCTGCGGTCAGGAAACTAGCATGGCATTTCTTTATAATCTTTCCGGCCGTTTTTGTAATTATAACCATCGATGAAGCCCCTCTAGAAATATATGCCCTTGGTACTAGGATGCGTGCATAGCTAGATAAAGGTAAATCTGAGTGGATTATATATAGATAAAACAATTTTACATCGTGCCTTGATGCAATCTAACTAGTATATATACCATTACACAACACGTGGGGTCCAGCCAGCTTGAATTTACACCAGCAGCTTCTATTAAAATTTAGGCTATCATTAGTTATAAAAGTAAATAAGTGCTATGAGGTTATTCTACTCCAAGTATTCCTTACTAAGATTCTAAGATGTAGCCTACTAATAGTAAGTAATACAGAGAATAAATAGTACTGAAGATCACGATCATTGCTAAGTACCCAGAAATTAGAGTTCCTCGACGGTTCGGTCCTATAATTGGACTCAACGTTCTAGGTCAAGTCTATCCTTGTCGTATCCCAGAAAGGCGTTTGTCGATAAGTTGTAAATTGCCCTAGCGTTGTCATAAGCTGCAAAAGTTCTCGTCACGATTTATCGAGCCTTAAGGGCATCAAAGGTGAAACTCGTGCACATTGATCATCTTTAAAAAAAGTCTAGCACGATAGGGAGAGGTTTTGTGCCAATAAGGTCATCCAATAATCGGTTATGATACCCGTCCCTTTACTTATACATGCCGCTACATCTTACATTCAAAGTTTGTTCTCATAAGACGTCTTACAAGACGTTATGAACATGTATCCAGAGGAATATGATTGCGAGACGTTGGTTTTGTCAGTTGTCGTCGAACATGAGCATTTGACGATCTGAACCTTCCACGGCAGTCACACAGATGACCCAGAATTGCATGTGGGCTCTCCTTTTCCCTCTCCGGCAGAACTATTCAACCAACTTAAGTATGATTGCCAAAAAACAGAGAATATCGATGTCATAATCGATCGAGACTGGGGTTTGATATATGAAAAGTTGAATGCCGTCACCAAAGGCCAATATAGAAAGCTTCTGGGAATACTGATAGATGCTGTATTTTTCACTCTTTCAATTGCACCCCAAAGCCCCTCCCCGGCGAGGAGTCCATGAAACGCAAAAAAATAGACATTGAACATCGGAGTGTAAAAGGTTTGGTTGGCAGCTACCTTCGCCCCCAAAGACAGAGAGGGTGAGCTGTAATTGAACCGCCGCCCCAAGAACAGGAACCATTCATGACTAGGAATTGCGATAACAAGACCGATGATTACACTGCGCAGCGAGCGATGATAGTCGAAATCATCATCTCCTATCATTTGTGCTGAAAAGTCACCAAGACAGAATATCAGCGGTGTAAGGCACAGTTGGGTAGTATATGGTCGTCGGCTTTGAGAGTGCGAAAACCAATCAAATAGTAATGCAATGGGTCTCTGAAGTTTTTGGGCAATCGGCCTCGGAGTTGTACCACGAGGAACAACATCTTGTTTTGTCCGGAAATGTGTGGCTTGAGTGCGGTGATAGTTCACTGGAATACGACTTGGTAGCCTGAGACGCAACCGAGTGAGCATGACTTCGTGTCGAAGATTAGGATGGGAAGAGGAGAGAAGACACCGAGGAATCAGCATAGTTCGTTTAAACGGACGGGTCCAAGAGAACGCGAGTTTGCCAGAAGAATCAAATCAGTCGGATAGGATTCATTACTTTATACCGCAACTCGAATTTCCGACATGCCAAACAAAGCAACCTTAGAACCTTGGAAGGGGGGGGGGAGTTGATTATATAATACCGGTCTTACTGGGCACTTGGGCACATCCTGGCATTTCGACCCCAGTACCCAAGTCACGCTCCAATACCCGGAGAAATAATTAGTGCGTCACACTCAGAATGAGGAGAATCATGAAGCGTACTAGGTTACCTAGTCTGACCTAGAATATTGCTAGGTCGAAGGGCTTAACCTCCTAACATATACCGGGTTAGGTCTGGGTTGGGTCTAAGTATAAACCTCACATTTTCAATTCTGTAAGGTACGAATACTCATATATTAGGATGAAATGCCCATCGGTATATATATTTAGCCAAGACAACGTATTATCTATTCAAATAAAATGATAATCAACATATATAATGCATGCTTATCTTCATAAATCAGAATTATAATGGCTAGTGCTCAGTTCGCCATCCCTAGATATATAACCAGCTACTGTAGGTAGGGGGTAACTTTTCTCTAGCAATTTATAGTATTAAAAGTACAAGAGCGTCTGAGAATGACTAATTACAGCTGATGCTTGTAGACCGTATCCACGTGGTGCCTATAGGAGCGGAAATGGCCCTCTTTGTCGAGATCTGAAAACTAATTGTTCTATTTGCAAACAAGACTCTAAATATTGTTCTTGGGCTGGCTTCTCTAGCTAGATGAAGCACATTTCACATCCAGCAAGCTGTTATCAACCTAAATGTAGAGGAAGTATGTCAGTATGTGTGTCATCAGCGTCGCGTGAATCTTCAAGATAAACCCACATTTGTGCAAGTGAACTGGTCATCCCCATCGGGGCTAACAACGTCAATGTTACTGGCGTTGATATTTGAGCAAACCTGTACAAGTTAGATGGCGAGTTATAACTGTGGCATTGGAGCACTTACATTGGGACTTGAGCAGACAATCATTCCCACATAAGGGTCGCGTTTACCGGAGGTGACACCGTTGAAATTCTTGAAGAGAACATCTTCGATAACAAGGTTGCTCTGTGTGGTATATGTGTTAGCTAGCCTTTGTAACGCTATCAAGCCGGAATAAAACCAATAGGGACAAAAAGAGATTGGTGGACACGTACGGGGAACTCGTTGCAGAGAGTCAAATTCTTCTGGCCATAGCACTGGGTCACTTCGATGGCATAGTCGACATTGTCAATGGTCATGCCGTCGTAGGTAATGTTCTTTACCAGGCCGGACCCGCCGCCGCCCTGTAGGTCGGTAGAGAGAGCAGCGGAAGCCCCAGGCCAGACCTTGATACGCGCACCATCCTTCATAATGTTGTTAGAAGCGTCATTGTCTCACCCGCAGTATTAAACTTACCGATGCGTTGAACATGGAAATATTGTACACGAGCACATTCTGCACAATATCGACCTCGCCTGGATATTGGCCCAGAGAGCCAACGGAAATACCGTGGGAACCGTTGCAATGAAGGTTCTGGACAAGAATGTCGGTAACATTGGGCTTGAACGAGACACAATCTTTGGCATGGTTAGTAAAGAATATCGGTTCAAATGTTTTAAGGGAACTGTACCATCTCCATTGTTGATCACCGAGTTCTGGATAACAATATTTGTCGAACGATAGAGGTCCCTATTGAAGATATTAGCCCACTGAAGCTAACTTATCTTTTGATGCAGATGGACTTACCATCCATCAGTGTTCTTAGCCTCATGCGCACTGCTGCTGAACCCACTGATGTCAAGTCCGTCAAAGAGGACGTTGGATGAGTTTGCCACGAAGTGATACCACTGAGGCGAATAACGAAGGTTGAGAGGCCCAATGGTACCTCCATTTAGCCCAATTATACCCACCAGAATGGGCCGCAGAATGAGGGCATCCTCTGCATACAAGTCATACCAGACCTGACCGTTGCCGTCTAGGGTACCGTCGCCATAGAGATTGACATCCTCACCACCGATCTGGAAGAACGTTGTGGCGTTTTGGTAGACCTGGCTGAATGCATTTGCCTGCCAATAGTCCGTGTCATTGCTAAATTGGACATGGCCTTGGATTTCTATTACAGCTTGCGTAAGTACTCGCTCATCTCATATCGAAGTCCAACGTGCGTTACATACCGAGATCCACATGCTTCAAGAAAGTCATGTCAAGTGCCTTTCCAATCGTATATGTCTTGCCGGCATCAAAGACAACCTTTCCACCGTTGTTGCATTTCTTCAATGCGGTAAGAACATTGGCCGAATCGTCGCGTCCATGGCCATGGTTGGCTACATGACAGGTGCGAGTTCTGGCATGGCTGGCTGGAAGGGGCTTGAATGGACGGTGTGGGTGGCAAGCTTCGGTTCGAGAGTATTCCTTAGCCTCAACTGCAGCACTGACTGACAACCAAATACCCAATACCTGGGTCAAAGTATTTGAAATCTTCATCGTTGGTGTCAAGAGAATCAAGGGGTGGCTTAGTTGAATTGGCAGTGTTCTCGGCTAAAGATACGAACATTCGGGTACTTCCAGGACAGCTTATATATAGTCTCGCCATTAACAATTTATTTCTTCTATTACCCCCGCCTAACTCGATCGGGGTCAACGTTAAGGACCGCCCTTTACAGTCAGATAATGGGGTAACCCCATATCGTTCAATTTGCTCCGGGGAAACAAGCTAGCGACTCCGCAATGTGTGGAGAAACCGGGGAATGGCAATGGCTTGTATGGTGTGTTTCCGTTTCGTGGAAAAGCGGCTGGAGATAAATTGAGTCTCGTGTTGCGCGAAAGTGGTCCCCAAGCAAGCCTGATAGGAGGAATATTTGGCGCGATTTCCCCGATTGGGAGGAAAATCCCGGATAAATTATGGGTAGAGCAAGCAGAGTTCCTAAATCCAATACATTTCAAATGGATGAAGCTAGATATCATCAGCGTCATAGCCTCCTAAATAGAAACCACCAAACAGGAGATAGTTGGGATTACAAGACAAATGCTACTAGAAATTCTTCGGGATTCTCGAGGACGTCTCGCCGAAAGGAACAGTAACCAATCACTTTGAAACATGCTTTATATGTACAACGCCTGTCCAATAAAAGGACCAGATTCTATGCCCAGAGGAGATGAAACAATGATCATCTCAAGCGAGCTCCCTCAACCCCAAGATTCTCCTAAAAATCCCCCTCAGCGCAGGTAATAGGCCCCTAAAGATACCGGTCTAGGTGTATTTAGGAACACTCTTTCAAGTTCATCTGCCTTCAACATGGAATCCATTCCACATCTAAGTCGACTTCTCAATAACCTTCTTCACGGCGCCTTCGGCCGCGTGGGCGGTGGCCTTGACGGAGTCAACAGCTTCATGCTCAATCACCTTGGCAGCTTCAACGGTTGAATCGGACTGGCTGCGCTGCCACAGGAAGATACGAGTCACCTGGACGGCACCCACGCATCCAAGGAAGAAGTTCACAGCGGCGAGCCTATAGGGTTATATCGTATTAGCATTGATACCCGGCGGGTCTGCTATCGGGTTCCACCTACAGGACGTTGCGGGGCTTGATGATCAGGCACCAGCGAGTCCAGATAGCACCAGTGCCCATCAGAGCAGCGTTCTGGGTGAGGGAGAGCTTCTCGGCGGGACGAGCGAAATCGGAGATACCGGCGAGGACCAGACACCACTGTTGTAGGGGAATATGTTAGCCATGGTGCTCAGCAGGTACACGCAGAAGTCTCGCAGGATACGGTGGTATTTGTTGGGTATCTTGTATTCGGAAGGGTGGCTCGAGGTATAGATGATATTAAATGAGGAAATGGAGTTATCGTACCTTCATAACCGGAGCCCTGCAAAACAGAAGTTAGCATCAATTCGGAGAACCAAAAGAGACAATAAGAAAAATGCAGTATGCTTAGAATCCTTACCAAAAGTGGACAGTCTTCATACCAACAGGGCTGTTCCACAGGCGCTGGAAGGCGTTCTGCTGCTCTCCAGCACCGGCCTCGGAGCTCTGCCAGCGGAAGCCCTGGGCACCCGGCCGGCGGAATGGCGCGGAGGCATTGCGGAATGCAAAGCGAGCGTTGTTCACGAAGCGGAAACCCACGCGAGACGACATGGTGATAGCTGGGATGGTGGTTCGAGTGAGAGGGAAGATGGATGGATGGCCGTGATCGGTGGAAGGGGGAGTTTTCCGTTGGGGAGGCTAGATAGGGCAAATAACCACCACAACCGCAGGTAAATGAAAATATAGTCTAGAAAAGATGAAAGGGCTACTCTCAAGCAACCAGTATAATCTACTTCAATTAATTATCTCTCACTTAGTATCTCTCTTGCGCTGTCGCTAACTATGACGCTTTGGCAAATATTGAAGCTGATGTAAGCATGTCGCGCTAGTTGGTATTGGGACTAGCGGGATTATGGCTCTGCGCAGCGAATCAACGCCGTCGTGAATAATGCACTGCATCGCAGACTGTCCAGCAAGTCAATTCCACTGCTCCCACGCTCATCCCCCTGTGGCTCATCTGAGACCTCTATTTCGATAATTTTTACATTTGCTTGACCATCCTGCCACCATGTCTGGCAAGTACGTTTTCACTCAAGGCCTGAAGGAGCTCCGCTTCCTCTTCTGCCAGACCTCCGAAGCGAGCGCGGCCACAAGGTGCGTACACCCCGACCCAAGGCGATTGAGGTTTCAGCCCACTGATTGACCTTCACTTACACCTATAGATCTTTCCTGAACCGCGCCTACCCGACTATGAAGAAGCACAACCCCCAGACTCCCATCATGATCCGCGAGGCCGCGGGCACCCAGCCCCGAGTCTATGCCCGATATGGTATGACAAGACACCTATAAGCCCATTGTGTGGGCTCTTTAGACAAGCGAGTTAAGCTAACGTGGTGATTTCCTCTCAATAGCTTTCGGCAAGGAGAAGCAAGAAGCTTTGTCCGGTAAATATCCCCCGCCAATCATAATTTTGTATCAAGTTTCAATGCTAATTGATATTTCTAGGCCTGTCGGACGCCCAGATTGAAGAGCGCATTACACAGTTGGTGAAGCAGCAGCTATAACTTCTTTTGGTTTCTCTGCAGATCTATTTTATGCCCCCGCGTTCCCACCGTCCTACGCCCATCTTCTGTACCTATAGATGAAATCGAAGCTCATATCCAAAACAAATCCAATTTAATTACTTCCAGAGATGAGTTGGTACTATCTCATAATGTGCTACTAGCATTGCCAACCTCGCCAAACCGGTACTGCGCCCAGCTCATACTCCCCTCGGGGAGCGTCCAGATCCTCTTACCCAGATCCTCGCCTGCAGCACCAGCCCCAATATGAATAGGCAGCAAATGCTCAAAGGAAGGGTGAGCCTGGCGTGCATCCGGTCTCTTCATCAGCTCAGCCATGGCCTTCTGCCGTTCAGCCGGCGCAGTCGTCACGGCATCCTTGAGCGCCTTGTCGAAGCTAACCGCATACGGCATCGGGGTCGAACTGCCAAACGCAAAGCGCAGATCACGCAAGTTATGCACAGCCATTCCAGACACGATGATCACGATATTCTGCTCGCGAAGACTCGCAACTGCCTGTCCGAGCCGGTAGTGCTGGTCTGGGTCTTCGGTACCGAAGAGCGACACTTGCACGACGGGAACGTTCAGTGGGTTTGAGTCTGGCTCGAAGGCTGCATTGTCCACGTCAGCATTGAATTTCCGTTTTGATGCGAACTGTCACATACCGCACTTGAAGCTAGCCCACACGCCGTGGTCGAGTCCGCGCTTCACGCCTTCGGCCGGGATCTTGGCTTCCTTCAACAACCTCAACACTTCATTCGCTACCTCCTTGCTACCCACATTGGGGTACTTCTCTTTATAGTAATGGCTTGGGAAACCACCGAAACTGAACCCAATTAGTTTGAAGTACAGAATAGCGGCTGGGATTTTGATATCAAACATACTCATAGATCAAATCAGTCTTCTCGGCGGTATTCACCTCGATCGTATTTCGGCCGCCCTGCCAATGCGCCGAGAATACCACAACCGCCTTCGGCTTGACCTTAGTGGTAATCTCGCGCCCAATCTCACCAAGCTTGCGGTAAGCCGGGTGGTCGAGCTCGTACATGATGTTTGGCTGGTGGATATCAAATCAGCTTTAAGTTCATGATTAGAGCCAGGATCCGAATAACTCACCCCGCCATGGCTGAGGAAGTAAATGGGTGTCTTCATGCTGGATTGTATGTGATCGCTAGTAATTGCGTCTGATTGTCCCTTCAGGGTCGCAGCTGCTGCAACAGATGCTGAAGCTGATAGAGGTACTGCCGCTGTGCGCGCAGAAGATCCGAAAAGGCGTCGGAGACCGAACAGATTGGCGGTGTTTCCCCAGAATAGGGTAATAAGTACGGCTGCAAGAACGGTCAAAAGAGATATAAGAGTGAGTTTGCGTCCGCTGAATAAATTTGGTGTTTGTGTTTCCGAGTCGTTATGTCGGCTTGATTCGGAAGACATATATGGCTTGTTTTGAATGGAGCTGGCAATAATATACTACTTCGCAGAACTCAACAAATAGCGGCCCTAGTATTTTATATTCAGATTGCAAGGCAAAAAAAAAACTTAGTTCTGTCGAACCAGGGCTGATTAATTAGATGCTTTCGGAAGCGCAGAGAGCCGATTATAAGCCCGAGCATTGGAAATTAAATGCACAAGCTATGTGCCAGTGCGGAATTCACCCGCTGACAATCCATATATCCGCCCAACATTGGCTCGGATTTACGGATATCTAGGATATATTGGACATCGGGATTATTTCGGATATTGATAACATCGTACACGTATTAATGTTCAACAATCTACGTACACAGGCTCCATCGTTTCCATTCCAGTCATGCACGTCCGATTCGTTAAAAAAACATAAGAATAAAAGGGGGGAGAAAAGAAGAAGAAGAACAAGAAGAGGAGCAATGTGAATCACAGAAGGGCATCGAAAAATAAGGAAATAAAGTAATCGTGAAGTCCAGGAGGTAGAAAAGAAGCGTTCTTGACCGGGGCAGAATACATCAAGCGCCGGTGATCATGAAGGGAAATGCATACATGCAAGCCATGTCTAAAACGAAGCAAAAAAAGGAAGGGACGAAAATATCCAATTACATGAGAACGCAGTCTCCATCACTCTGCTTATTAACGGCCGAGCGTGAGAGACGAGTCTTTTGCATTCGACTTCCACCCTTCTTAAGGTCTTCAAGGCGCTCACGAGCCTTGGGGAATCCTTGGGCTGAAGAAAAAGGTCAGCTGAGTCTAAAACGAAAAGCAGTCAAAGGGAAGGCGACTCACCAGCTGCGCGCCAGTACCATCTCTTTGCGTCATCTAGGTTAGCAGCAGAGCCGATTCCGACTTCAGTGAAATATCCCATAGCATATTCTGCCTTGGCAAGACCTGCGGTGGCGGCCTTACGAGCCCACAGATAGGCCTCGGTATCATTCTGCAGTAGAATGCCCTCTGATCCAGTGAGATACCAGCCACTAAGTGCGAGTTCACTCTGGTGTTCACCCTGGGCCGCGGCACGGGTGTACCAGATGATACTTGTGCGATTGTCAATGGGGCATCCCATAAGGCCGTACTCGTAGGCAGTACCAAGTCTGAATTGCGAAAACTTGTAGCCCAGCTCCGCAGCTTGGTGAAATAGCTGGGAAGCATACTGCTCGTCGCGGACGATGATATCATTACCGCTAGCGTTTTGATACATGAGGGCAAGCTCGTGGAGAGCGTGCGGATTTTCCTCGTCTGCACGGTCAGCCGCGCGCTTGAGCCATGATACACCCTCCCGGGGGTTCCGAGCTTGACCCAGCAGTCCCTTTAGATTAATCATTCCCATTTTGTACATGGCGGGTGTATCACCGAGCGCAGCGGCACGCTTGTACCATTGCACGGCCTTGAATGGGTCACGTTTGGTACCGCCACCTTCTTCCTGGCCGATCTCGCAGCATACAGCCACACGGTATGCAGACTGTGCGTGTCCTTGCTTTGCAGCAGAGTGATATAGTGAGAAAGCTTCCTTGGGGTCGACTTCTAGTCCTAGTAGGCCCTCACCGTGGCAGTCAGCCAGGAAAAACTGCGCTTCTGAGTACCCAGCTGTAACAAGCTTTTTGAGAATCTTATGCGCATCCATCACATACTTCTCCTTGGCCTTGGCTTTGGTTTTCGGATCAAGTCTGCTGCTGTCCTCTACAAGAACTGTAGATGCCTCGACCAGCCTTTTGGCGAGGAGAAGTTGAGTCTTCTGATCAGAAGGATTGCCTCGCGCCTGCTGTTGTAGCCGCTGTATCTCTTCAATCGTGACAGGAGTCTTAGCCGTTGCACCAGACACCATTGGCTGTGGAGCAGCGGGGGCTGTGATGGTTTCAGGAGCGGTGTATTGCCGAACTGGTGTAGGTTTTGACCCTTGATCATGGCCGGGGCGGAATGGGGCTGGGTGGTGAGGAAGAGCATCGGGACTCTGGTGAGGAAGAGCACCGGGATTCTGGTGAGGAAGAGCACTGGGATTCTGGTGAGGATCTGGCATTTCGACCTGTTCGTGGGAATAGCCTGACTGGTTGGTCCGGACCGGGGAAGGACCATGCGAGTGACCGGCGTAATCTTCGTAACCATTCGACACATATCCAGCAGGGCCTGAGTGGTCGAAGGCGGGCGCAAGGGAAGGTTCTCCAGGAATACCAAACTGGAATCCCGCATTTTGGAACTGATTGGCAGCGTCTGCTTGTTGGAAATTTGGTTGAGATTGGGGGTGCATAGCCTCCACTCCGTTGGGGGGATATGCGTAGTCTCCAGGTAAAGAAGTCGGACCATGGACTGGTCTCTTGGCCGGTGTGGTTTCCAGACCCATCTCATCAATCGGGGTGTGCTGCTGAGGGTCTGGCATGGCATCAAAATTAGGCATATCAGGTTCATCAGCACCACCAGACTCATAATAGCTGTCCAGAAATTCCTTGGGCGCATATGAAACACGATTGGCGGGTTCTGGGGGAATCATCAATACAGTGGGATGGATCATTAGGCCGGGGTCTATATCGTTGGGGCCACGAGATCGTGGGGAGCGCATGCTCCCAGCAGTATCAGGACGCATAGGAGGTTCGCTTATGGGGTTCGCTGGGTAATCTGTTTCTTGGTAGGTCGACTGGCCTGGATAGAGTGGTGCACCTGGGGGAGGTGGCATCGTTGCGCTTCTTGGTGGCGGGGGCATAGACGGGCCCATGGATTCTGGATAGTCTCTGCCAGGTCGGTCTGATCTGCCCGAGCTAGCAGCTCGCACTGGACCCATTGGATAGCCACCCCGGCCTTGCCCTGGTGGAGGTCCGCGTGGAGGTGGCTGTCGCATATCTGGCCATCTTCCATTGGAATTTGAAGTGTGTGGTCTAGGCGGGGCACTCCCATTGATGTCCATTGCAGCCATATCGTTCTCTAGCCCTCCTCGGGATGGTGGGCCGCCCCGATCTCTAGGATCTCGGGGGTCTCTAGGATCTCGCGGGTCTCTAGGATCTCGAGGGCCTCTTCTGGGGTCTCTAGGATCTCGCGGGTCTCTAGGATCTCGCGGGTCTCTGGGCGCTCTCGGGTCTCTAGGATCTCGCGGGTCTCTAGGCGCTCTCGGATCTCTTGGGTCTCGGGGGTCTCGCAGGTCTCGCGGGTCTCTAGGCGCCCTCGGATCTCTTGGGTCTCGGGGGTCTCGCAGGTCTCGCGGGTCTCTAGGCGCCCTCGGATCTCTTGGGTCTCGATTTGGGAAGGAGGGAAAGGGATTGTCGAAGGTACCGCCTGGGGGTGGGCGTCCACCAGCTTGAAGCCGATTAGTTGCCGCTCGGGGATCTCTGTCTGAATTTACATACGTGTTCTTGGCCGCGATTGCGGCGGTGGTCTTCCACCAGGAGGATAGCCGCGCCCATCATCGTATCCAGGGCCTGGAGGTCGTCCATTTCCCGGGCCTGGTGGGCCCGGTGGGCGCATCGAGCGTGGCTGAGATTGCGTAGCACCATATGGTTGCGAACCGGAGGAGCTGGACTGGTAACTGTATGCCGCATCGTCGTAGCCCGGGTCAATCTGCTGGGAGCTATGGCTACTCATGCCACCGTCGCTGTACCCTCCGTGGGAGCCATCTTGCGAATATCCTCCTGGGGATGTCATAGAACGCGGAGGGGCATTGTTGTATTGTCGCAAAGGTGGCGGCCTCTGCGCTTGATGTTGCTGGGGGTATGACATGGCGCAAGCTGACAGGCGTACTATACAATGGCGATTCGAGTAGACTTCGGGGGCCCATTCACGGTGCAAATCTTGTTGGTGGGTAGTCGCATGCAAGGAGTGGACAGTTCGGTAAACTCCAGGGCTCCAGGGCTGTAATTTGGAGTTAGCTCATCCATTTCACGATCCATGGATATCGCGAATAGGCAACCGGCGGGACTCCACACTGATCCTTACCTCGCGCAATGCCAGACCACAGTGTCGAATGACCAACGAGCCTGTCGCAAGCCGATCAAGCACCTGAGGAGGTCAGGAGCCACACCGATGCAAAGTAAATTGAAGAAGTTCCGAGTAAATCAAGCGGGGGGCAGAATGGATTTAGGGGCGGTCGGAGCAGGTGACCTTTAAATTAAACAGTCTCTTGACCCACACTGAGAGACACTTTTCATAATTTTTCCCATACTTTTCATACTTTTCATACTTTTTTTATATGGGTATCCAATCTCCTTTTACGCCTATTAGTGCACTAACTACATTGGATCATTTTCTGGGCTTAAATGGAAAATTCAATGCCATCATAGACCCATGTTCCTATTATTATCCATGGATATTCCCACTTGAAATTGCTACTTTGATCTAAGTTACCAAGGGGGGTAGTTGTTATACAGTGGATGATGTGATATATCAAGATAAATCCCGTTGGGAATTAATTCATCCCACTCGGTGCCTGACGATCAGGGGGGCGTTCGAAGCTGGCGGGTCCTGCAGACTTCCTTGTCCTGTACGGAGTACAGAGTAAGCCCATCACAATCAAACCTTGGAAGTTTCAACGCCAACGGGAGTTTGTTGGGATCCACCTGGGTAGTGCTTCCTTAGTAACTGTACTCTGTACTCTGTAATCCTGGCTATTCTATTATCCAAATCCAGGGCTTACAGCCCAAATTCCAAGGTTGGCCCAGGGTCAAACAATGATGACTAAACTAGACCCTGTGCCCACCCGTGGACCAGTACAATTGGGCACCCCTGAAAGCTGCCCAAGGTTATATAACGGTACCTCGGAGGTATGGACTTCGTAAAAATAAGTACTCCGTAGGTGGGTAGCACATGAGATACTCCACATCTGTCTCGGAACACTTCCATAAGACGTCACGGTCAATGAAAAGTCAATTAAAGATGACAAAAGTGACAAAAGTGTGGGGGAGAAACACGAAAACGTGAGACATGCTTGATCGGGCAAAGCGTGGTACTGCGCCACATCGGCTGCGCCACGCCGCCTCGAACAGCAAATGAGAGCCGCGATGATGTTGATGATCTCCATCGGTCTCACCATCTATCTCGAGTTATATCTCCCCGAGTCATCCGAGAACCACATCGTCATACCGAAGCCTTGAATCGGTAATCAGCATCCGAACTTCGCATTCACCATGTCTCGCGCCGGATTATGGGCGAAGACGATTGCCGGGTAAGTGATAATCGCCTACACCGTGGCAAAGATTCGTGCTCACATTCGGTTCTCACCATAGTGGCCTTCTCATGGTCGTCGGTGGCCCCGCTTTTGTTGAATACCTCCGACCCTCCGACGAAGAGCTTAGGAAGCGATACAACCCGGATCTGCAGAAGCGCAGCGCCGAACAGGGGGACCGCCGAGCGCAGGAATTCGATGACTACGTCAGTAAACTGAAGGAGTGGTCCAAGTCCGATAAGTCCAGTATGTTATGCACTTGCAATTGACCCCGGGAATGAGTAGCTCCGTGGAACCGGGGTCGCTCAGGCCTGAAAGTGCATCAGTGGCTAATGGTTATAACTCCGATTTTTTTAGTCTGGTACGCCGCCCAGGAAGAAATAGACCAGAAGCGAGCAGCGTTGGAAGCGCAGCGCGCAAAGGAGAAGGAACAAACGCGGACACAACGGGAGGAGATGCGCAAGGAGATGTTGGGTGAAAAATAGTCCCCCGACTAAAACCATCGCGCCTCGACCATTGATCTGTGATCATGCTGTGCCCGCACAGAGAATTTGATCTACCTACATTTCGAAACTCCCTCCGCCCCTCCTGCCATTGGCTCGATTGCTTCTCTCACAACTGTTCTTTTCCATCCCGGGGCTTCGAGAGCCCGAATTTTCTGCACTATCTGCAATTTTGGATATCCCTGGGTGTATGTCATGATTTTTATTGGCTGTACGATACTGCGACTCTTCCCTCATCTTTGCATCTACCGCCTCAATATGCGAGGCTTATATCAATGTACAACTACCGATTTCCGAACTGTGTCTCTGCAATATCATAATCTAAAAGCAAATCTCGTTCTACTGCAACCATGCCGCATATGTCTGTACAACACATTGCTATCTCAAGATTTCCTCTAGGTCTATGCTCGGCCGGCCAGGTGCTAGGATAAATGTGCACATCTGCAGCGGGTGGGCCACGCCGCCTGCTTGGCTACCGGGTTCTGCAGGTTGTAGGTCAGTAGCTGGGGTAGTGGATGGAGAATTCTCTTAATCGGATGTTATCAACGTAGATCAAGTAGCTGGTGGGTTTGTCATTGTCGGCTGCACCGGTTGTATTTTGGATCTAAGGGCTGGTGGAACTGTGTATATTCATATCGGTATTGAAACTTCTCCCCTGCAATTCAGTATACTAGTTCTTCATGCTGTTGAAAGTCCAAGCTAATTCGTCATAATTGAAATACACCTAGATCCTTTCAAGGCTAAGCCCTAATTGATTTCATGCATACGTCACTTCATGCATACACCAAGAATGCAGAACTCCTATGGTTATCAGCTATGCAATTGAACGATGTAAAAGGAACCCATGTTATCAACTACGCAGTATTTCTGGGGTTTGGGATATGCCAGAATTGGAATCTTTGAATTTCATTGTTATGTACCCTAAAAGTGGACTCGGGTTGGGGCTCTTAGTGCTGCTTCTGCGTGGATTTTTTCTGTTTTTGCAACTGATATCTAGACCAGATGACAGCAGCAAGCAGCACTATGAAACCCACGATCAAGATATATCCCCAAATACCACTTTCAATGTTCTCACTCCGATCATGACCAAGTCATAAGCTAGTAGAAACATTACCCTCTCCTTCAGTGGCGAGCGCCTTCTCAATAAACTTCTCTAGGTCATCAATTTCCTCGGGGGTTGCCGAGTGACCAAGATTTCTAGAATCACGTTAGCAGACTATCACAACCCGGAACAACAGCGACCAAAAACATACTCATATTGGTTGAAGGAAACGTTCTCTAGGCCAAGCTCCTTAAGTTTAGCCGCCGAGGTCTTCCCAGATTCGAATGGAACAACGTTATCCTCGAGACCGTGGGCAAGGAAGAATGGCGTTTTCTTGTTGACCCACTCTTCGGGCATGTAGTTCTTAATCCGGTCGCTCAATAGCATGTAGCACGACAGACCAAAGACACCGCCGAGCTTTTCCTTGTTGGTCACACCGGCGAAAACGGAAATCGCACCGCCTTGGGAGAACCCGCCCAGGATGATACGCGACGCCTTGATATTCTTGTTCATCTCTTGCTCGATGAGGGTATTGAAGTAGTCACGGGAGCGGACAATTCCTGGTTCGTCTTGGGTGCGGAGGGCTTCTTCAAAGTCCATCTGGATAGAGGGAGACGATTATTAGCGCTGAGAGTTTCTTCGGTGGTTCAGGGAATGGAGGGCTCACATCACGGCCAAGCTTGGTGATGTCGTACCATCCAGGCATGCTCATGCCGAAGTTCTAACCAATATTTTGTCAATCCATATTCAATTTATTATATATATGAGGCTCACATACGACTGTGATTGGGATGTCGGGCGCATTGGGGAAGATAAAGGCCACCTCGTCGAACTTGCCGCGGCGGCGCCAGGTCTGGGCAAGGGACACCCTATTAGAGATTGATGGTCAGAAGAGAGGCTCACGAGCTTAGGCTGGGTAATTTATGGGAATTTCCATACCATCCGGCACCACTATATTCAAACACTGTCAGGCTCGATACTCTCGTCTATCTCCTTCTGGCGATGCACTTACCTGTCTCCCAGCCCGTGGGCCATGATGACAGTAGCGGTGTGCTTCGTGAGCGCCGGAACAATGTAAGGACTACGCGTCATATTGAAAGTCGATATATGTTATGAGATGTAAAAAAAACACGTTGGGTAAAGGATATTCCCCACGCTTCTGCCGCCGACGTTATCGCCCTCTCACCGCCCATTTGATAACAGCATGACCTCGGCAGGGCTCATTCTATGGATGCATTATTAAACATTATAAAGGCCATATCTTAGTAATAATAATCTCCATTGATCACACCACGTCAACAGAGTATAACTCCTGCTTAATCGACTCAACGACCTCATTGATGAGATCGGCTTCCACAACCCCTTGCTGCCAAGAAACAGCCAGCACCAAACACCCATCCCCCCCAGTGACAGCTGACACCTCAATGGCGTTACCCATCACGCTGGCACACTGTGAAAATACCATACCCTTGATAGACGGCAGGTCAGGGTTTGTTTGTGGGCCCAGAACGCCAACATTCGACACCTCAAAGCTCTTATCGCGGTCCTTTCCAACCTTGGACAAGCACAGTTCTTCCTGAAAATCATCCACAAACTGTAGCAGACTCGTGCTAGCATTCTTCCCTTCCATTTTTAGAACGGACTCAATCGTTTCACGAGACCGTTTAGCCTCTGCCCACGGGAAGGAGCCGTCAGACGGCGCCACTGTCGCCCGGGAATAGGTCTCTTCGTAGTCCTGGACCCAGACGCCCACTGACTCATCAGTGATAACATCTGGCAGCCAGCGCCGGCTTGAGAGCGCCCCAGTGCAAGCGAGCTGCGTAAACTCAGGCGGGATGTGTGCGAAGATTGAGCGGGCGACGATCGTCTGCAGGAGTGCGGTGATCGTCGTACCCTCTTGTCGACATCTGTCTCTTATTGCCCCGACGAGTAGTTTGGAGAATGGCACGAGCCGCAGCCGGGTTTGAGAAGGGACTAGGATCTTAGAGCCAGTCCATAGACCTGTGGGTCGTCGGGAGTAGATTTTTGCCTGAAATATTTTCTTGGCAAGATAGAACAAGGAAAGAGACATTGGGTGCACACGCTCGATATTTGGCAAAAGAGGGAGCTGTGGTGACTTGATGATGGATTTAGTCTGGTCCGAGGAGTCCATTGCGCCTAGGGCTCGTAGGAATGTTTGATGGAAGGCTTTTCCGGAGGTTCCATCACCAATGGCGTGGTGATATACAAATGCCACGGTAAATTTCCGCTCATGCTCTATATCTAGCAGGACACAGACTCTCCATAAAGGATTTGGAGCCCTGAAAGGCGTGTTGTGCTGGGTTGCAAGCAAGGTTTGCAGGTCAAGATCTGGAGTAGGCTCTCCATCGGCTTCGGTAGCTAACAAGCCTGGTTTCCTGTCCTGGAAAGATACAACTTGGTCAAGATCAATCTCTGGCAGCCTCACGAAATAGGGGTCTTGTGTGTGATCGTCTGCCACGATGGCGGATAGCGACGGATGTTCCGTGATTGCGGCTTCGCATGCCTGATAGACATAATTTTTTATAGGAAGCACAAATGCATCTGGGAGGAAATAAGTTGCTGATACAGCAACATTTAAGTAGAACCCGACCTGGTGGCGCGACGTTGAATATTGTTCCAATCGACCTGACTAGTGTCAGACATTTGTTGACTTTCGGAAAAGGTTCCCGACTATTTTTGACAGGAATTTACTTACCAACAGGACGTAGGATCTCGAGATTCTCCATGATAAAATATTGCCAGCACCCTACAAGCTACTCCTTCTTGCTTGTTGGATGTCCAGAATGTCCAGAGACTGGCCCCTGATCGATGTTCCGTTGTTTGATATAGGTCAATCTACCCGCACACGTGACACTCTACACTATACACATCTGCACCACAAGAGGCATTCTTCTACTGATGTGAATGGGCAAGATTGAAATGCTGGATAACAAAGAGGCTGGATAACAAAGAGACCCATCAGTTTGCCAAAGCAATTGATTCGCGAATGACCACCCTATTGGGCTTACAAAATCGCCGAAGAATCAGCAAAGCGTGGTTGGTTTCTGTACATAAAGGAAGAAGATGGATAAAAAAAGCAATCACGATAGCAATTTCCCTTGGGGACAGTCGACCTATTGACTGGGTCTTTTGCAGCATCCTAGTTAGACAAAATGATATTGCGGCTGAGTAAACTTTATCGGAAAAAAACCATTGAATAGTCGATTTCTTCAGATGGGTACAGTCTGAGGGTTGGCCCCAATTCCTTACTGTCGAGTTGTTTCGCAAATGTCTCGGATACCCATAAGACAAGGATGGTAGTTGAAATACAGATTTGGCGGGTGAGGTGGTTATAACATAGCAATAAACACAATGTTGATTGTTTTGCTATGAGGGGGGAACGATGGGGCACGAGATATCATTGTTCATTATGCATCGCTAAACTCCGAGACGAAAGACAAATAGAGCGAGGAATTGAATAACCAGATTTTACAGTGCAGCAATTCCACCGACGAGAACAGCACCAATAACTCCCCAAGCGGCAGTTTGCATCGGCACAGCAGCACCCTTGGAAGTGGAGGTGGAGGTGGAGGAAGTGGAGGAAGTGGATGAGGATCCGCTCTGTGCTTGACCCTCAGCAGTAGACTCGTTGGCATTACGCGCAGCAGAAGCACCGGAGAAGGCGGTGGCAACGAGATTGGTGTTATTGCTACAGGCAGATGGTGTCTGGTATGTGACGTCGGAGGAGAATTGGATGTCGGCACACTATATTGCATTAGTATATCACAACAAGAGAACCAAGATGGAGATGAAGGAGAAGTGAACATACAGCATAGAGACCACCACTTGGGTCACCGTTGGTCTGTACCTGGAGGGTAGCGTTCATTCCGTTGGTGAGATTACGGCCGATCAGCTTCTGATTGATCTCGACGTGAGGAAGACAGAACTCGCCAAGGCCTTTGACCTGGAAAGTTGGCGAGAGGATAATGTTGTAGTTGTCTCCCGGATCGCTACCCAGAGAAAGAAGGATCTCGACGGCAGTCTGAGAATGGTGCATCTCAAGAGCTACGGGGAATGAGCCACCGGACAGTGGTAGCTTGGTGCGATTAGAGGACTGGCTCATTCCACCGCAGGGGAAATTGGGCATGGTATCTTCATCGAAGCCACGGGAGGTGGGATACATCAGCTTGAAGTGTGCGGAAGCCAATGGCACGATGGCCGTGAATGCGATGAGAGAGAACTTCATTGTAAGTATGTTGTCGGATGGTTGTGAAGAAAGAGAGGAATAAAGTATAGGATCTAAATTAGACAGGAGATGATATACTAGGAAAAGTGGGAGAGCCCAGCTCTTTGAACTCTTCTATACGAGCTCTGCATATATAAGGTGAGGGAGTTAGTGAGGGAGTTAGCGGGACCTGAAAAGACCAGGGTCCACCTGTGAAGCCCCGTTGGATCCGAAATATCGGCAATCATGACCCTTTCCCCTTTGAGATTATGCATGCTTCGGAATGTTCCGACACTATCCTGCACATGTGTTCTATGGGATGATATCTAGGCTCCTATAATATGCACTTCACTCCCCGATGCTTCTTTATCATGCTATACTTTGGCAATTCTACATATGTACCTAATCACTCCGTAGTGGGCAAACCAGCCGATTTCTTGACAATGGTTATATCTCGGACTATACTCCAAATTATGATGGCATGGACCTGCTGTTTTGGTAGCTCCCGAGGTCGGACCACACCTGCTCAAAAGTAAATTTCAAGCCTTGCGCTAGCGTTAAGAGTGGATATTACCCGACGGGTTAGTCCAAATACGGTTAGTAAATTAGCTCAATTGCGCGCGCATGGCTTAGTCAGGTGATTGCATGCGGGACCGCTGAGGGCCGGAGACAGCGATAAAAGATTTAAGTGGAATAGATGAGGGGAAAAGAGAGATTTATGACGAGAAAGATTCAAAGTAAAGTGAATTCGTATATCATATTACCCTCAAAGCATTATTCCCCAACGCCAGACAGATGCTCAAGGCCATAAATAAAATCAACATGCAGTAAAATAATATCAAAGAAAGTCAACGCTTGGAATCTCAGTGTCCGTGCTCATTAGTTTGAATAAAACGTCCGACCGCTAATTCCCCGAGGAAAGCGCCTCCAAGCACTGAGCAGAAATAGCCGATGTTCATAGTCATGACAGCTAGCATACTAGGCATGATATTAGTATTTATGAAATAATGGCCAGTAGATATTAAAACATACAGTAAATATGATATGCCCACAATGAATAGGAATAGGACTGCTCGCGGCAGATCAACGCTGAACCGCCAGGGAATTGGCCCATGAGTGATGTTGCTCACAACTTTGACTGACTCCTCAACTCCCTGCGCGGTGATAAGCGAAGCGAGTTTTGCATCCGGGTCGGCGTCAATGTTGCCAGCTTCGGTGCTTTTGCCAGCGACAGTAACATATCGTCGGTTGAGATGTGTGGCGAGCCAGTGGCGCTCCATGGTTGCTTTGAAAGCCATGAGACATCGGTCGATGATAGCGAGAACAATCAAGAAAATACATGTGCCTGCAAAGCTACCCGAGGATGAAGGAGTCCAAGCATTGGAGAAAAGTGGTGTGTTGTGGGTGTTTGTGAAAACCATAGTCATGCTCATAGAGCTCATTGAGGAGCTCATACTGCGTGAGGTAGAACTGGTACTGCGCCTTCTATGATTGATAAAGAAATGTGTGAATCAACAGAGATATGTATGGAAATAAAGATAAGAAAAAGAAACAAGTCACATTGAAATTACACGACGCATTGACGCATTGACGCATTGAGCAACTCGAACGGCGCCCACATGGCGGACCCACCTTGAGATATGAGCATGGTTGAGCATAATATTGGTAATCTGCTCTATCATTGGTGACTTCGTATCCATATACACCCGTGGACCTGAGCTGGTGCTTTGTAGGTTTGTAGGCTTTCAATCTCATGTTCTCTTCTACAACTCCAGCACAAGATGTCCATGTCAATGGGTGACATGCCTGCGGGCTCAATGTCCATGGGCGATGGCGTTCCAAGTCTGTTCACCCTACAGAAGATGTACTGGGCTGTCGTGGGAAGTGCAATCGGTGTCGCAACCCTCGTTAACGTGCTGGATCGCGTTATCGCTAGCCATCGGTATGTTTAGCCTTGACATCCGGTGATCTTGACTAACAATCATCAGCTTGCGAGATTCTTCACTCACGCCCGCCAAACCAAAATCACTCTTCTTCAATCTCTACGCCACCATCATAGCAACAGCCCGCGAAGTCACCTATGCGACTCCACGACCGCTCCAACTGGGAGGATTGACCCTCCATTTCCCGCCACTTGGACCCGTCCTCATCATGCTAGCCAACCTGATAGTAGTCATGGTCCTTTGTTTCTACAAACTGGACACTCTGGATCCATGGGCATGGGAGAACATTGGCTACCGCACTGGATTCATCGCGATTTGCCAGCTGCCACTGATCTTTCTGCTGGCAGGTAGACAGAACATTATCGGGTTCTTGGCAGGAATGAGCTACGTCAGTCTGAACTGGTACCATCGCTGGGTCGCCCGGACGCTGTGGTTGACTACCACCATCCATATGGGATTCTGGTTCCGCGATTGGGGCCGCTGGAATTATATCACTTACCAGCTTTATAACGATCCGTTGACGAAGCGTGGATTTGCCGCTTGGGTCATCCTGACCTTTATTGTGATTACTTCCTTTGCTCCAATCCGTCGGCTCAGTTATGAGTTCTTTGTTATCCAGCATCTAGTCACTTTTGTTGGCTTTATTGTTGCGGTATGGATGCATGCGCCCGACGAAGTCAAGACCTGGGTATGGATTCCGATTGGGCTTGTGGTCTTCGATAGGCTTGCTCGTTACACCTGGGGTGCATATGCGAACTTGGCCATTTTCCACCGAAAGAACAATTCTAATGCTCTCTGGGCACACTCGGCCACCTTTACTCCACTACCTGGAAATGTCACTTGTGTTACTATCGAAGCCCCCGCTATTGGGTGGCAACCTGGTCAGCACGTCTTCCTCACTTGCCACTCTGTCGTTCCATTGCAATGCCACCCATTCACTATCGCTTCGATCCCAGAAGATAATAAGATGAAATTCTTTATCCACGCCGAGAATGGGGGAACGAGAAGTTTCTTCCGGTACGCCTCAAAGAGTGATGGCCTATTGGGGAATGGACAAGTGATGTCTGGTACAACAGTCTTTATCGAAGGGCCATATGGAAGCATTCGGCCCTTGCGTCAGTTCGACAGTGTCATACTGCTGGCAGGTGGCATGGGTGCGACATTCACAATACCTCTTCTGCGGGACATTGTCTCCGCATGGAAAATAGAGAGCAAGGGGGAGCAGATACCTGCTCGTATCGCTCGTCTAACAGCCACCAAGCGGTTGCGCTTTATCTGGGTAATTAAATCACGCTCTCAGCTGACTTACTTTGACTCCGAACTGCAGTCTCTGCTGGTAGACGTGAATGAGTGTCGACGCACGAATTCGAATTTTGAGAAGGAGATTGAAATAAGCATTTATATCACATGCGATGAAAAGCTAGATCCGCCTATCTCTACCTTGCTACCATTGCAGACACAGTCTGACCCTATACTGGATACTTTTACCCAAGATGAGACCAAGGAGATATCCGAGAAAGACAATATCTCGATCCATTCTATCTCTGCGGAGTCAACCACGACTCCGGGCCCCGTGGCGACAGGTAAGGGGTGTCTCCCTGGTGGAGGCTGCTGTTGCACTGCCCAAATTGAAGATGAGGAGATCAGTACCACCTGTGCCTGTACCTGCTCCGGCCCAGCACCTGTTCAGCCTGAGAAGGCTGCTCTGGATGTGAAGTCCCTTCGACCTGAAGACCTCACAAGCAAAACAACCATTCATCCCAATATTCTCTCTGGTCGTCCCACTCCGCGAACCATCATCCGCAAGGTCTTGGAGAAAGCCGAAGGAGAAAGTGCCGTGGTTGTGTGTGGACCTCGTGGCCTCGCAGACGATGTCCGCCGTAGCGTGGTTTCTCTCAGTGACGAACGAGCTGTGCACAAAGGAACTGGCGCGCAGGGGATCTACTTGCATGTTGAGAACTTTGGTTTATGAAGGGAGAAATTGAAACCTAGAGTTTTTTTTTTATTGTCTGGGTATGTTCATCCTATTGCGTAATTGACACTTTTTCCTGGCACTAACTAGTATGTGCAGACATGGCTAAATGAATGGCCCAAGATATCTGCCAAAGGCGAGACCCTGATACTTGCCTCCAGCGAGCGAGGTACAATACCACGCAGCCTCCAAATTCGGCACCCTCCCCAACATCCTGTGTCCTAAGCCTCATCGGATATATCGCTCAGTTGTACCGCACAATCGGACCAATCAACTGCATGGGGACAGTCAATTCAGCAATGAGAAGCTATGCCACGATGGTAGAGTCAAATGCGGAGTGGAGCGTTGGATGGACATAGAGATGACATTGCTCTCTGCTAGAAGCCAGATGCCAAATCATAGGAAATGATTGTGTATCCTCCATAGTATTTCCCAATGTGGTAGTCCGTAGCGCATGCTCAAAAGAGAAAATCAAGTTACTCGGACCAACGTATCTTAGCCCGAGACGACCCGAGCCAACGCATGACATCATCCAGGAACTGCCGCCTAAGCTCAACCCCAATTCTTCCAACTCCCTCCATTACACCTGCCTCTATCACCACAACACTATCAATTACAAATATCCAAACCGTCAAGATGTTCCGCTTCGTAAGTTCACATATACCAACTCCCAATGCCACTCATTCGTCCTCCCCTAGCTTCCAAGTCACCATCTAACACACAAACAGAGCAAAACCCTCGACCCAATCACCCTCTTCCACTCCCCCTCCATCCAAGCATCAACCAGAACCCTCAATATCCTGAAACAAGCTTCCTCGACCGCTAGCGAAACAGCCACAGAAGACCAGGCTAGCGACCACTCTACCCACGCAAAGCAACAGCGCGGCGAGTTCGAGCTGGAGGTTACCACCTCGCCCCCAACAACAGACCAGCTTCGCAGTATCCTCGACTACATCTCGCCCGTCAGCGGTGTTGGTGGTCCCGGCAATAAGGTGACGTATGGTGTCGCGGAGCTGGTAAAGGGCGCCCGCGATGCGGAGGATGCGTTGAAGAAGTTCAAGGAGGATAATGAGAATTTCGTGCGACCTATTGTATGTTCGACCTTT